AATCAAGAGCTTGCTCTGAGACGTTTCACATAAGCCTTTTTGGGGGTACCGAACCCCACCAGTTTCATATGCGCATTCACCGAACCCCCTTAACATATCGTCGCAATGACCATATCCTATCATAAATCCCAAGAGTTGTGTGTGTGTGTGATTCCTGAGTTCCGTCGAACCCCTGAGACTGACTCACCGAGCCCCTAGGGTTTGATCGAACCCAGTTTAAGGTCCACTGGTCTAGAAAGGCACGTGTGACAGTATTGTAGCCTAAGTTTTGTTTTAAATTATTACTATTAGAGTGTAACAAGTTGATTTGAAGTGGTGGGTGCAAACTGTTTAAAAATAATTAAGGCATTCTGAAATTGTAAAAAAATATTTATTTTTTACCCCAAAAGCAATGTTTCGCTGTGAATTTTTCTCATCACTGTAAGACGCGTCTGTCGTCTGCCAGTGTATTTCCGGATCCGGTTGGATCAATATCTGAAGGTTGAAAGGATTAGAGCCAGAAAATGTATCTTGAGGACAGTGAGAGAGAGCGGGGGGGGGTACTTTAAAACAAGCTAAAGGCCTCATTTGTCTAATATTTTTAAATTTAATATAATCTGCATTGGCTAAAGTTCAGTGTTAAATGAATGTGTATCTGAGATAAGTAATTGGCGGTCAGATGAACATTTTTATAGGACTGGCTGAGTGGAGGTGGGGGGGGGGGGGGTGAGGTTGAAGTGAGATTTTATTGAAGTTTTTTAAAAACAATTTAAAACCTCAAAACAATGATGAAACTTGTAACAGTCAGCAAATCAGTTAGTTTGATTTAGTCCCACATAGACATCACAACTGGCCGTGCCGCGTGAAATATTTGAGACCCCCTGATCTAGGATATGGATCCACGATTTTTTCTCCTCTGCCGGTATAGCCAGACTGTTTAAAGAGATGCGAACTTTGCCCTTTCCTCCCCCCCCCCCCCCCCCTCTTTCCTGTAGAGATTTAGCCAACTAACACAGGATTTAGGTGGGGGGAAAAAGTCTTAGCTAAATCATAAGAGCTTTCTCGGAAAAGACTGTTGGACCTCCCCTCCCCACCCTCCCTCTAAATTCCATCGTCTCCCATTTGACAAGGGGAAAAAATTTTCTGCAATCCTTTTAAGGTGACAAAACCCTTTTTGTGCCTGTTCGGATATGGCAGCCATCTTGTCTTTACTTCGGCTTGCGAGAGAGAATTGAATTCAACCACTTAAATTTTTTTTCTTGTTATGAAAAAAAGAAAAACATTTAAGTTTGATTACCTAAAAAAGGTCAGTCAAAAAGTGTGCGATTGGTGCGTGGATGTGTGTACCTGGGCTAGTGTGAAGCTGTATATGTGCTAGTAAAAAATATGTCAGTGTCTTTGCAAAGACATGCGTGGGCTGGACGGAAGTCTTGTATCGCTGCCGGAAGCCGTGTGTGTGTGCCTGTCTGGAATATGAAACTGTGGATCTGACAAGGTGAAGTGAGCTGTCAGACTTATTGAATTCGGCGGGAAAATGGAGCGAGTAAAAACAATTGTTTAATGAAAACTTTCACCACACTGGTGACCGACTTAAATCTCGATAGAATTGATCACTAAACTGTTGACTTTTGTTTCGCATCGCCTGATTTTTTCCAGATTTATAAAGTGTTGCTGGCTATTTTAAACAGAGTTTCTTCGAGGCATCTCTTCGGTGGGGGGGGGGGGGGGCTCTACCACCCCCCCCCCCCGCCCTCCCCCCCCCCCCCGATTTTTTTTACCCCCCCCCCACGAAATGAAATTTATATAATTTATATAGAAAATATATACTTTTAACAGTGTCCGCCCCCACCCCCAAGAAAGTCTACCGCACCCCCCCCCCGGAAAATTTTAAGTGCCCCCCCGGAGAAAAAAGTCTGGAAGAAACACTGATTTTAAATAAGATTGGTAAAGCTGGCAACAGCAAGCAATCGCTGCTCACTTTAAACAGGGGGCGCTGCGCCGGCCATTCACGTGCAGTGTTTCTTCCAGACTTTTTTCTCTGGGGGGAGGGGGAGCAATTGAAATTTTCGGGGGGGGGGGGGGCGAACTAAAATTTCCGAGGGGCGAAGGGGCCGGACACTGTTAAAAGAATATATTTTCTATATAAATTCCATTTCGATTGGGGGGGGGCGCGGTAGACTTTCTTCGGGGGTGTAAAACCCCCGAAAAGATGCCTGGAAGAAACACTGTTCACCTGGGACACTGGGCCGACCATTCACGTGACCACGTGGAATAATTATGATGGCAAAGAATTTTTGGCCTAATAAAAGCGTCTATTTTAACGAGCACACGGATTCAGAAAAATAATTAGCTTTTTTTTTTGTAGGGCCCCTACAAAATTGCCCCCTCCCACCAAACCCCTCTGCTCTGTGTTTAAGCTCCATTCATTACATTTCTAAACAAGGCGATTTTTTTTCTTTAAGTCAAGATGTGTAGCTTGAAAACTGACTAGGAAAAATATAAAGGGGAGTCTGGTAAACTTTAATAGATCGGTTGAAAAGGCTGATATCAAATAGAGAAAAGAATGAAGTAAAATTTCAGTGGCCAAAGTGTACAAACGTAATTTCTTTTTTTTAAAGAAGTATTTACTAAGTAAATTACGAATGAATTTTTTGTTCACGGTTAAGTGCCAAAATAAATCATGATTTGCACAAGGTCACGTGCCATGAAGGCTTTGTTTTACTTAAGGTCATATACAAGGTCATTAGCATAAGGTCGAGGTCACATACCAAACGTCTAGAATACCAGGTGTTAAAAAAACAAAGACAATTCTCAGCAATTGTAATTTATTACAGGATGAAAGAACTATCTTCAATTCTACACATGAGTTCAACAAAGTACAACATTAAGGTGCACACAGCTAGGTAACAATCAACAAATTCAACAACAACAGTATTATGTTGACCAAATGTCGCTATCACACATTTTCTAACAGTTTGTGCATAGTCACAATGTGGAAACATCAACACTAGTCAACTGTTAGGGAATTTTTTTTTAAACGAAATAAAAAACCATTTACACTTTAATGATACCCTTTTTAAAAGTCATAAAATGATCAAACAATAATGTTGAGGACTGGTTGATTTTCTTTTATATAAAATCGCCATATTGATAAAATAATCTATTTTAACCCTATTTCTATTACTGTACACTTTTTTAACTGGATGCATTAATTTTCCCATAATGGAACACATTTTTACTAGGGTTAAAAAATTGCATGTTATTAATACTAATAGTTTCGCTGTCTCTCTATGTATCTATCTATCTATCTGTCTGACAAGAACGCTCTAGAGAAAACACAAGCAAATTAAAAACCTGCATAGTAATTCGAAAAACGAAGTATGACGTCGACACATTTAGCATAGAGTAGAAAATAATCTCAAACCCAGAGAGTGCTCACAGTTATATGACGTCATTGATTTTCGCGTTAACATTGAATAAAAAGGAAATGTTGTCTAATCTTAATGGTTTGCGTGAAGAGTTTCTTTCATACAGTTCTTCGTGTAGGGGCAAAGCTCCACCCCCCGCGTAAGAACGTCTGAGCCCCCCCCCCCTCCCCAACTCAAAAGAAATTTCTTCATCGATACTCTATAATAAAATTACCGCCTAATTAATGTGTCTAATCTAAAAAGTGGTTTTCTTGCAATTTCTTTAATGCAATTCTTCGGGTAGTGGCTAAGCGCGACACCAGTGTTTCTTTCAGACTTTTTCCTCCCCGGAGAGGGGTGGGGGTAATTGAAATTTTCGGGGGCGGGGTTAGAATTTACGGGGAGGGGGGGGGGCGGACACTGGAAAAAGTATATAATTATATTTCGTTGAATGGGACGGTAGACATGTTTTTTTTGGGAGTGGGGGGTGGGGAGTGGGGGGGGGGGGGGGGCAGGTGTGAGTGGGGGGGGGGGCGGTGGTTTCCTCATCGATACTCTATAATAAAATTACCGCCTAATTAATGTGTCTAATCTAAAAAGTGGTTTTCTCGCAATTTCTTTAATGCAATTCTTCGCGTAGTGGCTAAGCGCGACACCAGTGTTTCTTTCAGACTTTTTCCTCCCCGGAGAGCGGTGGGGGTACTTGAAATTTTCGGGGGCGGGGGTAAAATTTTCGGGGAGGGGGCGGACACTGGAAAAAGTATATAATTATATTTCGTTGAATGGGACGGTAGACATGTTTTTTTGGGGGGTGGGGGTGGGGTGGGGGTGGGTGGGTGGGGGGTGATGTGTGGGGTGGGGTGGGGGTGGGGGGTGGTGTGTGTGTGTGGGGGGGGGGTGGGTTGGTTTTAGTTTAGAGAAAAGAGACAGCACTATCAACCTAGCGCCCGGTGTATCCTTCCTCAACGGGCCATTTTTCTCGTTTATAATGTTAAGTAAATGCAACCAAAATTCATGGAATACTTACAATTCTATCAGATGGAAAAATTAAACTAATTTTTAAAACATGTAACAGTTCACAGGTGAAGAGATATTGACAGTAGAAACATTTTTCAAGAAGCTGATTTTTTTCCTAAAGTTTACAAGGAGAACAGTATTTTAAGAGGCCAATATTTTTCAATTCACAGTAATTATCATACAAAGAAAAGTAATTTAGCATATTATGATTTTAAAAAATGTGTTAGTAAAGCCAGTTTTTTAAAGCAATTAACATGATACATTTTCATGCAATGTATTTTAAGATATAACTATCATTGGGTTTTTTTTTTTAATTTAAAATTCAGTTGAAAATTTCATTTATTTTTAATTAAACTTAAATAGCCTCAAAAGTTTTTAATAAAACGAGCCGACATGCTGCATATCATACGCCGCTATTAAGTTGTTTTAGTTTTATTTTCTACTTTTCAGTAATTCATAATTTGTGAATTCGACAGTACCAATGCTGCCACTGAAAATATTTGCTTTAAAACACTATTAGTAGGTCGTTAAGGACTATACTACCCCCACCCTCCTTTCCCCCAACCCCTACCCTACACCCCCCCCCCCCCTCCCGTGAAAGCAGCCTCCTCTTAGTTACCTCCCCTAAGTTTTAAATTGTTCAAACTAAATAATCTGCCCCTAATAGCCGTCACTAAACCCTGCTCTACGAATGTAAATATTTAGCGTGAACCACAGCTCACCAAACCATGTAGGGGTGGGGTGGTAGGGAGCGCGCTTACAGCTTGTTTTCTAGCGTCTCCAAGAAGAGAATTATATATATAGATTCAAGGGACTTATAATGAATTACATTTCTATTTAAACATGTTTATTAGAATCATATCAAACTTGCAGATATAGAATACACATTAATGATGGATGTTCATGAAAAACTGTACAATAATGACCAAATGATAGAAAAATGACTGAACATAAAAAATTCATTGTAAAACTAAAGCTCTTTAGGAAAGGATTTTTTTAAAGTATTACAAATATGTGTGTATGGCCAATGGCTTAACATACCCAATAACTAACAAGCATGGACTAGAAATTTTAGGTTAAAATATCACTTGGACTTACAGCATTGTAACAAATATTCTCTCATGAGAATAAAACATAATATCACCCCTTAAAGATTAACTATTTACACTCTTAACAATGTTTTAAACATTCTTGGCAAATCTGTTTCATCCAAAATTTAACTAAGTCAAAACAAAAATAGTGTTCATATTAATTCAAGTTAATCAGCAAAATGTATAAATAGTTTTCTCTTAGTATAAAAACTAATTTAAAAATGTACAATTTTTGTATTCCTATATTATGAGAGTGAGATACAATTAATTTTATATACAACAAACATTTCTAAATACTGAGTTATCTTTCCTTTAATACTAGTTCACAACTGAACAGAAGTTTCAAAATTGCAACATTAGTTTAAACTGGTTTCTTATACCCAGTTATTTTTACATCATCAAATGAATTTCTTCAGGGTGTGCACCAGAAATATACACTGATCTGTTTTGGTTTCCAAATGTTAATTTTAATTTTTTTAAACTGTTTTAAAAAACAATCTTATAAAACTATGATTTTGTACGCACACACACAACAGTCTTCAATACTGCAACTGTCATGACTAATAAAACAGAATTAATTGTACTTTGGTAAAAAAAAACATATATCCATGTTGTCTCTTTAATTGTTATTATATTTACAGTAAGCGTAAAAGCATATGTGTTCAAGTAGCTTAACACACACTAAAAAAAAATTTTGTTAGACAGGAGCAACTAAAGTCAACATACTGTAAAATGGTAATAAATACTAAGAATAAATAAGCTCTTAGGTGAATTTTTACAATCTAGAAAGACAAAGCTGACAATAAAATCTGTACAAGTTCTATCTACACTGGTGTGAATAGGGTACAGCTACTATCTGACAGTCTGAGCCATGTGAAGTGGATGGAGCATCAACTCAAATGTGGCTCCCTTTAGGTTGGCTCCCCTTAGGTTGGCTTCTTGAAGATCACAGCCAGTCAAATCACAATTCTGGAGGTTAAAGTAAACATTTGTATAAAATACAAACTGCTGAAGTATGAACTAATTGATTATCTCACAAGGATCAGCAACTGGATGAGCCTCATAATTTTTTTGCAAACAGGACACTGTCTTATTTTCTTAAAATACTGTAATAAAGAAGTGTTATTGTTATTATGTAATTGTTAACTTACTTTACTGATTTTATCTTAAGTGTTTATTGTAAAGAATACCTATAAACATCTTTAAAAACACAAAAAATCAATAAACCTATAAAAACAAAGTCACCTATATTTTGAGCGAACAAATAAAAATGCTTGATTTATTACAAGTTTGTGAATTTCAGGTTAAAAACTATAGACTAACATAAAAAAAACTCATTTGACAGTATTTAACATTCAGCAGTACGCTCAGTCAAGTTCATAGAGGGATGGAATCAGCATTATTCATAAGTTAAAAAAATCCAGCTTTCCAATCACACACGTTTAGTTAGTACTATTTAATGTATTAACTGTAGTGATTACACAATATACTGTGATAAAAAAGTTTTATTGTATCTTTTTCTATAACACCAATATTTTGCAAATTCCCAAACATTATAACCTATTAACGTTGAAAAACAGGGTTTTCTAGGGTTTCTTCTGCACCCTTCCCATTGAGTTACTGCGACAGACCAAACTAAGATACAGAGATAAACACCAAACCATGTTATTACGAGTTACCTCAAGATCTGCACCAGCCAAAACAGCTCCCCTTAAATCACAGTTTTGTAGGTTGGCATTTTTTAAGGTGGCCACACGAAGATTTACACCAGCCATGTGACTTCCCTCAAGATCCACATTTTTCATCAAAGCACCTAACAGACACATCTTGCTCATTATGTTTAAAAACCACACAATTTTTATGGAAATCTAAAGCTGTTAATAATATAATCTACCTTGAAAAAAACTGGTTTTATAATATATTACATTTTATTTATAATAAAATAACTTATTTTTTAAATCAATAAATGGTGATGATGTTGACCATGGTGATCTTACCCTCCATGTTAGCCCTGCTTCCAGCAGGATCTTCAAAATAACAACCTTTCATTGACGTTCCTTCCAAGTTGGCACAAAGCATTTTAACTCCCAATAGGTTAGCAGACTGGAAATAGCAATATTACAAATTTAACAAATGAAAAAACTAAATATCTTCCTAAATTTAACATCACACTTGACAAAATATTTGTATAAAGAATGTTCTTGACATTGCAGCATCAATCATATATTATTTTAACCTCTCATTAAGATTCATATCTGATAAATATATATTTCAACACTGCAAAATGTAAAGACTTACATCAATTGTGGCATGGCAGAGGTCTGCCCTCTCAAAGTTGCAAAAAGACAAGTTAGCTCCTGAGAGATTGGCATTTTTTAGAATAGCGTATTTGAAGTTGATGTAGCGCAGGTCCAGCTTGGAAAGATTGGCACCAGCAAAGTTCATACCCTGTAAATCAACCAGAAAAACATTGATAGAAAAGAACAAATGTTAAAATTAACTTACTATTGCTGTTCTAATAAAAAGCAAACCTTGCATTACATTTTTTTCTCCAATACTTTTACCACAAAACATACATTTGCAGTCCTTCAGATAAATTAAACCTGAATGTATGTACAATAAGTACCTGACATCTAAGCTCCTGTGTTGTAGGTGTTGATAACAACCTAAGAATAAGGTCTCGTCTGGTCAGTGGTGTGTTATCATCAGGTAACTGCTCTTTCTGGGATTGGCAATTTTTTTAAATGCATGAGTGATGTAAAAAAGTATCAAATTAAATATAGCAAGTTTTATTTTCATACAACTATGAAAACTGGCATTCTGCAGGTAGATCAAATATAAATTTAAAAACTTACCTCAATTAGATCTTCCAAGGTTTCTATTAGAGAAGTGAGACCAAAAAACTTTGCTTCCTCCAGTACACCTTGGAAAATAAAATATAACATCATGTTCATTATTTTGATTTGTATGTTTTTCTCATAAACAATTATGTTCTGATGTAAAATTTGTTTTATTGAGTCTTACCTTCAGGATTCACAAATTTGTCAAGGATTAGTCTCCCATGTCTCAGGTAATTTAAGATTGGTTCAAAATAAAGAGGGCTGCGATCTATAAGGTAAGCACCTGTGACATCCATTCGACTATTCCATTCTATTTCTGGTAAGTAGAAAGTCATAAAATTTAACAGCTGTAAAAATAAGAAAAGCCATATATAAACATTAAAAATAAAATAAAATGAACACGCTGTTAAACTGAAGTGTTATAATGTGCCAAGATGATTAAGTAAACAACAGCACACTGACATGTGTTGGACATACACTAAACTGTTTCATTATACAAAAAGTGAACGGAGAACTGCTTTACTTTTAAGTGTGAACCAATTCATTGAGAAGTCCTTAATAGCTATTAGAAATTATAAACATTATTGAACAAACTTTAAAATAATGTATGTAACCTACAAGATGCTCAAAATAACTTCTTCACAAAAAAAAAAAAAGAACAACTAAGCACCTTTATCTTTACTGAACATACGAGCCAGCATGCTTTCTCCATCAAACCTTGTTAGTGTACCTCTGAAATCAATTGTCATTTTTTATTGTTAAAAATAGAAAGTACAAATAAATAATAATATAAGCTAACATTATTCAAAGACACTTTTTTAAATATAGTCCTCATGTATTGGGTAAAAACAAAAAAATAATTCACAAGGGTAAAATAAAAAGCAAGGCTGACCTAGTTGTTGTAAACAGTTTGCCTCCAACATTAAGATTTATCCAGTCAGACCCGCCTGATTCCATGTCCGTGTTAGTTCCAACACTGGCACATGGCAGACCCACTAAACACCTGGCTTTCTTTGGATTGTGGATGCATGGACTCAAAATATCTTGAAGTGTGGTAACATTAAATCATAACATTAAAATAAAACCTTGGAAATATGTGCTAACTTGTTAAGGGCAATTAAAGTAGAACTAAACAGGTTGTCTTGTTGGGTAGGTAAAATAAGTGATGTGAGATGAGAGATTTGATAACAAAACTTCAAGTTAAAAGACTGTTGGGTGCTGACAAAGACTTTGGGTAAAAAAATCCATTGTAACCTGTAATTGTCTTCAATTTGTGAGGATACTAATGTTAACAAATATTAACCATTAAATTACTATTTGCATAAATCTCACTGCAGCGACCATTTTATTTTTATTTATTTATCCATGTTAAAATAGAAATAAGTGATGTCTTTTAATTTATACTTACGGATAAATGGCTCTCCCTCAGAAGCATACAAAATGTCATCATCTCTATTTTTCAAAATAAAAAAAAAATTAATCTGATTTAAAAATGTACTTTAACAATTTTAATCAATATCATAAAAGCATGTTTAAAAAGTTTAAGTGCTGTTACCTTATAATAAGCAAATCATCTATGCTTCCACCAAATTGGTTGTACAAACTGGATGCACTTATATTCAGCTTAGCGCTAATATCTTCAAGGAATCCTTCTATTGTATCAGCCACTTCAAGTACCTACAAACAAAAATGTTTTATGCTTTTTAAAATTATGCAAGAAATTGTTTTTACATCTACATATATGTAATTTCAAACTTGCTACTAAACATGAAAAAATATTAACCACTTCTTGCTCAGTTGTTACCAAGCAGATTGACTTTGTAAGAAGAATTTAAAAACTAAAAGAAAAATAAATGAAAAATTTAGATGTATGATTTTTGTTTTTGAATATTGTCTAAATCTTTGCAATGCTGTTTAGCTGGATGTAAATAAAAAAGAACAAGTGGCATCTTGTGTAGGATTTTTAGGTAATCTATCATTTTAGGTCTATAAAATCGGCCAAGACTAGTAATGTGAAAAACAGGTGACTCGTTAAATTTTGATAATTATTTCACATTTTTAGGAGGATTTATGTTTTGAAATTTACAAAAATGTTTAAAATTTCAAAGTTGGTTTTTTTTTTTGGTAAAATTATAGTGGAAGATTCAGGGGAAGCCACTCTATTTTACAGATGTCTGCTGTTTATATAGCCAATCTTGCACTCAAACTGCTGTTTAAAGTTAATTTCTGGCCTATATTTATATATTAAGCCATTGCTTTTGGTTTATGATTCAGTTTTCTACAATATTTGACACAAATATATCACAATATATTTCTATTAAAGCTTTAACAATGAGGCAACTTTTTCACACATTACTAGCCTTAGCCGATTTTATGCACCTAAAACGATAGATTACCAATTTTTAAAAGTTCAATGAATAATGTACAGGTAAATATTATTATCTACAAGGCAACTTATAGATAAACCTTTATAATCAATAATCATACTTCTTCTTCTTCGTTCTTAATTTTAGTGTTGGAAGGGATACCCCTCCAACACAATTAAGGATATGTGTCAACTTGTTATGCGCCATTGAGACCATTGACTACAATTTCAGCCTGCTTTTCTTTTTGGATTTGCTTCCATAGCCTTTGTCCAATCAAGAACAAACTACAAGGCAGCAGTTATTTGATTTTGAAGTTGTCTCTCCTAGAAGAGTGGCTGTCCCCAGCTAACGAGCCTCATCTGTCCGAGGGTTTGAACTCGAGACTTTTCGGTTTAGCAACCATGAGCTTTACCGACTCGACCACGTCGAGCCCTAAAAATCATACTACTGTGTTGATTTTATTATATTACACTAAAGCTCCTATTTACTTGTAGCACTATCCTTGCTCCTTAAAACTGTAAATAGCACCAGTGATATCTTTAGAATAAAAAAAACCTCAATAAGACACTGTATTTTCCCTGCCAGTGAACATTAAGGTTATGAATGTGGAGTAGAGTTCGAGTAGTATCCCATTTGAATATGTTTATTGTTTGATACATACATATCAAGATAGAAACTAGTGACAAGGGGGGGGGGGGGGGGGGGGGGGTAAATAAGTTGTAAAAGGTTAGATCACTCATAAAGAGAATTGCCTTAGGGCAGGGCAGATAAAATGAAAAGAATATTTAAAAACATAGGGCAGAGGGAAGACACCAAACCAAAAATGTTGGAGTTGGTAGGTTGACATCCTCAATTACCCAACCAGACAACAACAGCATGCACATAGATCTAACCTAGATCTATATTCTTTTATCTTTAACACAAAGAACGGGATAAGGAATGGTTTAACATTGTTATGACGTCCATTATACTTGTACTAACTGCATACCCGTGCTCCGCCACGGTGAATCTTTTTAAAATGTACCAACTTGGGAACAGAACAAAACTAAACACAAACACTTAAACCCGTGCTTCACCACGGTGTGGATATGGATATTTTCTCAAAGTTTACGCGCTGCGCGTGGATGGGGATGAACGTCCGCGCCCGGGAGAGACTTCCAAAATCTATAGCGATGAAGGACTGACACACTACCACCAGCCTTAATGGCATTATATTATTATAGATTTTAATTTTTAACTATTGTGACTCAGAAGATCTACTGCCGATCTGAGATATCTAGAGCTAGAACTTGACAGTCACTTCTTGACTAATGAGTGTACATAACTGTAATGTAAACTGTGTAAGGCACTGTGACTGTAAGGCTTTAACTAGTGTAAACTGTAAACCATAAAGGCTAAAGGCGTAAACAATAGGCCTAGTAAAGTAGTAAGTAGTTGTCAGTTGATTAAGAATTAAGTAAACTTCTCTGACTTCGGCTATGTCTGTATGATGAGTATGTATGTACTATGTACTGTACTAGATCTGTGTAGTATGTACAAAATTGTTACGACTGGATCTGGAATAAGTATAGTATTAGATCTAGATGAAGAGAAGACCAACCTTTCCATCATCCGATGTACCATTCTTGAAGACGGTAACACGCCTTCGCATGGTAAAAATAAAAAAAAATAAAAGTAAAAACGCTCAGATTGCTGGTAGGCCTAAAAACATAACTTCAGATTGTTCGCATACTGCTCAATTTGGTAGATCTGGATTTTGGATATAGATATCTAGATCTAGATCTATATATAACCTAGATCTGGAGACTATATTTAGATCTATATTCAAACTAGATTTCTAGATCTAGAATCTAGAATCACATAGCGACTAAAATACTTTTCTTACTCAACTAGTTATTTATAGCCTAAAATCATACATTCTAATTTTAGTCCCAGATCTGTTCTATAATTTATTTTCACCTTTTTAAGAATTCTAATAATTATTATATTAATAATACGGTTATGGTTATGTATAGGCCCCTAATTAATATTTTAAAAGAAAATTAAATCTCAGATGTCGAAAAAAATGTGTCAGACTAATATTTATCTAGATCTAGATCGATAGGTTTTTGAGTTATTCTAACCTAAACTTTTAGTTTTTTTTGTTTTTTAATTTAAACATCTACAGTTCAGTATAACTGAATCTGAGAACAGAATCAACGAAAGGGTGCGCAACAACGAGAATATTCTTAGCTTAAACCGGAAGCAATTCTTTTCTCTGATGCAAGCGCTTCGTGACCTTGCAGCAAATACTGTTTCATTTTCACACGTGCGGAGATCTTGCAGAGGACGGATTGCAAGGCTAGTCTGAATAAAAATGCCTTCAGTATCTAAGAATGTAGGTATTATGTGTGATGCTAGCTAATATGATTAGTATATGATTTTTATTTAATGTATTTTACATTTTGGAAGCTGTAGTGGGCAAATTTTAGCTATTTTTTTGCAACAGACATGTTCTCACCACTGCAGTTTGACCTCTTACCAGACTTTTTGTTTTGCTTATGTAATGTTTCTTTTATTAATATTATTTAGTGTTTAATATTTTGCCTCAGGTTCATTCTATTCTATCAGTCAACTTCAACTACTAACAATCTTTATTTTAAATGTTCCAGATCTAGATTTTAGGCCTAAATTAATAGACCTTGCCTGGTTGTTGATTGTGTTTGAGTTTGACTCTTTGACAACTGAGTCTTTGAGTTTGAAGATGAAGGGTTTGCAGTTTGCATCATCCTACTCAAATCAGTGTTTGTCAAACACCCAAGGGAGGGGGTGCCACTTTTTCTGATTTTAAAAGGGATTCCAGTTTCAAGAACCTTTTTTTTTTATTTTTTGGATTTTGAAAGTTGTGGACTTGAAAGTTTAAAGGTTTCAGAGTGTAGAGTTAAAATTTTTAAGACGAATGATAGGCTACACGGCTACAACAATACAACATAGATTAGAATCTAGATCTAAGTCCTACGTAGATCTTCATAAACTGAGTGCTATATATTATATTTATAAGAGTTACTCAGAAAATATAGAAATACCAGAGATCATTAATCAGCATAAAAACTAGTTCTGGGCCAAAAATTTAAAGTAAAGCTTGAATGTAGTAGTAGTAGTCTTTGTATAATCGGAAGCTTTCATTTTTGCACTACTATGTCTAACACTAATAGACAATAGACTCTAGATGCTTCTGTTTATTAGCCTGCCCTATGTTATTCTAGCTATATCTTTCTATTGCTGTGACATAATTTCAAGACCTTTGAGCATAACTTGACCTTGTGGGTTTTGGTGCATTTTGTATTTCACATGTATCCCATACCACTGAACTCAGCGATTGATCCAGATTTAAGAATATAAAGAGAAAACCCAGAAATTCACTCACAAATGTCATTTGCATTCTCAAATTTTAATGTTACACTGTTGTCTGATAACACCTAAAATAGATGTTAGGTTGTTAGTATTATTAGACTTATTAAAAACTACAAAAATGCCCAAAGTCTTGCAATATTATTTATTTCTAGATTCTCTAGGTCTATACTCCATACTCAACTGTCCCACAGTTAAGTCATTAGTTTTATCGTGTTGTAATTGGTCTAGTTTGACTGGAAAAATAAGTGAATTTTTTTTTTTTTTTTTTTTTTTTTTTTTTTGCAATATCTTGAGTTAGTGTAATTTAGTGTAAAAAATCGTTTGAAAATCAATTAGGCCTAGTTTTGTCTTAGATATTTTATCTGGGCGTTCTAGGCATACTGTAAATGGCATGTGAGATAACTCTTTATTTTTAATGCATGTATTATGTAAACTTTCAGGTTGTTGAAGGGTAAAATTTCTAGAAAGACTAATCTCGGTGATCTGAAAATAATCTTCAGAAGAATGGCCTATAAATATTTTTTCTCTTCTCCATAAGAAATAGTCTTACTTTTTTTCAGATGGTGATTTTTCATGGAGCATTCAGAAGATGTCTTATTCCAAAGCGATTCAAGTAAGCATATGAAGCTTTTTATATATAGATTGGTAGATTTATTACCTTTTTAAAGTGTCAATTTTGCTCTACTAAAAACCTTACTTTTTTCCTCAGATCAGACAAAGTCAAAGGACATGTGGTTGGCATAGATTTAGGCACAACCAACAGCTGTGTGGCTGTTATGGAAGGAAAACAAGCTAAAGTTCTTGAAAATTCTGAGGGATCTAGGACTACTCCTTCTGTCATAGCTTTCACTAAAGACGGAGAGAGACTTGTCGGAATGCCAGCCAAGCGTCAAGCAGTCACAAACGCTCAAAATACACTTCATGCTACAAAGCGTTTAATTGGTCGTAGATTTGAGGATCCTGAAGTTCAAAAAGACATGTTAGTTTCCTTTAAAGTATTTATTAACATATTAAAAAATTATTTGGGTCGTTTTTGGTTATTTTTTCTCTTAAATATTTTTATGTGATACACAAGTACTGCACTAAAGTTTTTCCTATGAAGCCTTTAATTATTTACACCTTGATTTAAATCCCTTTAAAAAAATAATTTTTCCCCTTCATTTGTTTAAATGTGCACTTTTTCTTTTGTTATGTGATTGCATCTCTATTGACCTTTTTTTTTTTTTTTTTTTTTTTTTTTTTTTTTTTTTTCTCAGCAAAACTGTTCCGTACAAGATTGTTAAAGCATCCAATGGTGATGCTTGGTTAGAGGCTCAGGGAAAGCTATATTCACCAAGCCAGATTGGTGCTTTTGTTTTGACTAAAATGAAGGAAACTGCAGGTATAGTAAATTAAATAGTGCTAAAATTTTAGCGTAGTTTGTGGTCATAAATTCAATATTAATTTTTATTGTACATTTCTCAGAGAGTTACCTTGGAACCAAAGTTAAGAATGCTGTTGTAACTGTACCAGCTTACTTCAATGATTCACAAAGACAGGTATTTCATTTTCTTGTGTGTTTTTGTTTGTTTGTTTTTGTTTAAATATGTTGATGGTTTTCCGTAAAATCTATTTATCCTTTCTTAGGCTACTAAAGATGCAGGTCAGATTGCTGGATTGAATGTGCTACGTGTGATTAATGAGCCAACAGCTGCTGCTCTTGCCTATGGCATGGACAAAACAGAAGATAAAGTGTAAGTATCTCTTTACATGGTCATCTATTTAGTTAAATAATTTTCATATTTGCCTGCTAGTTTGTGTAACTTAACTATCAAACATTCTCTTCCAGCATTGCCGTCTATGATTTAGGAGGAGGTACCTTTGATATTTCTATACTGGAAATTCAGAAAGGTGTCTTTGAAGTCAAATCTACCAATGGTGACACATTCCTTGGTGGTGAAGATTTTGACAATGCACTTGTTAATTTCTTGTCTGGTGAATTTAAAAAAGAGGTATTGAGTTTATTTATGTATAAGTCTTTTCCGTTTTGAAGTCCCTGTATTTTTTTTTTAAGTTGGGTTTGTACCAAATTCTTAATGGCAAATGTAATTGCTAATTTTTAGCAAGGAATTGACATCACAAAAGATACAATGGCAATGCAGAGATTGAGAGAAGCTGCAGAGAAAGCAAAATGTGAACTGTCCTCTTCAATGCAGGTACAATAAGACTACATTTTATATTTGTGTTTTGATACCTTAATTGAAATTTTGTATTTTACTGTATGATAAAGTATGCTTGTCATTCTAACAATTTCAAATGCATCATCTAGTAATTTTAATGAAAGAAGCCTGTGCCTGTTTTAAGGTACTGCATCATGCTATGATGTTATATTTTTCGTCATCAGTATTGCAACATTTGTAAAATGGTGATATAATCTCACTGAGCATGAGAATAAAGTTTATTTTTGTATTTGACAAATGTTTAGCATTATAATCTAATACAAAACTTTTGCTACAGACTGATATCAACTTGCCTTATCTGACTATGGATGCATCTGGACCCAAGCACATGAACCTAAAGCTTTCACGCTCAAAGTTTGAGTCTATTGTTGAATCTCTAGTGAAAAGAACTGTTGGCCCTTGTCAGAAGGCTTTGCAAGATGCTGAGGTTAAGAAAACTGACATTGGTGAAGTTATTCTTGTTGGCGGTATGACACGAATGCCAAAAGTAAGTTTTTTCAGAGCTGATTGTTTGTCATAATTGTATTGATACTCTAGCTATGATGTTTAATTTTTCGTCATCACTATTACATTTGTAAAATGATGACTCCTTTTCATCTGAGCTTGAGTCTGTAAATATTTAACAGTTGTGTAGGAATAGAGATGTTGCCATACTAAGAATTATATATCAATCGTTCAGGTCCAGTCACTTGTTCAAGAACTGTTTGGTAGAACACCTAGTAAGGCAGTAAATCCAGATGAGGCTGTAGCTATTGGAGCAGCTATTCAGGTACAGGGCTGAGAAATTAGTTTTTTTAATGCTGGCCTTTTTATCTATTGATAGTAAGTTTGTACATAATAACTTTCCATTTTAGGGTGGTGTGTTAGCTGGAGATGTAACTGATGTGTTGCTTCTAGACGTCACTCCTCTGTCACTTGGCATTGAAACTCTAGGTGGTGTCTTCACAAAGTTGATCAACAGAAACACAACTATTCCAACCAAGAAAAGCCAGGTATGTGTGTGCAGCTATCTGTAGTGATGACTTTAATCCTTGTGTTGTCTGCCCTTTGGTACAGGTGACTAGCTTTACCATTTTCTCTTGTAGGTTTTCTCTACTGCTGCTGATGGACAGACCCAAGTAGAGATTAAAGTTCACCAGGGGGAGAGAGAGATGGCTTCAGACAACAAACTCTTGGGACAGTTCACATTGGTATGATTTTCTCTAATAAACATGCATAGCCCTGACCTTTTTGCTCTATTGCCTCTATCATATATTTTAGGATAAGTTTAAAACTGCGCAAAAATGTGTTGTAAACATTTAAAGAAACCTTGAATTTTAGTGATGATGGATAAGGATGTAGAAAAGGTATAAACCATGCTTATAGCATTTATTGCGCAAATTTTGACATCTGAAGTTATTCCATAACCTATATATTTTAAAGTTAGGTTTGGTTGTTTGTTTTTTTTTTTTTTTTTTTTTTTTTTTTTTTTTTACATGTGCTAATGTCTACAATCAGTTTTTTTTCCTCGCTTGGTCTTTAGTTTTATTTATCTTTAAATATAACATCAGTTTCTACACCATGCACAATATTTTAACTGAAAGTTGTGTCAGATATTAATTTTTCTGTAGTGAAAATCCTATTTGTTTTGTAAGCATTGTTGGAAAATCACTCAGTTGGGCTCATGGTTCTAAGATTTATTTTAGAAGCAACTTTGTATACATGTCACTTTATTTTTCAGGTTGGTATTCCACCTGCACCTCGTGGTGTTCCTCAGATTGAGGTAACTTTTGACATTGATGCCAATGGAATTGTTAATGTATCTGCTAGAGATAAGGGCACCGGAAAGGAGCAACAAAGTGAGTTGACGCTTGTGCTGTAAATTCATTTTTAAAATGATTGGATCTGTTATTATTATTTTATAGTTTTTACTTTATGCTTTCCTGTTTCAATGACATGTTTTTGTCTCTTCTGTCTACAGTTGTTATCCAATCATCCGGTGGCTTGTCCAAGGATGAGATTGAAAACATGGTCAGAAATGCTGAGTTACATGCAGAGGAGGATAGGAAAAAGAAGGTATTGCTAAAGATTTATTTTTCTGTTATCGTTTTTCATCTAGTGTTGTAGATGCTAGAGCATTTCAAGTTTCCGACAAATTGGTAATACACACTTTGTTCCACAGGATTTGATTGAGGTCCTGAATCAGGCAGACAGTATCATTCATGATACAGAAAGTAAGATGGAGGAATTTAAAGATCAACTACCTAAAGAAGAGGTAATTTTTAAAAAACAATAGTTTTCTGTAATTCTTTTTAACTGTTAAAACTTGCTTTTTAAATTTATTTTACGTTTAGCTTTTTTTTTTTACATGTATAATACTTGCATTTCAGTGTGACAAGCTTAAAGAAAAAATTGAATCTGTCAAGCAAGTAATTGCAAATAAAGACAGCAAAACTCCAGAAGAAATCAAGCGTGAAACTTCTGAATTGCAACAAGCATCTCTTAAACTCTTTGAGATGGCATATAAAAAGGTAACTAATTTTAGTTTGTAAAATAGCTGGAAACTGCTATTTTGTAATTCCTAATTTGAGTGATCAATGTATTCCCAGTGGTTAATGTGTGAATTTTTTGTTCATCAGATGGCTGCAGATCGTGAAGGATCTAGTGGTGGCAGCAGTAGCTCTAGCTCTACTGATTCAACACAAGGGGATAAGAAGGAAGACAAGAATTAAGTCCCCTGCCCTGTATAGCTGTTAACAAATGGATGAACCATTTGTTTTGTTTATGAGAAACTGATCCATTTTTATCTGCATTTTCACATTAATGCATGTAGTATGATAGATTTTGAAAGATGAATGAGTGATGTGAAACTTTTGTACATTTTATAAGCTGATAACTGAACAATATTGGTGCAGATTGATGTATAGTTTAAAATCTGGTGATGTGTCACCATAAAATCATTTTAAACTGTTACTTGTTAATTTTAATATATGTTGTAATGACCATGAATATGAATATTTCCTTTAGACAGACTTAAATTGCACTAGATAAACTCATCAATGTTTGTTAGATCATTAGCTAAATCGAGCATGTAGATTTATGCTCAATGTTTGGGCATTTTCTGAATATTTCGTTTTCAGCCATTGTGAAGATTTTTTTTTTTTCTAATCATTGTGATATTTAAAGAAATAAAATTGTCCAGATGTTTGGGTTCAGGCTTGTTGCTTGTCAGTTCTTTTTGTTGTCTAAGGCTTTTACTCTATTTTGACCGGTTTTGATCAGACACATCTGAACTGAAATAGCTGTGATGTGATATCATTTACAGAACTCTGGCAAGACAAGAAGGGTATCAACCAAAGCTGGCCACAAACTAAAATAGTCCTCTAATTGTAAATTGACATTGTGTTATTTTTTCATTTGGATGTAATTTTTTTCATGGTACTTTTTATACCATTAGTTTTTTTTCTCAACTTTTAATAGTTAATGTAGGATGTTAAAACCCTTGGAAATGACTGAAATGGGCAAGTTTGTGGGTCGTGGGCTTTTTGTGCGTAAGACTTCCAGATAAGTCAAACATCCAATCTTTAATACAATTAGTCATTAACTTTTTAAAAAAATAAAATATCACGACACTCAATAGTAACGGGGGAGATAGCCGTTGAATCGTAGATTTCGCCACGGGAGCGTGTGCGTGCTACATGATGGGACAGCTAAACAAACGTGCATGTTGTAACCCTTGTTGGGGGTCGTCCATAAATGACGTTACACTCGGAGGGGGGTCCGTAATTTTAAAATGGGGGGGGGGGGGTTTCAGATGTGACGTCAGACTTTGGCATTATTAAAAAAACAATGTTAGAAAACGAGTTTTAGCCGCTATTTCGCGTATTAGAAAACTGTTTTAATAACTTACAATTTTCGGAATTGATCGAAATACTCGACGTTGACGAGTTCTGACAAGGTTTTGGAAAAATATCGATGTTTTAAGAAAAATTCAACTGCAATTTTGAGGGGGTTGTAGGCTGAGGTGTGACGTCATTTTAGGGGGGGGGGGGCAGTAGCGTACCCAGGGGGGGAGCGGCCGCTCCCCCTCTGGCCATTTTCAGCAAAGTGGCGCCTTTTTGGAAACTTTTTAAACAATGATATTTGTTAAAAAACATTTTTGGTCGGCACATCTATGTAAATCACAAGATTTCTTTTCATGCAGCAATTAAGCATTATTGTACTAGTCTAGTAGTGTCTACGTTTACAACACATATTAACAGCTGCATCAGTTTGCCATTCTAAAAATAACCATTAAGATGCATTGCAATGTAAAAAAAAAAAACCTCTACGGGTAGTACCACTTGGCAAGAGGGGTGTTAAGTTTAAGGCAACTGTATAATGTAATTGCTTACGAATAATTGAATTAGAAAATGTTATACATAAAACTTCACACATAATTACTTTATATAGACAGTTTGAATCTTGTGATTAATTTAAAAAAAATTACAATACAGAAACAAATACAACTGATGTGGCCCTTCTATTTAAATTTACTTATGAGCAAACTGCGTAGTGGTGGGGAAATTTTGACAAGGTCAACAACGTCATCACGATGAAGTAGTAGTTTTCTTACAGTTTGTGCGATAGTGATACGATTACAAATTATATGAAACAGTTACAACCCCCCTCCTCCATGGGCCCCCTCTGTAAAAAAATATTGTCATAATACCACTGCTACTTATTTAAATCTATTTCTGTAATATATATTTGTGTAATATATATGTATGTTTAGAACAGTCATCTAAAAACGGACGATATCTTCAATCTGAGTTGGTTATCCCCCCCCCCCCCCCCCCCCACACACACACCTCACCACCACAATTGTGTAGAGCGACATTAATGTCACACCTAGGTATACACTGTTTGGATAATTGACCTAAAGTAACCGGACAGTGGTGAATGAAGTTGAACCCCCCCCCCCAACCCATCCCGAACTGATCTGTTAAGTACATGTAGAAAAAGATGTAATGATGTACCAAAGTACCATGCCGCCAGAAAATTAGCTTTTTAAACCTAAAACTCTGTGAATATTGTTTTTGCAATTACCAGTGATCTAATACAGCGATCTAACCCATACCTATCGCTATGTTAAAAATGATCTTTAAAGAACACAAAGAAGCAGTAGTTAATTAAAAATAAATGATCTGAACTAAAAGACCGATGTTTAGTTAAATGTAGGCTGTTATTTCGAATGTTTTTCGATTACTGTTGTTGTTTTGGGGTTTAAAGTCCGCTTTCAAACTTACGTTTATATCGCAGACTATTTTTGGTGGTTAGTTCGTGGTTTTTGTGTATATACAGTTTGATTTCATTTGTTTTCCTTTCATTTTTGGGTGTAGTTTTTTTATTGTGCGGGATTTGTATTTTGTTATTGGGTGAATATTATTTTATCTTTACAGCTTATTAGACTGATTCTTCGGTTTTGTGCACATATTTTTTTACCAGGCTAAGCAGAGTGGATGGGGCGTCCATAGCCAGTAATGTTTCTGTTGTTAGTAATGTGTTTTTGTTACGAATAATTGAATTAGAAAATGTTATACATAAAACTTCACACATAATTACTTTATATAGACAGTTTGAATCTTGTGATTAATTTAAAAAAAATTACAATACAGAAACAAATACAACTGTACGTCCACCCGACGGGAGACTGCAAGTTACAGAAGACCAACGGCCACCCATTAATAAAAAAATTACAAGGCTGCGTCTAGGTTCAGCCTCCTTCATTCACACAAAGAAATGGTGCCACACCTGCAATGAAATAAACACAATAGACCACTACCTAATACACTGTAAGGCATACAACAATCAAAGAAAAGAACTCATCAACTACTTCCAGATTTTCGATTACATCGAAAAGCGTTGTTTTATACCAACTCTGATTTTAAAAACTTTCATTATGCTGTAATACTTTAGCATTTATGATGACGATATATTAAATTATGATTATAGACAAAAACATTTTGTAAACACGAATAGTGTTAAACAATTTCATTATATTCTAAAGTAATTATTTATTTGTTTTGACATTTATAATTAAATGTGAAGATATATACATATTTATATTAAGAGAGTGATTATTTCCCCTATTTCACTTGTCTTAAATAATATCCCAGGAATTATTATGTAAGAAATTTTTTCTACAAGAATTACAAAACAGATTGTGTTACGTTCATTGTTTTTTGTTGTAGTGTGTGTATATATATATATATTTTTTTTTTATTTAGATTGATACAATTTTTGCTTTGTCGGCCTACATTGTGTGTTTTTTCTTATTTCTTCAGAGTGCTACTTTCAATTTATTTTACATCATAGCGAAGTAATGACATACAGCTAGTAATTTTATATATATATATATATATATATATATATATATATATATATATATATATATATATATATATATATATATATATATATACATATATATATATATAATACAAGTATATAGAACGTGTTACAAATTCGGCGCCTTTTTTTGCTCTTTTCGCTCCCCCTACAACGAAAACCTGGATACGCCTCTGGGGGGGGGGGGGGCGCTTGCTTTTGAGACGGAGGGGGGTAAAAATCGCCAAAAAGTGTGATGTCATTTATGGATGACCCCTTATCTACCACTATCAACTTAAAAGCTAACAGTTGTAACACTATATGGATTATCAATTAACAGACCGCTACTAAACCGTTTTAACATTTATATTAAGTGACTACGTATCTATAACAAGGTGTTCATTTTATGATAGTCAAGTATAGCTGTAGAGGTAGGCGTGGCCAAGATTTCCAACGAAACTCCCACGAATTGTTAGACTAGATATTAATTTCTCGGTTACCTCCCTTCACACGGCTCAATCTGTCAAGTTAGTTCAGCCGTCCTTTGCTGCTATTAATAGAGAGAAACTTCTAGGGTTTTCTTTTTCTGAGCTTATTTTTATCTATTAAATATCCAGGCTTACACTTTAGGACGTGTCTATCAACATTTAGGTATCATTTTCCTTGTTTTAATAACGAAAGATAGGGGGAATATTCAGAAAGAAATGAAGATTCTTAGAGTTTATGGTCAACTTCTGTTGTCTGCTATTGTAATGACCGTCAGTGGACAATCTGTGCCGATGATTCATCCGATAGCTTTCAGGTAACTTGATATCATGTTAATACAGTGCACGTTTAATTATATAATTATATAATGTTAAACACAGAAAATATGCATTTGAGTGCCGTATATTTACAATAGTAAAATCAATTTGTTAGCAAAATAGAAGAAGTTCAGTGGTCAAATTAACTATAGCGCCATGTTGCAATATTTATATTAGGTTTTTGTTTCATCACAGATAAAACGTCTCATCGGTTTCTTTATTTTTGGTTATTTTGATTACGTCAACAATCTATTCTATATCTTTTACCCCCCCCCCCCACACACACACACACGCGCGCAACTCGAAATTGTACGATAGATATTTTACTTACAACCAGACCCCCCCCCCCCATACACACACTCCATTTAACATAGTTCACTATTTAATAATCTTAACTCCCCCCCCCCGAAGAAAGTCAACCCCCCCCCCTCCCCCCAACGATATGGAATTTATATAGAAAACATACTTTTACCAGTACCAGTGTCGTCGTCGTCCTCACCCCCCCCCCCCACCCCCTCCTCTGACCAGTCCATTATTTAACACTAACCCTAACCCAGTTACTTGATCTATTTACAGCCTCCCTCACCCCCTCCTCTGACCAGTCCATTATTTAACACTAACCCTAACCCAGTTACTTGATCTATTTACAGCCTCCCCTCCACCCCCTCTTTAACCGGTCCATTATTTAACCCTAACCCAGTTACTTGATCTATTTACAGCCTCCCCTCGCCCCCTCCTTTGACCGGTCCACTACTAATCAACAACGTGCTGAGCAAGGCTGAGAGAGTACACCCAAACTTGATCAACGGACCCAGCAGTTTTGTCAGCAAAGGCGGTTAGATGGTCTATGTCGTGATGTTGACAGATGGTCTATGTCGTGCTATTGACAGATTAGATGGTCTATGTCGTGATGTTGACAGATGGTCTATGTCGTGATGTTGACAGATGGTCTATGTCGTGATGTTGACAGTTTAGATGGTCTATGTCGTGATGTTGACAGATGGTCTATGTCGTGATGTTGACAGATGGTCTATGTCGTGATGTTGACAGATGGTCTATGTCGTGATGTTGACAGATGGTCTATGTCGTGATGTTGACAGATGGTCTATGTCGTGATGTTGACAGATGGTCTATGTCGTGATGTTGACAGATGGTCTATGTCGTGATGTTGACAGATGGTCTATGTCGTGATGTTGACAGATGGTCTATGTCGTGATGTTGACAGATGGTCTATGTCGTGATGTTGACAGATGGTCTATGTCGTGATGTTGACAGATGGTCTATGTCGTGATGTTGACAGATGGTCTATGTCGTGATGTTGACAGATGGTCTATGTCGTGATGTTGACAGTTAGATGGTCTATGTCGTGATGTTGACAGTTAGATGGTCTATGTCGTAATGTTGACAGATGGTCTATGTCGTGATGTTGACAGATGGTCTATGTCGTGATGTTGACAGATGGTCTATGTCGTGATGTTGACAGATGGTCTATGTCGTGATGTTGACAGATGGTCTATGTCGTGATGTTGACAGATGGTCTATGTCGTGATGTTGACAGATGGTCTATGTCGTGATGTTGACAGATGGTCTATGTCGTGATGTTGACAGATGGTCTATGTCGTGATGTTGACAGATGGTCTATGTCGTGATGTTGACAGATGGTCTATGTCGTGATGTTGACAGATGGTCTATGTCGTGATGTTGACAGATGGTCTATGTCGTGATGTTGACAGATTGGATGGTCTATGTCGTTAGTTTTGTTATGTTTGCTGATTTTCTTAAAGCATTTCATCTGAGGACATCTTTCTTTGAGATGTTTCCAAGTGTTGTCTACAAATTATATCCGGCACAAAAAAAGAATATGAACGATCTTCAAGAATATTATTGAGTTTTGAATTTTAAAATCCATTTTTACATTTCGTCATTGACATGTTTCTCTCTGTACTTTATTTCCTCTCGAGTCCAACAAAAATGTTTGTGTTGTATATAAAATGTTTGTGTTGCATATAAAACTGTTGTGTCCTACCACTAGATGACCTGTACGTCAGCACCAAGGACAACAAAATTTACCAAGTGGCCGCCTGCCCACCTCGGCTGGTCGCCACACTTTCCCCGACAGGATGTGGTAAGTTGATTTGAACTCACTCGTCACATTTGATTAAATAATAATCATTAAAAAAGTTTTAAAAAACCCACGTTTTCTGATTGAACTAAAAAGTAGAAAATAAATGCTATAGGCCCTACATCACAATAATGCAAGCGATCACTCTACTATAAGCGATGAAAAACGTGGGGCGCCGAAGTAAAAGTTATATTACTATTGATTAGATAATACTATTGACTTTTATTAGGGAGCTTGTAGAGAGTCAACAGTATTAGAAACTGTAAGAAAATCACGGCGCCCCACGTTTTTGCTCGCTTATAGTAGAGTGATCGCTTGCATTATTGTGATGTAGGGCCTATAGCATTTATTTTCTACTTTTTAGTTCAATCAGAAAACGTGGGTTTTTTAAAACTTTTTTAATGATTATTATTTTCTACTTTTTAGTCTTTGTCTGTTTGTTTGCATTAAAATCTTGCTATCGATTTTATCTTTTCACTTTTTTTGGGTAAACGAAGACAACTCGTAAAAAGACAACTCGTAAAAAGACAACTCGTAAAAAACACGTTGTTTGAATACGTTACTGACTAGAACACATAGATTTGAACCCGTGTCGAGTGGGATAGCAATCGTGTGCCCAACCACTCGACCATATCGTCTCCCCCAAACTGGCCTACCTCCTGTAAGTTTAAACTCGGTTCAAGCTAAATTCTCTGCCCCTAAGCCTGTGGCGACATGTGATCGTTCGCTTCACTGCGCGCGAGGTACGCGTCGCTGGTTTTTTTTCTAATGGCTAGCAGAGGAGAATTATATATATAGATTATATAGCGGTCTAAAATGCTCAATAAAATGTTTCCATTGATCAATTTAGTAATAATAACAATTGAATATTCAATGGTCATCCAAAAGAAAGCTTCCCTGAAAATTTCAGCGCGCTAGCTAACTGGGAAGTGCCAGAAATTTCGATCGCAAGATTTGATTGGAAAGACAAACAAACAAACAAAGACACAGAGAAAGCAAGTTAAAGAAAACGTGGGAATTAAATCGTTAGGCTGATTAATGACAGTGGTCAAATTAATTTGGGATAGAGGGTTAAAAAGATTGCTGTTAGTTTTTTTTTTTAAATATTACACTTTTACAACATGCTTAGTTAAGTATATCATAATAAATGGGAATGTTTTGAAGGATGTAGACATAGAACAAACCTTCAAATTATTATTCTACTCTTGACCACCCTCCAGAAACACCTAATCACCCCCCCCCCCCCACACACACACAACCTAACCACGCTCCACAAACACCTAACCACCCTACACCCAACCACCCTACACTTAGCCACCCTACACCTAAAAGATCACCCAACATACAACCACCAGTACAACGAGTCTGGGACTGAAGCGATTTCTATCTTGCAGCAACCATCAACACGTGTGGACAACTGATGAGCCTAAGGATGGACCCAATGAGTGGTCAGCTGGTCACTCTTGACGCCTACAGGGGTCTATTTCTTGTCAACCCACTAACTGGTAGGATATGTACCAAGATACTTTTATAAACTCCATCTTTTGTACCAGTGCCCCCTCCAACTTTTTACTCATGTTCCAGTAGCTAAAATTTTAAAAATTCAATTAGATAATGAGTTCAATATTTTATTTACACACTTCTTAGACTTAGCAAAAAACGATAAATAGTTAAATTAATATACATTTGTACACTATGTTGTTTTTTTTTGTTTATTTCTATCCCGATTGAAGAGATTATGTTAGTTATAAAAACTATGTCAACGACTGTGTATCATTTCAATTCTGTCATGTTGGTACCCTCAGGGGCGGTGAAACAAATTTATTCCACGATGACGCCAGTGAACGGTCGACGCCCGGTCCATTTGAATGATATGGTTATCGCTCCTAATGGCGTCATCGTAATGAGTGACTCCAGTGACACGTACACTTACGTAAACGATGTTTATATTTGCATGGACGGAAGGCCGACTGGAAGGTAGGTAAATCGTACCACAAGGCGCTGAAACTTGTCGAAACAAACCTTCTTTTAGTGAAAGTTGATTTAACGATACTCGTCTTAAACTAACAAAACTTGATTTAACAAACTGGTTTAACAAAATGACTTAATAAACTGATGTAAGAAAGTGATGTAAGAGATGGATTTAACATACATTAATTTAGAATAACTTGATTAAGCACAACATGTTAAACCTACGATTGTCTAACAAATCTATTCAAAACAGTTTTCAACTAATAATTTAAAAAAAAACCCACACACACTCAGCGCTTTAAAAATCTGCTGTACCAAAGTTGTTTTATTAATACTTATTACATTAAGGATCAAACTATGCAGTATAATTTATTATAGTCTGATTTCAAACATTATAATAGTTTCCTCGACATTATATTTTCCTGGCATCATTTTATTGACGTGACGTCATTACATAAACCGATAATCGACTTAGTTAATTGGTAATTTGTACTAATCGTTCTACTTCTTTTAAAAAAGAAGTTTGGAAAATCAACACATTTTAATTGGGATGATCTAATAAAAGAATCAATGTCCCACCCTTGCAGACTGATCGTCTTTGATATGAAGACCGGTGCCGCGTCAGAGATTTTGGCCAAAACGTTCAACTTTCCCAACGGGCTGGAGCTTACAGTAGACGGTGACCTGCTTGTGACGGAGACCTGTCGGGCCAGGATACACAGGTTGTCAAAGTTTTGAAGAATTCTCTCGTTAAGTGGGCCGCTTCCGTCTCCTAAACGGTGGTTTATGCTAATTAATATAACCTTAGTTATGTTAATTTTAGGTATGTTAGGTTTATTTGAATAGGCTTGTAACGAAGCTTTTACAAGAGGCATTTAGATGAATGCACTCTCCTTATTTAAAAGTTATAAACATTCTTTTCATGGATTGAATAATATTTTTATTAGTAAAACAAAAAGCTGATGGGGCGCCGTGGTCTAGCGGCAGAGAGCTAAACTGCTAACCCGAACGTCTCGATTTCGAATCCGATTTCAAATAAGTAAAACGTCAATGAGCTCTGATGGGTAAATTAAGGAAACTAAGGCGGCCTGGCATAGTGCTGACTATCCACTTGTATGCCGAGTTTTTCATTGAAACAGATGAGCTGTACTTCATTTGCCCACGTGTCTCGGGCACAAACGGGAAAAGATAATTATGAAAACAAAAAGTTAATAAAATAATACAACTTTAAGTTCATAATTCTTACTTACGTCCCCTTACCCCTCCCCATTTAAAAAAAAATTGCACCAACTTCAGGGTGAGTTTGAAACGACCCACATGGCTACAGATGAGTCCATTTACGGTCAACCTGCCCGGACTCCCAGACAACATCCGGTCGTCAGGTCGAGGGACCTACTGGGTCGCCATGTCTTATCCACGTCACGCTGGTATCCGTAATCCAGTGGATCTCAACGCCAGAAATCCACAATACAGAGCCTCTGGGTTTAATGTAAGTGTTGCTCGTTTGACCGGAGATGGGAGAACTAAATGTCAGACATAAAAAAAAATAAAACGAATTTAGAATTAAATGGCACAAAAAAAGCTAGTTTTAATTAGGGGAGACAAACAGCTAAAATTAAAACAGAGAAACGAAGGGAGACAAATAGCTTTAAAAAATAATTAAAGGAAGAAACAAAGAGAGACAACAGCTAGAATTAAATAACAGAAATAAGGGGAGATAAAAAAAAAAGCTACAATTAAATGAGAAAAACGAAGGGAGACGACAACTTAAATTGAAGAAAAAAGAAAAGTCAGAAAACAATGGCTACAATTTATAGAAACAATGGATGAAAGTGAATTGCACATCTAAAAATAAATGACAGAAACAAGAAAGAAAAAAAGAACACCGACAACATACGACTGTATTTCTTGCATGTGTCGGTCACTTCGCGAACTGCCCGAAATGTCCTGGCTAATGTCCGAAGTAGGTTCCTGTGTGATGCTGTTTTAATTCTCCTGGCAGTGACTTGATCGTCAGTAATGCATTCCTCGGCTCGTTTTAAACAGCATCTAATATATGCATGACAAAAGTAGAAAAGGCTTGCAAATAGGCAGCCAAATATGGATTACTACTGTATGTGGTGGCCCACTGTAAATAACCAGGCGAGACAACCATCAAAGAACGAAATCAAAGACACCATACACACAAATCAAGTTAGAAAGTTCAATAGATAATAATCCAGTTGCGTGGGTGAGGGTGGGGGGGGGTGAAGACCGAACACAGACAGTGTTGTTTTGATTTACCGTACTAACGTAATGCCCGAAATTAAATTAGTTTTAAAGTTAGAAAATTAACCACAATACAATAATTTGACTAATATCGTACATTAATTAATAACCGGCATATACCTAATTTTATGATAACGGTATTCTTATTCGGATTTTGACCGGTCGTCCTTAGCCAGCTCGCGAACTAATTGGCTAATGAATGAAATGTTTCGAAATTTCCACATCGAGAATTGACTTCGGGCTCTGGTCTTAACACATTATGCAATACGAAACAGGTTAGGTAGACAGACAGACAAGAGCAGACAGACAGACAGACCAGACATACCAGACAGAACAGACAGACTAGACAGACCAGACAGACCAGACAGACCAGACAAACCAGACAGACAGACAGACCAGACAGGCCAGACAGACCAGACAGACCAGACAGACCAGACAGACAGACCAGACAGACAGACAGACCAGACCAGACAGACAGACCAGACCAGACCAGACAGACCAGACAGACCAGACAGACAGGCCAGACAGGACAGACAGACCAGACAGACAGACCAGACCAGACCAGACCAGACCAGACCAGACCAGACAGACAGACAGACCAGACCAGACCAGACCAGACCAGACAGACAGACCAGACCAGACCAGACCAGACCAGACAGACAGACCAGACAGACCAGAGAGATCAGACAGTTTACTAAAAAATAAATTGTGCCGAGATAGTTTATGACCTTATTTTCGTTGAAGAACTTTTGCTGCACCAAATGTAGGACAATGTGATCGTTTTTTTGCTGCCCTTTTGCGGGCATGTTTTACATTCATTTGTCAAAACCTGACAAGATTTAATTAGAAACTCTCGTGTTCTGGTGACACGCGGCAGGGTGAGAGTGCGTTACGCATGTCCACATTTTTAGTAGCGGCCTATGGAGGCAACCTGGACAAGATTCTTCACTTACAGTTACATTTTTTTATTTTAAAAAAATCGCGTAGTTTCGTCAAAAAAGTTTTAAAGTTGAGTTAGTAATCGTGTAAACTTGCGTCATGAAATATTTTAATCTGTATGAATATGGGTAAATTAAAATGGCTGCCGGTGAAGGGTTGGACCGTAATTCTAATTATGTAACACAAAACAAAAAAATTTGCCAGTAGACTTTTTTAGACTGAGCTCTCGTTGTATTTTAGTGAGTGGCAGGTGTGCAAGTAGTAATCACGATAGTAGTTTTAGTGTTAGCGGTGGTAGTGTGGTAGTGCTAGTCGTGCTGGTGTTGGTAGTAGGGATTGGTAGTTCTGGCGGTGGGAGTGTGGGTTAGTAGTACTAGTGTTGCTGGCGGTGGTATCTGGGTAGTGCTCGTGGTGATAGCGGTGGTAGTGTGGGTAGTGCTCGTGGTGATAGCGGTGGTAGAGTGGGGTAGTGCGGAGAGTACTAACGGCGGTAGTGTGGGTTTGAGCTAGTATTGCTAGCGGTGGTGGGGGAGAGAGGGAAAGAAGAAGAAATGGGAGAATAACGCATTTCATTGTGTTTACAGTGGGTCTCAAAAGACGAGCTGAGATCCATCTTTGCCAAATGGGCGATAGCTGTGGAGACAGATGTTAACGGTACAATGATAGGCAGCCTTCACGACCCCACAGGTAATCATCGGTGGTATTTGTTATCATCCCGTTATCATTCTTATAATCCTTAGCCTTATCATAATCCTTGTATTATCAGGGTTATAATACTTAGCGGTGTCATTGTTACAATCCTCAGTGTTATCGAGTGTTAGTGTTTTTATGTATTGTTAAAATCCCGTTATCGTTGTTATATCCTTAAGCAAAGTTTTTAAAAAAATGAGAATTTTTTATTTTATTTTTAATTTAAAAGCTAATTACTTCTAAACATATTTTTTGCATTTTGTATGCAGTTTGTCTCGGAGGTAACTCATTAATTTTCTAATTCTCTTTATTAGAATAATTAGCGGCGAGTAAATGTCAAGTTATTTCTTATGCTAGGAACCACACTACAGATGTTGACAGAGGTTCATGAATTCGGGGGCGTGATCAACGTTGGCAGCCATCTTGTGCCGTATATGGCAAGAGTTATATTCCCTGATGCCAGTGCGGTCAAGGCCAAGGTCAATTTAGACGGTTACATCCAGGTAAGAAAGAGTCACCTGACGTGAGGTACAGGATTTTTAATCCTACATATATCACAGCTCTGATCACGCTTCTTATCTCAGTCTTCGTTCTGTGACAACTCAAAGTACATAAACTAAACAACACGGCTCGCTAAACAGTACACAGAGACTCGACAATAAAGGGACATCACCAATAAACATATAATACAAGGGACGTAAGTCTAACTACCAAGACATAATCTAACAATCACAGTAAATCCTATCGATTTCATGGTGTTTGCCTCAACGTTACATACTTCTTTTAAAAGCTTTTCTTTTGGAGTCTTCTTTGGCTTTTTGAGATGATACAGGACCATCTGAATGGGTAGTGTGGGCCCATACTTATCGTCTAAAACCCAAGGGTTTTTATTAATTTGTTTTTAATATCTATTTTTAGCAAATCTCGATAACTTTTACTATGTAGCAACCTTAGATGGGTATTTATTTTTAAATCTTTGAAACCATGAATTCTTTACATTAAAACTTTTGAAAATGTTCTAAATCTTTGTACTTTGTTCCCAGGTAGCGCGAAGCAGGTGTCAGCTGCCAGACAGTCAAGTGGCCAGCAGACGACAAGAGTTTTCCAAAAATGCTCCAAAGCCGTAAAAGATGTAGACTGTAGACGTATAACCAAGCAGTTGACAAACAACAAAAGTTGACCAGAAAGTTCACAACCATCATAGAAGTAGAGAAAATAGCTCAGTAATGTGGAATGTGGACAGACATGTGTGAAATTTGCTGTATTTAATGCAATGTGCATTCTAACACTATGAGATTAATTAATAGAATGCTAGGCTACAGATTAGAAAAGATAGCTGTGACGTCTGTTTAATGCTAAATCCAGTGAAAGACACTTCAGACTTTAAGAAAAAAAAAGAGTATTTTATTATTCGAAATATTTAACACACATATACATGAAAATAAAGAAATTATTTTATTTCTACAACTTCGAAAAGTCTAAAATTGCTAACAGGCTTTTTAATATTTTTTTAATTAAGCGTTAAAATGGTTACTATAGTTGATGTTGCTAGGGTATGTTTGGGCTAATTTTAACTGAGGAACTGTTTTCTTTTTGTCTTATTAAGATGAACTTCAGCTTTAGTCTTTGTGAAACCAATTGTTACTTTAGTATTAATTAACTTAAAAAATAACTTGATAAATAAACTTTCACATTGTGTTTCTTTAATTGCTTCTGTTTTCTAATTCAATATCTTAATTTTTTTTAAAAATCCAATCCAGTTAATAAAATCAATAAACAGAGTGCAAACCATCAGATCCTTATGTCAATTTTTTAAACACGACTGTACATGTCTGCACAGCACAAAGAACGATCAGTGGTGGATGTAAGAGTATTGTTCTGTTGAACAAATATATATATATATATATATATATATATATATATATATATATATATATATATATATATATATATATATATATATATTAATATATATATATATATATATATATATATATATATATATATATATATATATATATAGAGAGAGAGAGAGAGAGAGAGAGAGAGAGAGAGAGAGAGAGAGAACCATAGCGATTCCATGGCGGGAGTGTAGAAGGTGATTACATGAATATGTTATAGCAAACTACATTCAAGGACAAACTACAGGGCAGCAATTGTTTTCTCTGCTAAATGGCTTGCTGTCCCCAGCGATCGGGCCTCATCTGCCCGGGGGTTCGAACTCGGGAATTTTCGGTTTAGCAACCATGAGCTTATACCGGCATGACTTGACTACGCCCCCCCCCCTTCCCCCCTCCCCCCCTCCTACCTCCGCAAAAGAAGATTTTCGCATGCTGCATTGTTTTCCTATAAAGCAGACAATTATTCTCGTTGTTCTAAATTGAAAAAAAAAACAACCAAATATTTTATTATTTATAACTCATGCTGAAATAAAACCAAGATATAAACAATTGTATGGGCTGCTTTTAAAAACAAATACAAGAAAGAGTTCCTTTTAAGAACACGAACATGAATGCATAATGTTAAAACATGAAAGTGAAATAAGTCATTATTTCAATCAATTTTTATCTCGGCTATCTAAACGTGGACTTAATGTGTATGTGTTCTCTGTTGCCTCTGTTTCTAAAACCCTTGCTACGCCACGGAGCGGAGGAACCTGTCAAACAAAACTAACCACAACAGGTTTACCAGAAGAGTGAAGAAGTTCTGTAACTGTAAACACAGGTATTTAACCAATGTTTTAGAACATGCAGGCCAACACGTTTAAACCGCGACGGCCTTGACATTGAAGCAAATTATGCTCTATGGAAATCCTTTTTGTATCAGAAAAAAAGAATAGCACTTGAAACTTCGGGGGGGGGGGGGGGGGGGGGGGGAGGGAGATGGCACTTGAAAATTTCAGGGGAGGGGGCACTCGAAACTTCTTTTTCGCTGGGGGGGGGGGGGCGGAGAACATGTACTGGGGGCGGGGGAGAGATGCCTAAAAGTGATCATAGTCATGTTAATACGTTTTTAATTCGAATAACCCCATCCCCTCCCCCATTCTCCTCTAGCCCCTCCCCCAACAACTCAAGTTCCAGGCAAATGTCCTGCCCCAACCTACCATCGTCTGACAAGGGGTTACATTGTACATGAGAGGGGTCTTCAGTCACATGAAGTTCACTGAGCACATAGGACATACAGAAATCTATCTGTAACAAGCTTTTGTTTGTTGAATAAAGCTAACTATTTTGTTTCCATCTTTTCGAATTTCAGTAATTAAATCAATAATACAGTGTGCAGTTGCAGATTTCGACAGTTTTTTTTTTAAATTGAACAGTCGAAAAAAAAATTGATTGTCGAGATTTTGTTTGGTATTCAATATGATTTTTGCGGTTATTTTCGGGTATCTCATCAGACTATTGGGGATGACAGTAGTCAATGGACAGTCGATTCCAGTCATTCAGCCGATAGTCTACAGGTACTATGTGATATAGCACTTTTAAAAATATATCATTTTAGTCAGATATTGAGATAATTCTTACAAATGCAATTGTTTGGCGAGATTTTGGTGTTCGTAGAATAAAAAAAGTGTACCCCATAACTTTAACCAACAATATTATAATTAAAGTTTGAATATTTTCCCAGCCTCCCCACACCCCCGGCCCTGACTGGACCGCTGACACCAAACGATGTGCTGACCAAAGCTGAGAGAGTTCATGTCAACATCATCAAAGGACCCAGCAGTTTCGTCAGCCACGAAGGTAAGTGACGTCATAGTTCCAGGACTGGCATGATGGATTGGTTTTGTCTTGCATCACGTGTTTGATAGGCAGCGCCATCTCTAGTGTGTCAAACAATGGATTATATTGCCTTAAAAAGTATCGTTCTGATGTAGACATTAGTCTAATTATTTTCTACCGTTCTGATGTAGCCATTAGTCTAATTATTCTCTACCGTTCTGATTCTACCCTACCGTTGTGGTGTAGTCTAATTCTTCCCTACCGATGTGACTTTGTCTAATTCTACCCTACCGTTGTGATGTAGTCTAATTCTTCCCTACCGATGTGACTTTGTCTAATTCTACCCTACCGTTGTGATGTAGTCTAATTCTTCCCTACCGATGTGACTGTCTAATTCTACCCTACCGTTCTGATGTTGTCTAATTCTTCCCTACCGTTGTGATGTAGTCTAATTCTTCCCTACCGTTGTGATGTAGTCTAATTTTTCCCTACCGTTGTGATGTAGTCTAATTTTTCCCTACCGTTGTGATGTAGTCTAATTCTTCCCTACCATTGTGATGTAGTCTAATTCTACCCTACCGTTCTGATGTAGTCTAATTCTACCCTACCGGTGTGATGTAGTCTAATTCTACCCTACCAACAGCGAACCTTTATGCTGGAACAGTTGACAACAAAATCTACCAAGTGGCCGCCTGTCCTCCCAAACTTATCGCTAGCCTCTCTCCCCCAGGTTGCAGTAAGTACATGTTCTTTTTTTTATTTATTTATTATTTTGTAAAACTGTGAAATCAAATATAAAAAAAACGTGTCCAATCGTTTAAATTCAGTGAAGTATTTGATCGAACATTAAAATCCTAAAACTATATCATACATTGGCCATAAGGGCCACTGTCTTGTAATGGGTTGGCATTAATTAACAAACGGAATGTTGAAATGTAAGACAAGAATTTGTTGCCAACAATTATTTTTTTTTCGTTTTTATAACGCCGGTGAAAGGTTACTTAATTAATTTGTTTTAGACAGCTGACTTCAATGGCTTAACCAGGAATCTCCGTTTAATTTGTTCGAAAATGTTTTAACATTTGGCCAATAGACACAGTCAACTTTAGCGTGTAACATTGTTCCAATAGACACAGTAAACTTTAGCGTGTAACATTGTTCCAATAGACACAGTCAACTTTAGCGTGTAACATTGTTCGAATAGACACAGTCAACTTTAGCGTGTAACATTGTTCGAATAGACACAGTAAACTTTAGCGTGTAGCATTATTCCAATAGACACAGTAAACTTTAGCGTGTAACATAGTAAACTTAAGCGTGTAACATTGTTCGAATAGACACAGTCAACTTTAGCGTGTAACATTATTCCAATAGACACAGTAAACTTTAGCGTGTAACATTGTTCCAATAGACACAGTAAACTTTAGCGTATAACATAGTAAACTTTAGCGTGTAACATTGTTCCAATAGACACAGTCAACTTTTGGGTGTAACATTGCTTCAATAGACACAGTAAACTTAAGCGTGTAACATTGTTCGAATAGACACAGTCAACTTTAGCGTGTAACATAGTAAACTTTAGCGTGTAACATTGTTCCAATAGACACAGTCAACTTTAGCGTGTAACATTGTTCCAATAGACACAGTCAACTTTAGCGTGTAACATTGTTTCAATAGACACAGTAAACTTTAGCGTGTAACATTATTCCAATAGACACAGTAAACTTTAGCGTGTAACATTGTTTCAATAGACACAGTAAACTTTAGCGTGTAACATTGTTCGAATAGACATAGTCAACTTTAGCGTGTAACATAGTAAACTTTAGCGTGTAACATTATTCCAATAGACACAGTCAACTTTAGCGTGTAACACAGTCAACTTTAGCGTGTAACATTATTCCAATAGACACAGTAAACGCTAGCGTGTAGCATTATTCCAATAGACACAGTAAACTTTAGCGTGTAACATCTATATATCTATAATAATAGTTTCGCTGTCTGTCTATCTATCTATCTATCTATCTATCTATCTATCTATCTATCTATCTATCTATCTATCTATCTATCTATCTATCTATCTATCTATCTATCTATCTATCTATCTATCTATCTATCTATCTATCTATCTATCTATCTATCTATCTATCTATCTATCTATCTATCTATCTATCTATCTATCTATCTATCTATCTATCTATCTATCTATCTATCTATCTATCTATCTATCTATCTATCTATCTATCTATCTATCTATCTATCTATCTATCTATCTATCTATCTATCTATCTATCTATCTATCTATCTATCTATCTATCTATCTATCTATCTATCTATCTATCTATCTATCTATCTATCTATCTATCTATCTATCTATCTATCTATCTATCTATCTATCTATCTATCTATCTATCTATCTATCTATCTATCTATCTATCTATCTATCTATCTATCTATCTATCTATCTATCTATCTATCTATCTATCTATCTATCTATCTATCTATCTATCTATCTATCTATCTATCTATCTATCTATCTATCTATCTATCTATCTATCTATCTATCTATCTATCTATCTATCTATCTATCTATCTATCTATCTATCTATCTATCTATCTATCTATCTATCTATCTATCTATCTATCTATCTATCTATCTATCTATCTATCTATCTATCTATCTATCTATCTATCTATCTATCTATCTATCTATCTATCTATCTATCTATCTATCTATCTATCTATCTATCTATCTATCTATCTATCTATCTATCTATCTATCTATCTATCTATCTATCTATCTATCTATCTATCTATCTATCTATCTATCTATCTATCTATCTATCTGTCTGACAAGAACGCTCTAGAGAAAAGACAAGCAATTTAAAAACATGCATAGTAATTCGAAAAACGAAGTATGACGTCGACACATTTAGCGCACAGAATAGAAAATAATCTCAATCCGGATAGTGCACACATTGATATGACGTCATTGATTATCGAGTAAACATTCAATACAAAGGCAATTTGGTCTAATCTTAGTGGTTTGCGTGAAGAGTTTCTTTCATACAATTCTTCGGGTAGGGGCGAAGGCCCACCCCCGCGTAAGAACGTCTGAGCCCCCCCCCCTCTCCCCAACTCAAAAGAAATTTCCTCATCGATACTCTATAATAAAATTACCGCCTAATTAATGTGTCTAATCTAAAAAGTGGTTTTCTTGCAATTTCTTTAATGCAATTTTTCGCGTAGTGGCTATGCGCGACACCAGTGTTTCTTTCAGACTTTTTCCTCCACGGAGAGGGGTGAGGGTACTTGAAATTTTCGGGGGCGGGGGTAGAATTTTCGGGGAGGGGGCGGACACTGGAAAAAGTATATAATTATATTTCGTTGAATGGGACGGTAGACATGTTTTTTTAGGGGGGGGGGGGGGGGTGGGGGGGGGGGGGGAGGGGGGGGGTGGGGTGTGTGTGGGGGGGTGGTTTTAATTTAGACTTTTTCCTCCCCGGAGAGGGGTGGGGGTACTTGAAATTTTCGGTGGCGGGGGTAGAATTTTCGGGGAGGGGGCGGACACTGGAAAAAGTATATAATTATATTTCGTTGAATGGGACGGTAGACATGTTTTTAGGGGGGGGGGTGTGTGGGTGGTGTGGGGGGTGGGGGTGGTGTGGTGGGTGGGTGGGGGGTGGTGGGGGTGGGGGTGGGGGGGTGGGGGGGGTGGTTTTAGTTTAGAGAAAAGAGACAGCACTATCAGCCTAGCGCCCGGTGTATCCTTCCTCAACGGGCCATTTTTCTCGTTGTTTCAATAGACACAGTAAACTTTAGCATGTAACATTGTTCCAATAGACACAGTCAAGACATGTGGACAGATGCTCAGCCTAAGACGTGACCCAACAACCGGGTTGCTGGTTGCCTTGGATACATACAGAGGGTTGTTTACTGTCAACCCGCTAACCGGTAAGTACGTTTTGCTTTGTTACTTAATTCTCCGGAGTTTCTAATTTTCTACTCACTTTTTCTTTCAAACGGCTGTAAGTTCAGTGGTTAGGGCAAGTTAGGATATTTTTTTTTTCATACTTCTCAGCATTGTAATGAATAATGGAATAATTTTTATTAAATAAGACAGTTGAAAGATTTCAGGCAAACAGAATACAAACTTTTAAATGAAGTTATAAAAATGTGTTTTTGGGCTTGCTGTTATGTGGGTATGGTATCTATTTAACATAATGTACCAATCGTTTTGTTCTAGGCCAAACCCAGCAAATTTTTTCATCGGCTACTCTAATTAACGGCCGACGTCCAGTGCACTTAAACGACATGGTCATCTCTCCCAACGGAGTTATTTTTATGACTGACTCCAGTGACGTCTACACCTACCCTAACGATGTATATATTTGTATGGATGGAAGACCCACGGGCAGGTGGGTAGTAGCTACTTTAAAGTGTTTAAAATTAAAGTTAAATAGTTTTAATCTTATTTGAAATAATTGTCGAATGTCATGATAATTTAACAACTAAATAATTTTAGTAAAGTGAAAGTTTTTCTAAAAAAAAATCATTTCATTTCTCTTTGTAGATTCTGTAACTATATTTATCATACGTTAGTAATATAACCCACACAAAAATTGAATAACCGTCACTTTTAAACGAAATCTATTCCTATTTTTGTAGTTGCTTAATATTAAAGGCCTGTAAATCAACTTGCAATCATCTTTTAAATGTATGAGTATGAAAAAAATTAACTTTAATTTATTTTTAAATTTTAATTTAAAAAAAATAGCCCATAATTTCAGCCATAAAAATAGTTTACAATGGTTTTTATACATGTAAAATTTCAGTTCACATTGCTAATTTTTCGCACTCACAGACTGATCGCCTATGAGATAAAGAGTGGTATAACAACAGAAGTTTTGGCCAAAACGTTCAACTTTCCCAACGGGCTAGAGCTTACAGCAGACGGCGACCTGCTTGTGACGGAGACCTGTCGGGCCAGGATACACAGGTTAAAAGCTGTAACATCGGATTGAGACACATTAGCATATCTCATTTTTTTTTTACAAAATCTTAGACATTTTGCATATTTTTAAGTTGAAAGTAACAAATGCTTTTTATTATACACAATGACATTTATTATCAATTCTGAGCTTTTTTTTTTTTTAAATTTCTCGTGTATGAAAATAAGGGGACGTTTCGTCATCGTGCAAATAAACCGGTAGTGATCTCCCCTAAACTTTCTCGAATATTCTTATATAAAACAACAGGGGATGGTAACTGGGGATATAGTTATGATTTTTAATCCATTGTAAATACTTAAACTTTTAAAAATAGAATAGAATCTCATAAAAAAAAAACATTGCGCACCAAGCAAACGCCGAATAAAAACGCGTATAATAGTGCGCAATATTATTAGTACTTTAAAAATTTACATTAGTTTTTTGAGAAATCGGAAGTAGCGTAAATTACTACTTCCAGTCAACGGAAATTACTCAAAATTTAACAGAAGGTAGAGAATTAGATCTTTTACTTACATGTGAAAATTCATTTATCTATCTGAAATAGTACTCAAGTTATAGGCTTTTGAAAAATTCAAAGTAGGAAAAGTACCACTTCCGGTTATCGGAAATCGCTCAAAAGTTGATACGGATCTACGATTTTGATAAAATACTTATATATGAAATTTCATCAACCTAGCTGTAACGGTACTCAAGTTATCGTGTTTACACACGGACAGACAGACACACAGACACACACACACACAGACATACGGACAAGATTGCAAAATTATGTTTTTCCGTATCAGTGAGGTGTAAAACGTCGAGATTTGTAAAAATCTCGATTTTTTTTTTTTTGCACGATTACAATACTTTCTCTATACTACGTATATACGAGAAAGTAAAAAACGAAAGAAACTTTTACAAATCTCGACTTAAAGACCTACCTTCGCCCCCCCCCCCCCCCCCGAACGAAATGAAATTTATATAATTTATATAGAAAATATATACTTTTAACAGTGTCCGCCCCCCCCCCCCCCCCCGCCCGAAGAAAGTCTACCGCCCCCTTGAAAATTTCAAGTGCCCCCCCCTGAGAAAAAAGTCTGGAAGAAACACTGTTGCTGTGTGTGTGTGTGTGTGTGCGTGCGTGCGTGCGGTCGGGCGTGCGGACGGGCGTGCGTGTGTGCGCGCGCGCGCGTGTGTGTGTGTGTGTGTGTGTGTGTGTGTGTGTGTGTGTGTGTGAACACGATAATGTGAGTACTGTTTCAGTTAAGTGGTCGAAATGTCATAAGTATGTTTCTATTAGCAGTTATATCGGCGATTGCCGTTAATAGGAAGAGGTATTGGATCTTACACAGATTAGCCCACCACTTATGCAAAAAATGCACGGGAGAAAAGTTAAGCCCCGCCACTTTTTGCCAGCTCCAATTTAATGCACGCACGCAACCTTCACCTTTTTCTGACGTCTAGCATTTAAATATTTAAATTTCTTATCCGCTTCTGGGGTTAAGGTTAAGGTTAAAGTTAAGGTTAAGGTTAAGGTTACCGTTAAGGTCATTTTCAAGGTTAGGGTTAGCGTTAAGGCTAGGATTAAGAATAGGGTTAGGGTTGGGTTAGGGTTAAAACTAAATATACAAGTTTCATATTCTCTTATTTATTCTTTTTTTTTTTCGGGTGGCGGGGTTTATCGGGACAAGATTTAATGTGTTTTAGTCTCTTTTAGGTTGTTGAGAAACCTTCAGAAAATTTATAATTTTTTAATCATAATATTCTTTTTCTCGAAAAAAAAATGCCATCTAATCAGATACTTCAACAACTATGGAAGATCACTCCCACTTTATTTTCGCACTTTATTTTTAAAATGTTCAACAACAGGGTGAGTTTGAAACGACCCACGTGGCTTCATGTGAGTTCATTTGCGGTCAATCTGCCCGGACTCCCAGACAACATCCGGTCGTCAGGTCGAGGGACCTACTGGGTCGCCATGTCTTATCCACGTTACGCTGGTATCCGTAATCCAGTGGATTTCAACGCTGGAAATCCTGATTATCGCTCTATGGGATTTAACGTAAGCTTATTAGGATTTGGATTAAAGAGTCCGAATAGGGGTCGTCCATAAATGACGTCACACTCGTAGGGAGTTGGGGTCCGTAATTTTGTGACGGTGTGTGATGAGGGGGAGGGGGGGGTCAGAGGGTGCGACGTCACACTTTTGCATTATCAAAAAGCCATGTTAGAAAACTAATTTTAGACGTTATTTCGGGTTTAAGACAACCATTTAATAAATTGTAATAGGAATTGGTTAAAATACTCTATATAGACAGAGTTCACACAAGATTTTGGAAAAACATCGATGTTTTAAGAAAAATTAAACTGCAATTTTGAGGGGGGGGTGTAGGCTGAGGTGTGACGTCATTTTAGGGGTGGGGGTCTGGCTTTTTGTGACGATGTATGACGGAGGGGAGGGGGAGGTAAAAACCGTCAAAAAAGCGTGACGTCATTTATGGATGACCCCCATATAAGACTTTGATAGTTTTAAAATGGTAGACTAATACAGTAAATCAGCAAAAGTGTAGGCCTTATTGTGATTAAGGTCGTAAATTTGCTCCGTAATGAACAAATGTCCGTCGTTTCAGTGGCTCTCTAGAGATCAGCTCAAGTCCTACTTTGTGCAACGGGCAATCGCCGTTGAAATAGATTCTTCTGGGATTGTCATCGGAAGTCTGCATGATCCTACAGGTAAATTGTGATCGTAGTCTAATGGCCCCCACAGGTAACGTGTTTGTAGTCTCATGACCCCCACAGGTAAATTGTGTTTGTAGTCTCATGATCCCACAGGTAAATTGTGTTTGTAGTCTCATGGCCCACAGGTAAATTGTGTTGGTAGTCTCATGATCCCACAGGTAAATTGTGTTTGTAGTCTCATGGTCCACAGGTAACTTGTATTTGTAGTCTCATGGCCCACAGGTAACTTGTATTTGTAGTCTCATGGCCGCACAGGTAACTTGTATTTGTAGTCTCATGGCTCCCACAGGTAAATTGTGTTTGTAGTCTCATGGCCCACAGGTAACTTGTGTTGGTAGTCTCATGACCCCCACAGGTAACTTGTATCCGTAGTCTCATGGTCCCCACAGTTAATTTTTTTAATCTCATGATCCCACGGATAACGATAGTTGGTAATTTTATGACCCAGCATATGACCTTGACCCAACCAGTGGCGGAAGTAGAAAAAAAAACTCCCCTGAGACAGCTGAAGTATTTTGCCCGTCATAAGCTTGACCTCTGTACTTCAATGGGAGGTGGGAGAGGTGCAGTTGCCAAAACAAGCTCAGGACAGCTCTTGTCGGCAGAATTTGACCCTAAAGGGAAGGCATCCGACGACTACCATTACTTAATTAGGCCTTTAGCACTTTTTATAGCAGATTTAATGTTTCTTGAAATAGTCCACCTTGGGCCGCCTTAGGGGAGACCTTGTTTTTCTCGAAACTTCCATTTTTTCAAACTAGATTGATTAAAAAAACTGACCCCATGTACAATCATTTACTTTATTATTTAAACTACCATCTTAACAAGAGGTAGTAATTAACTAAATGTGTTCATCAAACAGGAACCACATTACGTATGCTGACCGAAATTCACGAGTCCGGTGGAGTCATCAACGTTGGCAGCCATCTTGTGCCCTACATGGCTAGAGTTATCCTTCCTGAGACAAGCGGCATCAAGATAACTGTTGATGGCTACATACAGGTAACTCCAACTGTCCTTTCACTGTCAGGTTGCAGGTAATAATTTTATGCAGGTGGAGTCTGGTGACTTGTAGTGGGTCAAAATTTCTTGTCTCGGATAATGGCGGGGCAAGGATATACATCTTGAAATGACAAGTCTTTCTACATTTTGTTGACGTTTTTATTTGATAAGATTGAGTGAGTTTGTCTGGTGGGTCTACTAGACTAAAGTTCTGAGACAAGTCGACAAATTTTTTGCATACTTAAGTCAGCGATCAAAGACATATTTAACGTGTAGACAGCTTGTGTACCGGTCACCTCGTACAACCGTCTTCTGTTTCGTCTTGACAGGTGTCCGACGCAGAAATCTTTTTGTTTTACATTTACCTGACCACGTGACTATGGCGACCATTATCCCAACCACGCCCGGTTTTAGCGCTGTTTTTTTTTTCTTTTTTTTTTAATTAGACTCGTTAAATTCAACTTATTTTGAAGGCTCGAATATAGTCTTAATGTGAAGCAAAGAATATCAAATGTACTCTAACCGTATGACGCTTGCACCTCTCACCTCTACCCACACCTCTGCCCACGGCCACACCCCTACCCACACCCCTACCCACACCTTTACCCACACTTCTGCCCCCACACAGAGAGAACGTAGACAAGTAAAAGAGAAACACATCTATTCTCAAGCTTATTTACACTTGTGACTATTGAGACAATTATTTTTCTACCAGGTTAAACGCAGCCGGTGTGAGCTAGCAGACGGTCAAGTGACAGCCACACGAGAAAGGTTGCTCAAACAGCAGACGACCAGCACCGCGGCATAAGTCACAGACAACAATCATTGAAGCTTAACTCAATTAACAATACATTGTTCAGCTTTATATAGGCCCACTTGGTCTAGAAAAAGCCTAAGAGGGAACTTGTAATTTTGCAACCCCCTTCCTCTCTCCCCACCCTCATTAAATATATTTAAAAGATTCCCGGATCGAATCACCCTCTTCAATTATTCCGTTCTTGAAGAATAAAGTTAGTTTTACATTTTATGGTATATCCTTACCTATGTAGGCTATATATCCTTACTTATGTAGGCTATATATCCTTATCTATGTACCTCATGTCACCCTAACGTACACATTAACCCCCCCCCCCCCCCGCACTCTATGAATATATTGTTCTTGCAACACTGGTCTAATTTCATTCGTTGTACGTCAGCTAGGCCTAGATCTGTATCCTCGTAAGTTTTTTTCACACTTGTCGTAATAAATTTGTGTGGGCATTATGATGTAATGGTAGATTGCAGGCCAACCATTTAAATTGTGTACACGGCCACGTCGGTGGGCGTGTCCATGTACCGGTAACGTGTATACTAACAACCATGTTAATTTTTTAATTTATTTTATTAAATAATTGTATGTATTACATTATGTTGTAGGGATAGTTGCGGATATGTAAAATGATCTATTCGGTAGTGTTATTTGCCTGTGTAATAAATAAAGTGTATTATTAATTTAATAAAGTGGCTTCAATAAAAGGTTACAACATGTAAAGCAATTACACTTTTTATTTTACAAATTTCTATGTTTCATTTTGAATAATAAAAGTGGGGCTTTTTGTTAAAATCCACCAAACGAAACATGTTTGTTATGAAGTATTGTGAAGACCACAGTGTCAATAGTGAGTCAACTCACGTGACTTGCTTGCTCACGTGTGCAATATAGGCCTGTCCATGAGATACAAGAATACAAATTGAATAATTTCGGGAGAGTGGCGCCAAATGTGAAGCCCAGTTTAAGCCTTGTTAACTCCCATGTATGTAAGACCGAGCACCCTGTCAGCCAAGGGAGTTAACAAGGTAAAAAGAAAATAAAAAAAAGATAAATTATCTTGTACTTTATGGAAAGTATGTTGCTCGATAAATCACAACGTCGACTAGGGATTTGGCACTATGCAGGGTTGTGGAAAATTAAGTCAAAATTGTATATTATTCGAAAGGGTATGTTTTGTCCTTAAAGTTTTGAGAACTTAGGAGATGATGCTGTGGTCTAGTTCCAATCATATAAATAAATATACTAATAAATAAATAAATAAATAAATAAATATATATATATATAATCATATATCATAGTTTAATCATAGTAATCATAGTTTCTTCCAGGCCAATGAAATGGAATGTATATAGAACATATATATAGTACTTTACCAGTGCCTCGCCACCCCCCCCCCCCCCTCCAGGAGAAAAAAGGCTGAAAGAAACACTGTGATTTAAACATAGATCAACATGAGACACAGTCTAATGACCAACATACACTTAGCTGAAAGGTCAGCCATAGTATTTTTATAGGACTTTCTGCATTGTTTGTCAAAATATTATACAAGACACAAATATAACAAACAAAAAACAAAGAGAAAACATGTTTGGCAAAGAAATTAATGAATGAGTTTATTTCTCTCCCCATTCAACCCTCACAGAAACCACTCCCAGGTCAAATGCCACATCCTGTCTGCAAAAGTGGGTCAACAGGAAGATAGCTTACTACAACCTCTCCTACCCTCTATCAGATATTATTAGAGACAAGTTGCAGCACATCAACAGCTGGTAGAAATTTTAAATAATCAAATACAGCATGCAAATGGTTAGCCATTATTCATTCATACAACATTCTTCAATTATCCATCATTTGCTAGTAGATTCATTTCACAAGATTTTTACTAAATCTAATTATTTACAAGAAAAGTTCAAGTAACTGTTGAAAATAGCATAACATAAAAAAAAATTGTTGAACATTGGTGTTAAATAACTTTTTGTTGAATATTTTTGTAAGAAAAGTTTTTGTTGAACATTTTTGTTAGAAAAGTTTTTGTTGAATATTGTTTTGCTGTAAATGTACTCATGTCATTAGATGTCAAGATGAACACAAACATGAGGGCAAGTTAAAAAAAAAAAATCATTTTAAAAATAGATTTCAAGCAAGTTTGTAATGCTTAATATGCAGGTTAAAGAATAAATAAAACAAGGAAAATTACTCATAATACTTAACAGCTTAAAGGCAATACAATTCTGGAAACTAAACATCTGGAGAAACAAAATTTGGCCCCTCAAGAACTCCCGTTGAGCAATAAACAAACCAATGTAAACACAAATGTTGAAACAATAACACCTCTAGCCAAATGAAAGGTAGCAGAGATCTGTCTAAGACAATAAAGACAAAAAAAAATACTGGCTCCTTAGGTACTAACACATGATGGCTTAAACCACCAGGTTGGAATTGACAATGTACATATACAATGGGCAGGTGCAGGGAGGGGAAGTTTGGTTACATTATTTAATCTCAAATCTGAAAATCTGGTAGAAATTTTTTTTTTTTTAAAACTGCTAAACAGAATGAAATAAAAGTTAGATACAGCTAACAAAATTAGCAGAAAATCAATGCTCACACATTCTTCTTTATCCTCATCAATGCATTATCACATGAAATTTGACTCTTTTAAAAAAGTAGATTCTAGCACCAGCAAAATGTTGATCACAACAGTTGGAGTGATTTGTATCATTTATATTGCGGGCAGCTAAAACTTGGTTGATAATAATCACAAATTAATTACAGATTCACCTCAGCAAAGCCACAAGGAAACAGATCAGGTTTGATCACACTAAACTTATTTAAAAAAATATTTTCTATATATTATAATCTATACATTAGGAATATATATTGTTTTTAATGGTAATGATTTTTCAATACGATTCTAATTTTATATGTCAAATATACATTATAAAAATACACCAATATTAGAAATTATTTTTGTAAAATCAACTGAATACACAATAAGCTTTGCTGTGTTATACTTTTAAGCCTATCTAAACTTAAAAACTAGGGTTAATATATATGTATAAAGTTTTTCTAGCACTGTATTGACATTACTGACCAATGTATTGGTTGAGTTAGATGATGTTTGTTAAATAAACATGAAAACATACTCAAGAATGTGCCTTAAATAAAATAACTTAGTTATCACTTTACATATAGCTCAGTGATTGCGATACCCAAATTCAAACAATGAGAATCCTGATAAGTATTCAAATTTCACAACACCAAATCATTGCCTTATTACAAGCTCTAGCTTTGTCTGAAAGATTATTAGAAAATGAAACCTTCTTACTTAGAAACTAGTTTAAAATTAAATGGCTTGAACTTTGAACTAAAAAAAATATTTAAATTTAGAATTTAAGTTATTGGTTTTAAGGTCAAAATAAAGTTCCGTAACCTTTAAGAAATTCTAGAAAATATATGTAACAAAGATTTGAAGTAGAAATTTTATAAACACTAAATAAACGTAATGAAAATGCTGACAACAGTTTGTTATAGCCTAAATTATAGAATCACCATTAATGCAAGGTAAAGCTTTCCATTTTTAATAAAATTAAATTTATTGTTCAAAGTAGATTAAACAAGTTAGGAAATCAATATAATTTAAACTAGACCAAAATTACTCGCTTTGATATTGCAAATATTTTAGGATGTTACCACAAAAAGTATTCACAATTGATAATTTTTTGCTATAATTAAAATTACATCATTAACAAAATATAATTCTAATTATTTTTAAGCTGCTTAATCAACTTTCAAAATTTTACTGTACTGCTCCTGGGGCAGTTCTTTCATTGATTCTTTAACAGTTTCTCTTTTTAAGCCACCATCCCTATGGGGAATAAATAAATTTCATTGTGATTTATAGTGAGCATTGGGCATTCAAGAAATATATATATTAACAAACTTATAACAAGACACTTAAACACAATTTAATGTTTTAATGATGTTCAAGTCCGGTTAGAAAGATTAGATTAGATTTAAATTATTCTTTTAGGGAAGAAAAATAACTCACCATTCAAGATCCACTAGGCCACCTTGCCTTGCTATTTCAGCTTTCACTCTGTTCGCAAAAGAAACAGCATCCTCATTTTCCTGAAGAAATAATCAAATATCATAAGATAATTGAAGTAATGTGTAGTTTCTTCCAATGGTGAGCTGATGAGAAAAATTAATGCACTTAAATATTAGGACTTACTATAACTCATTTACATTCATCCAACTATAAAAATTTCAAAAAAGGTTAGCATAATATACAACACAAGTAGACCTACTTAAGCTACCAACTTACTCCTTTTGTCATGGGGGGAAGGTACCACACTTCACACACCAACACAGGTACTTAAGCTACCAACTTACTCTTTTTGTCATGGGGGGAAGGTACCACACTTCACACACCAACACAGGTACTTAAGCTACCAACTTACTCTTTTTGTCATGGGGGGAAGGTACCACACTTCACACACCAACACAGGTACTTAAGCTACCAACTTACTCTTTTTGTCATGGGGGGAAGGTACCACACTTCACACACCAACACAGGTACTTAAGCTACCAACTTACTCCTTTTGTCATGGGAGGAAGGTACCACACTTCACACACCAACACAGGTACTTAAGCTACCAACTTACTCCTTTTGTCATGGGGGGAAGGTACCACACTTCACACACCAACACAGGTACTTAAGCTACCAACTTACTCCTTTTGTCATGGGAGGAAGGTACCACACTTCACACACCAACACAGGTAAGCCTACTTAAGCTACCAACTTACTCCTTTTGTCATGGGGGGAAGGTACCACACTTCACACACCAGTGCCCAACTGGTCATGATCTGCAGCAAGTGTTGTGTGTAGTTATGTTTGCTGCTGTTCCAAAAAGCATCACCAAACCTGGGATCATACTAAACAAAACAAAAATATTTAAAATAAAACAGTTCAACCTATGGTTTAAACATACTAGGCAGAGAGAATTAAACTTGTAATGAGTTGTAGGTGTAACAATAAAGTAGGGAGTTCTTGATGAAAAAGGGAGTAAAGAGGTCAGTCTTCTCAATAATGCTAACCATGTAGGACAACATCAATAAAACCTCATGATATTGCCAGCGTTTATCACTCTTCATCGGAATAAACTGGTTAGAGAAACCATAAGTCTACAGATTTTGCTCCCAAAGAAGAGGAAAAGAAGTAGGACATTTACACTCTCATCTTCTTCTTCGTTCTTAATTTTAGTGTTGGAAGGGATCCCCTCCAACACAATTGAGCACACATGTCAACTGGTTATGCACCATTAAGGCCATTGAATCTGATTTCAGCCTGCTTTTTCTTTTGGATTTGCTTCAATAGCCTTGGTCCAACCAAGAACAAACTACAAGGCAGCAGTTGTTTAATTTTGGAGTTGTCTCTCCTAGAAGAGTGGCTGTCCCCAGCTAATGAGCCTCATGTGCCTGAGGGTTTGAACTAGAGACTTTTCGGTTTAGCAACCATGAGCTTTACCGACTCCACCACGCTGATCTCTACTCTTTCATCATTTATCCACAAAACCAACTAAAACATGGAAACTATAAAATAACAGAGGCTAATAACACATGTAGATTGTGTGTGAGGCAAATAAGCACATAGATATGTATCTGTGTGTGAGGACAGATGTGTAATTGTGTTGAGGTTAATAAGCTCATAGATAAGTGTGTGTGAAGCTAACGAGAACTGAATTTGTGATTATTTCATAACCACCGGCAGTAGATTCATAGGGTTGACTTATTTTAACTACAGATCTCTTAGACACCACTGAAAGTGCAACATCACAATCAGCATTATTTTTTATCAATATTGTTTTTTTTTTAAATTTTATTTGTTGAAAAATAGAATCCATACCTTGATAGCCACTGGGTATATTGTGGCACTAACTTCAAAACTTCCTTTCTTAAACATCATGACTGATGTGTTGTTGATGCATGTTCCTGAAATGTGTTTAAATAATCAGCTTTGCTAATTTCAAACTTACATTAAATTATAATTCAACACTACTAAAATTAGAAATAAATAATATGTGTGAAATTAATAAAAATTGTTGTTTTAATAAAATTATTTAGAATTTTAGTATATTTACATAATAATGTATACAAACCCTCTGGAAAAATTAGAATCGGAAGCTTGTTTTTGTCTTCAATGTGAGATTTTAATCTGTAAATAATTAACATTATTTAGCCAAACAATTCGTCTCAATTATACTTGAAAAAAATATTTGAAGTTTCTGAGTTATTTTAGTGCATTGAACTAAAACTAAGAAGTTACAAACAAACTTCTTTTATCATTACCTTTTTGCTACCAGCACCCTATCTTTTGTCTCTGACCTTTCAAACCATATGTGGGCAGTTGCACGTGCTAAGGATCTTTGGAGAACACCTAGAAACCCACCATGAGTCTGACCAATCTGTCAATAAAAAATATAACACAGAATTTACACCATGCTTTACTGTGTGTGTGTAATAAACTTCTTTTTTTTTGTTAATATTTATTCTCATATTTATTACTATAAAAATAATTTGAAATGATAAAGAGGTTAAAAACTAAAATAAAATGCTTGTAAAGTTTGTTGAGAAATAAAACTTGTTAGGATAACCTACCATAGCATAACAGTTGTCACATGAAAGTATAATTACATCAATAGGGGAGGTGTGGTTAGCAACACAAATGCCATTTTTAGCTATGTTTTCCCTAAAATAAAAATAAAATGAGAAACAAACAATACAGTAAAAAAATTAAATAGGTCTCAAACAATAGCAAAAACTTTAAAAACATCAAAAACTTCAAATCTGTATAAGTGTTGTCAAAGCATATTTCTCACTACTGCCATTGTCAGAAATGATAGAAAGTGCTACTATTTGAGATGAACTTACCTGTTGTGAAATGTTATGACGCCAGAAAATGCTCTACATAGTATCCGAAAGCTCATTAATGTGAAGTACTCATTCAATTTCCTTTTAAAGCTGTAATTGATGGAGCAGAGGATGAAAAACTTACTAATTTTAATAGACAAAAACTCAATTTGATTTTTTTATATAAACAATAATTGTAGCATCAGAGGCGTAGCGAGGGGGGGGCGGACCGCACTGGGTGACACCATTTAGGGGGTGACACCAAGGCAAAAAATCGTAAAATATATAGAGAAAAACTTGAGGGGGAGGGGTGCAAATCGAAAGTTTGTTTGAGGGGGGGGGGGTGCAAATTGAAAGTTCGAGGGAGGGGGGTGCAAATCGAAAGTTTGTCCCCGCCTCTGGGGGGTGACACCCGACCTGGCTACGCCACTTTGTAGCATTACTGTCAATTTGTATATAAAAATAGTATTTTTTAAAAAAAAACAATGTGTTATTGTACACTTAATATTATGTTTATTACAATAACATTTTATAATTAAAGAAGCTGTGACTGACCAAAAAACCACAAACTTATTAGTTTTGTAATACATTTTGTACATGTGTAGTTGAGTAAATATACCAGCCACTTATATTTTTTTAACTTTGCTTTTTTGCAGGATAGTGTGGTTAAGCACACCATTACAGCCAAAGGGATATTTAGAATATGGATTCATTCAAGTTCCAAGATCATAATAAATATATGGACAGTCAAAATGACTGTTTATGTATACAAATAATTCATGTCACTAAACCTGATTATGTTAACAAAAAGTCTTACTGTCCCCATACAAAAATACATTTGAAAATTATTTTTTTAAAATAAAATCTAAACAAATGCTGAGTTATCAATTTACCTGCTTTCTTTTAAATAGCCAATGAATGCAGTAGACACAATTAACCACATAATGCCTATAAAGGCAATTGTTATCCTGAAAAATAAAATCAACTGTAGAGCCTCAGTGAAAAATGTTGCATGGAACTTCAAAAACATCTTCCAATTAAGAGTAATTTATCTTTTAAATAGTAAAAACTATTAAGAATTCTTATAATATTGAGAATAATCAAAATAGTTTTAGTCTGTTATATTATATAATGCTGCTACTAAACCTTAAACACAACAAACCTATAAGAGCAATAACCTGCCATGATTACTCTTCATATCTAAATCAACAAGACCCTTACCTAAATGGAAGGAGAAGCACATAGCGTACAAAAAATCCTAAACACCAGAGAGCAGTTAACCGAATACTGTAAAAAAAAATACAATTTATATAAGCATGTCAATCCACTAGCAGAATGTTATAAGTTTTAATGGATTATTATAATTTTAGAGATTTTTTTATGTCCTATGTAAATCTACCTCATAAACTGATGATCTTTTTGAGTGCGTGTTAACAAGTTCCATGAAGGGAGCTCTGTGGAAGATAATGTATGTCAGTTCCAGCAGAAATTAGCAAGATCATCTCTTTTCATAAATGTATGTAAATATTTAAAACATTGCTTACCTTCAGCAGAAAATCTTTTAGTAACATTGTCATCAATAATGGCCTGGTAAATAATGAAAGCAGTTTAATATTTAAGGCAATTTTTAAAAGAAACATATAAAACAATAATTACTAAATTTAAATATTTTAAAAATTAAAATGAACCCCAAATCTATTTCACAAAAAGAAATATTTCATTACAACAAACTTCTTAAGAAAAAATGTTATAAACCTCCATTCCACATTTTGAAAAGTTCATCACATCTGACAATTCAAATTCTTTTTTAGAAAAGCCCCAGTCAAGTTGTTCAAGACCTTTAGAGGCTGAAGAAGTTTTCTCACCGGCATCTGTTGAGTAGTTTAGAAATTGTAACTATCTTGATCAAAATTTAAGAGCCGTTCAGCATTAGAAGAAAAATAATAACATGATGTGTTGTAATCCAATTTCTGATAGTGCGAATAAGTTTAAGACTCCATTTCGTACAACAAAATCAATGATGGACTTAATTAAAAAATCAAAACAACAACCATTTCTATATTTTTATGCTATTTCTTATTCTGAGTTATTGTTAGTCAAATGACATTGTAAGAAGATGTGTATTATTATTGTCTTTTGGTATCAATATTTCACAGAACTTTGTCTCAATTATAAGTAATTTTAGTAAGTATTATTATATTCCTTAAACTAGTGAAATGAGATTGTTGACAGTTTTTTTATGCATTCCCTACATTCTGTACAGTTAACAGCTCTTTACTGGTAAAAAATAATTAATAATACAGGATGAGGGTACTAAAACTAATTTTATACCTCCATTTTCATCAGGCTTTGTTTCATTATTATCATCATCACTATCAGAGTCATCATTGTCAGATGGGCTTGGCACTTGGACTTTGTGTTTGCATGCCTATATACATTAAAAATTACAGAACAATATGTTAATTAAATCCATTAAAAAAACTCATATTAAAACAAAAGCATATTAAATTAACCAATCAGGCTAACATAAAACAGATGGTATTCAGTCTATTCAACTAAATAATAAACAATCTGGTTACCATAAATAATTTTAAAAACCTTGAGAAAGTTGGTAATTAGAGCCTATACAAACAACACATAAATCTGGGTGGGGTTGGGGGGAGCCTCAGGGACATAACTATGTAAATTATCTTATGATACTTTTACATTTGTACAGATGAAAGATTATAAAAAAATATTTTTCAATAAAGGGAAAGTAGGGCTACAGAAATGAAATCATGACAAATGGTACAATCAATGACAGTTTGTCTTAATAAATTGAAACAATGGGTTAAGATGACGGGTTGCCTTAACAGCAAAAAAAATATTCTCCAGTTCTCTGAATTTGCAAGTCTTTTAAATTTTTTTTAAATAGGGCCTACTAAATTATTGAATATTTTCAGCCTGAATTTTTTTTACTGCCATTCTAAAGACAATAAAAATTAACAAAGTATGTTTTTTCATGTCAACAATATTAGCGATTTCTCTTGACCAATGTTGATGAATTGCCATTGCTATTTACAAAATGGCTAACACCTGGCATCAAGATTTAATGTGATTTTCAGTGCTTATCAATTTTGCTAAGCTCTGCTGTAACCATTTTTGCTAATCTCTGTTGTAATCGTTTATGCTAAATTGCTGGATGTTTTTTTCCTTGTATTTCTTTCTTATGCACTGCTTTTTTTTTCTAAATATCTTTCTTAATGTTCAACTAAGCTTAAAACTATTAATTATTACGCCTAACTATAGGCCTAATTAAAATTTAAAAAGACAAACTATGGTTTTTGGGAAATTACTGTTTTCAAATCCACAATTTTTAGAATTACTGATGCTATTTGTGAGATATGTATCAGGGTGTTACCTTAAAATTTTAGATTGATCTTTGAGTGAGTGAAAAAAAAAGGTTTTTTTTTTTGCAAATTTAGAGAAATCAGCAAAACAAGTTACGTAAATTCACTAGGTCTAGTGAATTTTTATTTTATTTTTCTAGCATAGTCTAGAGTATAGAGTCTAGTTATTATCTTTTTTTTTTGTATTACAATTAAAATTAATACATATTGAAAATTGATTATTGAGTATTAGACTACATCTAGATTTAGACCCTATATTCAAGTTCACACCTTTTTTTTTTTTTTTTTTTGCTTTATCTTATTGAAATTCTTATGTTTCAGAGGGGAAGGGGCTTTTTTATTTTCTACTCAACTGTAGTCGTGGGAACTTGGCTATTTATTTTAAATCTAGTTAATAGGGCTAGAATTGAAATCTAGTTAGTTAGTCTATCACTAGTTTAGTTACTCTGCATACTCAAGCCAGATCAGATGCCTACCTCAAAAATTTTTAATAAAAATCGGACATAAGCTCGTCTTATTCCGAATGATGTACCGCATGTTGCTAGAATAATTACGAGACCAACAACTAGGATCACTGGAAGAAACAAAAATGATATAGCGGCGATTAGTAATTGTTCTCCCATTGCAGAGATTTGGTTTATTAACAACTGTTAATTAATAAGTTATGCTCAGGGAGAGTGAAGACTGATCGCGTCCATGTTGGATACTGTGTCAAAGTTTACTGTAGAGTACAAAGTACAAGAAGTATAAAATACAATTTTAAACTGCTCCATTACTTTAACCTGGTGGCTAAAAATAGTAAATTTAAACCTCTAATCAGAGGTTCTAAATTTGAAAAAGTTAATTTGAAAAAAAAAAGATAAATAGATTTAGAGATCTAGATCTACTTAGTAAATACCCATTGATTATGAATGTCCTTAAGCAAATAAATCTTAATACGTTGGCATTAAAAAAAAAACTATAAAGTATAAAGGAGTTGACAAAGACAGCTTTTTACTCAGTCGCATGTTTCACGCGATCACAGCTCAAGAGGAGCTGAAGACAAAATAAACTAAATCTAGAACTAAAGACTAAATTCAAACTAAACTTTATTATGAAGAAACTGGACAACTGGTATCACATAATTACCAGAGATTATCCTTATCCATTAGTGGTATTAGGTAACATTCTATCGATAAAAACAAGGTGCGCAAGTTTTCCGGAAATTTTTTATTGTGCCCCTCTTGAATGCGACGTAGTCTCTAGATCTATAACTTGACAAAAGTATTCACACATTCTGATTTAAATTACTGTTACTGTTATTTCCTATAGATTCTATAACTAGATCTATATATCTAGAGAAAGTATTGGTAAATTCCTCTTAAATGAAGCAGGGGCCAAGATATGTCTACAATGTAGTCTAGAATCTACAACAAATTACTAGCTAGATCTAGAATCTCACCAAAAAAAAACGTATAAGAGTAAGACGGTAGTTCATTATGATGATATTCTATCTCTATTCTATGCCATGTTTACTATCTATTACTTTAGATAACTAAATAGAGTCTTAGATCTAGAGGAAATTAATACTGATCATTTATATTCATTTATCGTACAAGTCGTAGATTGGTCTTCATAATAATGAGCTAGAAAAATAAGCTAAGGAACTGATAAGCAAAACATAAGACTACCTATGATAATACAGTTAATACAGCAAATAACTTATCCCCGCTATAATGGGTCGTTTTGGATTTAGGCTAAACGAGAGGTGATTGTGTTCACTCATCCGTGCATCCCAATTAGGACAGGGAGGTTTACCAAACCTGAGCAAACCAATTACACACCTAAACAACACTGGTGCTAAACTAAAACATAAAAAATGTAAAAACACAGTTAACAATAGGGCAATAGGGGGATAGTTAATAACAGCTGTCTGTTATTTTTTCTTTACTCCTCCCATTTCCGGTCCCACTCGGGTCAGCCACCCCTACCAATATCATCTACGCCACTACCCCCAATAATAAAAAAAATGAACAACTTTTTGCACACAAGTCACATTCCATTTTAGGCTTCAACAGTGGAATACCAGCCAACATATAGTATATGGTTACAGCTAAAGTGCTGAAGCAAGGGGGGGGGGGGTGGTGTTTGGAGCATCTTTTATTATTATCAGCCTTGAACTAAAAGAATATCGACATATAGGGCCTACACATAGACCAAACGTGAGACTATTCCAACAGAAACGGTATTGTTCTAATGCAAAAAAATGGATAATTGAATTAGTGTCATAAAGTTAATTTTCTCTCTGCAGCCTACAGACATATAGATCTACATTGTCTACAACCGACCAATGAAGAAAATCTCTAGCATATCCGGTGTGACCACCGTCAAAACCTTCCTCGCCCGTGCGTGGTATGCGCTCATGTGCTATGTGGGAGCAACTGAAGAAACTTCTAAATGGTGGAAAGCAGTCTGGGATAGAAAAATTCTTGTAAACACGAGTATTCACTTTCTATGCACACAGTAAAATATTTAAATGTCGTTTCAATTCAGTTATTGCAGTCGTCCAATGACAATTTCTCCTGAACTGACTTTAAAATACCAAACCAGTATCGCATAATAATTAACTATTTAGGGATCCATGATGATTTTGCCTTATAACGGATAGTCGAAATTTCCGGGGGTGGGGGCGGACACTGTTAAAAGTATATATTTTTATATACATGCCATTTCGTTCGGGGGGGGGTAGACTCTCTCCGCCCCCCCCCCCCCCTGAAGAGATGCCTGGAAGAAACACTGAATAGTAGATTTGGGCTTACTGTTTAGCCGCTGGGTGGATTCAGCCACACTCAAAGGGCTCAAAACGACGCCCAACTTATTACCGGAAGTAGAACTCTTGTCATTCCTTAAGCTCAAATCTCTCACGCAACTTGTGCAACTAGTCTCAATAACAGCATTATTATTTTTTAAAGAAATAAAATATTCTAATACTGGTTATTGAAAAAATATGTTTTTGCTTTACAGAAAGGCAAAGTGGGCGTACAGCTGAAATGGATTCGCAGTGCGGCTAACGACGTGCTATGGGAGCTGGAGAATTTTCTGGAAACTCTGTCCCAGGATGATCTAAGATCAACGGAAACTTTGGAACTTATAGCTAAGTCATCAAGACATTTCAGCAGCTATGTCGACAACTACGATTTGAACGATAACATGCACGATCAATCAAAACTTTCTGATCCCGAGATCGATCCAGATCTAATCAGGATTTTCTCGAAGGAAGAAGAGAGCAACACTGCCCCTGGCTGTAGCACGTCCGATGGTTTCGACATCAAAGAATTAAATCGAGAAGTTTTAAACAGCGTTTCTAGATTTCAAAATGAGGTAAAGGCGGCTTTTAAAACAAACAATGGTTCACTCGATGACTTATCTTCATTGAAAACAAACCCCGATTCATTCCACGACACAGAGCTTGTATATACGAAACCCATTAGTGGGTTCCCACAGATTGATTTGAGAAATCGTGGACATCTCAAACATAAACGAAACGCGTCTCTCGATTTTGTCGTGCCAAAGCAAACAATAAAACGATTTCAAAGTTTGCCTAGTTTAAACGATGATTACGATGAAAACATTTTTGATGACTTCCACTCCAGCAGATATGAAAAAGTTATTCGGAACTATTTAGAAAGCGATACTTGTTTTTTGAACCAGCTGCGTGAATGTTCTAACATAAATTTAAGGCCTGAGAACGCCAACAATAACGATCATCAAGAGATACCTATCCACGGAGTCAAATCCTTGCAAAACACTACCGCTTTCTGTAACGTAGAGCATGCGTCTTCTGGAGTTGATTCCATTGACAACCATGAAGATAGCACAACGTTATCTGGCACTAATATAGATTATAGACCCACCATTTCACAGCCGAGGCGTTGCCCAATAGAAAACTGTGAAATACCAGACTGTCTACTCTCCAACAGACAACCCGAATTTGTACCAGAAGTCAAATCACAGCTGAGGAAAAAGTTTTCAATTCTGGTAAAAACACTACGGGAAAAATTACGTCGAATGGTCATTATAGATGATACGCCTGTGTACACCAACAAAGAAGTTGCCCACCCTAAGTTTACGGGAACAGAAATAGCATATAAGACATATTTGGCGGGGAAGAAGAACGTTGAACGACACCAAGCTATCCAAGTCTCAGACTTTTTGGAGTTCTTCAAGTTTGATATCTCTGTGGTGCCCCAAACTGGGCCCATTAATCCGATAGAAACCATACAAAAAGGCCTGGGAATTGAGAAACTCCATCTGCCGGTGGGGCCAATTGATTTCCGACCCCAGCGTCCAGATAATGGTAATCTATTGTGTGACTTTCACTGAACCTACATATATAAAGTTCAACAAAATGACCTTAGATAAAATACAATTTAACTCGTCTTAATATTTTAATAATGGGGGCGGGCATGGAGAATTGGTAGGGGGGGGGGTCGTTAATAGATGACCCCCTTACTGATTCTTTACTCAGTTTGCTTCTTAAATAAATTATTTCAATCAAAAGTTTTAAATAGAAATTAAATATCATGATGTTCAGATATCAGACTATATAAACTTTATTTCTATAGAAAGTACGCATCATGATGTCAATATCAAACCCTATACACTTTATTTCTATTTCTATATAAATTACACATCAGAACGTTCCATCAACATAAAACAATTTAAACTTTATTTCTATAGAAGGTACACATGATATTCCAACATCGAACAGTACGAAAATGCGTAAATTTAGTTGGTTTTCACGTACACAAAAATCTGATGGTGATCTTCCACTTGAAAGAAAACCATCCTCCTTGAGAAATCCACACCATGATGACACGGCCGAGCCACAGTCGAGTGTAAGTTAAGGGCTCATTCATTTAATACGTCCATTCGGAGGGGAGGGGGGGGGGTGCGTGTGGACAGGGGAGGAGTGTGGGGGGGGGGGCTAAAAAAATTCTAGACCTCACAAATCTATTACCCCTAAGTACGTCATAATGTATCTTTAAGCAACCGTGTTATTGACCTACAAACTACATATAAGTGATTTAACATGTATGAATCCAAACACAACTTTTAGAACTAGAACGATATGTTGGAAAGGGATGAATGAGATTGCACTAGTTGATAGTAGTTGGTGACGTGTAGTCATGATAGCACTAGATGGCACGCACATTTGCAAAGAAGCAAATTAAAGAAATAATAATATACAGTGGACCAAGAAGGCGTGACCAGTGACGGGCTGATGTTATAGTTCATTAACTAATGTAAAAGTACATCAGGGAAAACATGTATTATTATAAACTTTTAGTTAGGTCACTATGTCTTGTCTGCATGCCCGTCCTCGGTCCACTCATGTAATGACTTTTCTGCAGTTTTATTATGGTATCTTTTCGGGAGGGGGTAGGGGGCACTCCTCCGACGAAATATAAAGAATTAAATAGAAAATATATACCTTTACCAGTCTCCGTCTCCCGGAAATATAAGCCCCTCATCCAAAAGAAAAATATCAGAAAGAATCTCTGTTTGCCAAAGAAGATAGTTGATTTCATGGAGGCTTATTGCGATTCATTCTTTTTTCTTGCGGCTTCAGTTTTGTTTCCTTAGCTTGTCCCATTCCCACCGCGAACAAAATAAGTTACAATTTGAAGTATTTTTAAGTAGCATTACTATGCTTTATAGTGTTGTATCACGTTTTCGTTTGGTCTATGCGAATCTCTAGTGTTGATGTTTGTATGGAAAATGTACAGAACCCGTGGTGTTCACTTATGAGCTTTCTGTTCATAGAAGCTATTGTCTAGTAAGTATTTTATATTTAAAAAACAAAACTATGTCTTATTAAAAATATGCATCCTGCTTTTTCTAAAGAGTTCCGCCAAAACAAAGATGACATATTTGACGGGGAAAGATGCTTTCAATTATTATCAACTTTTGGCCACAGTAAGTCAAACAATCAGCTTTTGGCCACAGTAAGTCAAACTATCAGCTTTTGGCCACCGTAAGTCAAACAATCAGCTTTTGGCCACAATAAGTCAAACAATCAGCTTTTGGCCACAATAAGTCAAACAATCAGCTTTTGGCCACAGTAAGTCAAACTTGCAGCTTTTGGCCACAGTTTGAGTAAGCCAATAATCAGCTTTATTTAAAAGCTGGAAATGTATTAAAAAGTCATATACAGCCCCTTTAAGCCTAAGTGGTCATCCATAAATGACGTCACGCTTTTTTGGACAATTTTTACCTTCCCCTACCCTCCGCCACACATCATCACAAAAAGCCAGACGCCCTAAAGTGACGTCACACGTCAGCCTACAACACCCCCCCTCTCAAGATTGCAATTGATTTTTCTAAAAACATCGATATTTTTCCAAAATCTTGTCTGAACTCTGTCAACATTTTAATCAATTTCTATTACAATTTATTAAAAGTTTTCTAAAACGCGAAATAACGGCTAAATACGTTTTCTAACATTGTTTTTTTTATATTGCAAGTGTGACGTGACACCATTTCTGTGATAAAATTAGTTGATAGTGCTGGTTTAATTTTCAAACTACGTAAGTTTCCATAGCTTTGATAATGCCATAAATGTCCGTAAATAACGAACAGATACATTTGTTTTGATTTAGATAGACGCCAAATGTAAGGTCAGTCAGCTGAAGGAAGAGCGAGAGCGGATGTTGAAGATATACGAGTGGAAGCAGAAGACTCTCATCGAAGTTGTCAAAATTGCTAGAGGTAGGCAAAGAGTTATGTGCCTTGAATGGAGGTGGTTTTTGTTACTTATGTGTGTGTATGTATGTAGGTGTGTGCATCACTACATGTGTGTAGGTGTGTGCATGTGTGTAGGTGTGCATATGTTCAGGTGTGCGCTGTGTGTGTGTATTAATGGTGACTCTAAATCCCCAAGCTCCACTTAGCCACGCCCATAGCTTATCTAAACAAAGGTTGCCTGCTAGGGTAGAGAGCAGTGAGTCAACGGAATAATTTGGGATAACCCGTGTCAGCACAGCTTTTAGGGAAAGCAAAGGCGGCTGGGCATGGTGTGTGTGGGGGGGGGGTGGGGGTCGTCCATAAATGACGTCACATTCGTTGGGGGGGGGGAGGGGGTCCGTAATTTTGTGACGGTGTGTGATGAGGGGGAGGGGGGGTTCAGATCGTGCGACGTCACACTTTTGCATTATAAAAAAGCAATGTTAGAAAACGAATTTTAGACGTTATTTCGCGTTTTAGAAAACTGTTTTAATAGGAATTCATTAAAATACTCTATTTTGACAGAGTTCAGACAAGATTTTGGAAAAATATTGATGTTTTAAGAAAAATTCAACTGCAAGAGTTGTAGACTGAGGTGTGACGTCATTTTAGGGGGTCTGGCTTTTTGTGATGATATGTGACGGCAGCGAGGGGTGGAGGTAAAATTCGTCAAAAAAAGCGTGACGTCATTTATGGATGACCCCATGCTGACCACACTATCCCTTCATAAGCCGAGGTCAAAACATATGAACTCTACTTCATTTGCCAAATGGATCGCTTGATCATGACTCAGTTCTTTAGCATTACACTGTGCATTTTTATTACAATGAAATCAAATAACATACTGTTGCATCTTGTGTTGTTTTGGCTGCTTTGAAGCAGCATCCGAGTTTCCTCTCCGGGGCGCGTACCCAGGCGGCCAATGAAGAGATGGTAGCTTGCGCATGCGTCGTGATCTCTTTCGCGACCTGAACGTAAACAATGTTTAATTTGGTGTCAAACAACCCATGTGATTAACCTTTCAGTACCAGCACACTTTTTCCGTTAAATACACAGCCCACTTCGTGTATAACTTTAAAAAAAGGTACTATTGCTACATCCAACCAGATTACTACAGCGATCCGAGGGAAATCAAGCTAGAGAGATGGAAGACGCTAAAGCAGGACCTAGCGAAGGAGCACCAGAGCGACACGGACGTCAGGGTGCGTGTCTCCACAGTCCCAGACCACTGGCCCTTCTTCAGCGTTTTCATGATCATGGTAGGTTCCGTTCCTTTATCCTTTTTCTATGATCCTGGTAAATTCGTTATTTCGCCATTTGTATGTGTGATCCTGGCAGGATTCGTTCCTTCAACCTTTTACTCAATGATTCTGTTAGGATTCGTTACTTTACCTTTTGACTTAATGATCCTGGTAGAATTCATTCTTTCACCTTTTGACTCAATGATCTTGGCAGGATTCGTTCCTTCACCCGTTGTATCTATGCCCCTATTACGTTTTATCCTACCACCCGTGTTTCCATAATTCGATTGGAATTGTTCTATCGCCGCGTTTCAATGACTGCTAATAATGAAAGCTGACAGCAATATAAATATGACTGATGTGCACATTCAGAGTTTCTTCCAGGCACCTCTTCGTGGTGGGGGGGGGGGGGGGAGGGAAATGGAATTTATATAGAAAACATACTTTTAGCAGTGTCCGCCCCCCCCCCCCGGAAAATGTTGTCCGCCACCCCGAAAATATCAAGTGCTTTCCCCCCCCAAAAAAAAGTCTGATGTCAACAAATGCAAGCTAGCCCACCCTTAAAATATATTTTTAGAATATCAACCCAGAATCAGAGAATTGATGAACTAAAATATCGAGACTAATTTCTTCAGTCCCACATCACGACTTTGGGAATTCTTCTACTCAAGTTTGGGTTTGATAAAAACGGTATGACAACACGGCAGCTGACTCAGCACGACATTCCCACCTTCCTTGGGCTGGAGACCATCACGCGACTCGAGGAACCCAATCCTTGGATGGGGCCGCCGATACACTTTTTTTTCGGTGGGTCCAGCACTATAAACACCATATCCTTGAGATAATGTTAACTATCTCTCAAACACACACACATGTACACAAACACACACCTATGTACATACATAAATATATATTCATACACATACACATGTATATATATATATATATATATATATATATATATATATATATATATATATATATATATATATATATATAATATACATTCAGACACACACACACACACACACACACATATATATATATATATATATATATATATATATATATATATATATATATATATATATATATATATATATATATATATATATATATATATATATATATATATATATATATATATATATATATATATATATATATATATATACACATGTGTATGTTTATGAATATATATTTATGTATGTACATATAAGTATATGTGTGTGTGTGATTAGGTATACGTATGCATATGTATTTATGTATATATATGTCAATATATATTTTCTGCCAGCTGCTGGTGCTGTTTTTGCGCCGTGTGTGCGGGAAGATAATCGACTGAGCGAGACAGGAACCAGAAAGGAATATAGAGCATTGAATGCAAAAAATGTAAACTATTTCGGATGCTGTGAAATGAGAAGTCACATCAATATAGCAGGAACGACAACTCTGAACGAATGTATGAAAATGTCAGAAAGTACGGTTATTTTATAAGCTTTTATTAAATTTAGTAAGCTTTTATATTTATATTTATATGAAAAGAAATCAATGATATAACGAAACAAGCTAGATTGCTATTGAAAAAAAAGATTGGTCGCTACAAAAATCTCTTACACATTTTAGCGACCATATTTTTGCTAATAACATGGGCCTACTTGTTTTTTTTTTAATTCAGTACTTTGTAAAACGTATTATTATAAAAGTTTCTTTAATATGTGTTTCATTCTTGTTTATAATTTAAAGAAAAAAATGTTAACCATCATTAGCAATGGTCATCCACGTTAAATAAATTCATCACTCGTTAGTAAGAAATATTATCCCTAACTAAATCTTTGTCCCTATTCCTAACCTTAACCCTACCCCAAACCTTTTCCCTCACTGTATCAATATCCCTAACTCAAACCATATCTCCACCCCTGACTAGATCTTTACCCCCCCCCCCTACAAACATTACCCCTGAAACTATCCATATCTATTTTGTGTTTAAATAAATGCACAACGGAAACATGCTCGACTGTAAATTTTGGTGTATATAGGGGGGGGGGGGGGAATTGATCTGGGATGTAATGACGCGGTACGACGGGGGGGGGGGGGGGGGTAAATAATGTCCTCCCATATTATTAAAGGCGTTGGACATTCTGTGATGAAAAACAATACCTAATTTCACTATAAATGCACAAGAGTTTTTATGAAAGCCTGCTGTAATGAGGTCACGCTTTTTTGACGATTTTTACATCCCCCCTCCTCTCCGTCACACATCGTCACAAAAAGCAAGACCCCCCCCCCCCAATGTGACGTCACACCTCAGCCTACAACCCCCCCCCCCCCCCTATAGATTGCAATTGATTTTTCTTAAAACATCGATTTTTCCCCCAAAAATCTTGTCTGAATTCTTCAACATAGAGTATTTTAATTAATTTCTATTACAATTTATTAAAACAGTTTTCTAAAACGCGAAATAACGGCTAAAATTCGTTTTCTAACATTGACGTCACACCATCTGACCCCCCTCCCCTCATCACACACCGTCACAAAATTACGGTGCCCCCTCCCCCTAAGAGTGTGACGTCATTTAAAGACTTTCTTCCAGACTTTTTTCTCCGGGGGGGGGGGGGGAGCGATCTTGATATTTTCGGGGGAAAGGGGGCGGAATAAATTTCCCGGAGGTGGGTGAACACTGGTAAAAGTACATATTTTCTATATATATTTCCATTTTGTTCGGAGGGGCGGTAGACTGTTTATGGACGACCCCTATACACATAGATGTATAATACATTAACACGGTATGAATCATACTATGGTTTGTTATTACTGGAGTTGTTAGTTTTATTCATCCTAGAGTATTATAGATTATTCCAGACGTCCATGTTAGTTTACGTGTTATTTTTTGCTCTGGTCTATAAATGGCGTTATACACGGGGAGGGGGGGGGGAGGTATTACTAGGTATTAAGAATGCACGAACAAACATTGATGCTATATTTTTTAAAGGGCGTAACTGATGTAAATAGACCATAATGTGTTCATAAAATTTTTGGTATTTTAGTGACTGGTGTGGACAGAGCAATAAAGGAGGGTCTGGTTTTTTTGTGTCATTTGTGTAAAATACCTCAGATAACTGATGTCGGCGTTTTTACAAGTCTTATCACTATTTCTTGTTGCGCAGACCTCGGCTACTGGACAAGAGGAGTTCTCTGTAGTGCGCGCGCACATGCAGTGAAAACATTTGCGCAGCTTATACGGCCTTGTTGTGTTGGGACATACGGCCAGTGCGAGATGGTCTCCCACGAACACTGCATCTTCTTAAAGGGTATCTTTCACCTGGAGCTGGACCACTGTGTACAGGTAAGTTACCGCTCACCATATACACAGACATGTGTGTACAGGTAAGTTACCGCTCCACATACATACAGGTAAGTTACCGCTCCCCATATACACAGACATGTGTTTACAGGTAAGTTACCGCTCCCCATATACACAGACATGTGTGTACAGGTAAGTTACCGCTCCCCATACATACAGGTAAGTTACCGCTCCCCATATACACAGACATGTGTTTACAGGTAAGTTACCGCTCCACATACATACAGGTAAGTTACCGCTCCCCATATACACAGACATGTGTGTACAGGTAAGTTACCGCTCCACATACATACAGGTAAGTTACCGCTCCCCATATACACAGACATGTGTGTACAGGTAAGTTACTGCTCCCCATATACACAGACATGTGTTTACAGGTAAGTTACCGCTCCCTATACATACAGGTAAGTTACCGCTCCCCATACACACAGACACGAGTGTACAGGTAAGTTACTGCTCCCCATATACACATACATGTGTACAGGTAAGTTACTGCTCCCCATACACACAGACATGTGTTTACATGTAAGTTACCGCTACCCATACACACAGACATGTATACAGCTAAGTTACCGCAACCCATACACACAGACATGTGTAGAGGTAAGTTACCGCTCCTTATACACACAGACATGTGTACAGCTGAGTTACCGCTACCCATACACACAGACATGTATACAGCTAAGTTACCGCTACCCATACACACAGGTAACTTACCGCTCCCCATATACACAGACATGGCGTAAGCAGTAGCCTCACCGGGTGGGGCAGGGGGTGCGGTTCACACCGGGGACATCATTGGGGGAGAGGTGGGGGGACGACACATACCAAATCAAGGAACCTTAACAATGGTTTTTCTAGCGAAAATAATACAATAGAAAATCAAACGGAAACAGCTAAATCATTGGGAAAGGGCGGGGGGGGGGGGGCAGCGTTTTTTCCGACATCTTTTCGGGGGGCTCTACCCGGAAAATTTAGTCCGCCCCCACCCCACCAAAAATATTAAGTGCCCCAACCCCCGGAGAAAAAAGTCTGAAAGAAACACTGGGGGTGGGGTGGATGACACCCTCGAAGTTACCACACCGGAAGACATCCGTCCTAGAGACGCCACTGGCTGTTAGCACTCAAGGTGCATCTGATTGTTGCACATCTAGTGGAGCCGCTACGTTTATAGCTGTGGCTAGATCAGAATTGAAATGTTCTATTAGCTTTAGAAGAGTCGTCTATTCTCATGTACTCCGCATTGTCGCTTTACACCCATACCAATCTTAGTTTTACATAACAAATAGGATTCATTTTTTTCCGATAAATTTTGAATAACACTGGCAGGAGTATTGCAAATAAAGTTATTTATAACAAATACCAGTTTAAAGCATGTGAGGACTAGAGATCGTTACATAAGGCAAGTCGCCCTTTATTAGATGACGTCAGCATAGCAATCAAGATTGCTAACCTAGAGATCTTGATTCTCAGGCAAATAAGTGGAAGGGGTGGATTTTCTATCTCTATTTGCACGCATAATTCGACTATAATTAAAATGCCTATATACTGATCATCTATTACACGTAATATTCCGTTTATTTCTCTCCAAGCGACCAACACTTTTACTAAAGAAAATTTGTTATTTTAGTGTCTTTTAAAACGTTTATTTTTGTATTATTTATACCCCCGTATTTGAATGCTTGTGTAAAAATACAAAAAGAACAACCAATTTTGCAGATCAACTGTCTGATCGATTTGTGCCGATTATCGATCCACGAGAGCAACATCGTGCCGTCTGAAGACCACCCCTGGTTACCCAGCAAAAACTCCCAGTGGCAGTGGTGGAGGTTCTTAACGTCCATGCCACTGACCTATGGGGTCATTCACTTGCTGGTCATTTTACCCGTGGAGGTGATCATGATGATACCCCTAGAGATATCGGCTGGGTGGCATCGAGTGCTCATTATTTTTACCTGCAGCTCCATTTCTGGGCAACTGGTAAGACATTTGTATTTGTACAGTAGTGGATTGCTACTTGTAAGGAATTCTATTGCATCAGATTCGGAGCAATGGAATGTACTTGCTGTTGTGAGGCGGGTATGAACTGACCCCAAAAAACGTGACATTTATAATAGGAGAACTAAACAAACAACATATTTCGTGTTTAACTGAGAGGTCCAGAGCTAGATATGCCAGACTTTTGGTGTTTAATTCAAAAGGCAACATGTTGGACGTTCAGAGCTAAAATGCCTCCTCATATACAGTTCTGACTTCACATTAACCAAATTAGACAGAACCAACTAAGGCAAATTGCCCATTTTTTAAAATCCACGCTGGTTGTTTTTCTCTTTGAGATAAAACGTGAATCCACAGTGCACATGCTGTTTGTTAATCCCCATATCACGGTGTTTCTGTTCAGCAGCAAGACACAACGTTTTGTAAACAACAAGACACAATGTTTTGCTAATCCCAAAGGCATAAGATGTTTTTTTTTTATAATCTGCTAGACACAGATAGTGAGTACCCACATGACACAAGATACTTTTTGTCTTGAAACAGATGTCAAGCATAGCAGACCCTGACTTGCCGCACGTTGGCTCCACCCCCGGGGTGGCTGGGATTCTTGGCGTGGCTGTTCTGGAACTATTTCAAGCTTGGAATTTCCTCAGACACCCAGTGTGGGAGTGCATCAAACTCGTCCTCGTCATCTTCCTTTATCTCTTCTTGGGGACATTACACTTGTTTGGGTTTTTTAGCTTTGTGACTGGGTTTTTTGTGGGAATGATGGGGTGTCTGATGGTAGTCCCATACATCACGTATGGGAGGCGACTCAGTCGTTGGAGATTTCGACTTGTGCTGATTGGTTTTTGTTTAATAACACCAACGTTACTTACAATTCATAGCACATTCCGCTTTGTTCAGAAATTTTATATGTGTATGTCTTGTCCAGCTATTGAGTGTTTGCCATACACATCAGTCATGTGTAAAACAAGCACATATTGGGATTAACAGCACTACACTGAATGAGATGTTCCTCTGGTAATGATTAACAATTGAATCAGTAACAGGAGCATGGAACTCAACCATGAACATTCAAACACTTAAATGCGCTTATTTCCCATTTAACTTGTAATAGTTTTTATTAATTATTAACATTACATTTTTTCCAGAGAAAAATATTGTAATGTTTATTTTTTTTATTAAAAAAAATTAACTGTCAAAGTAACAGTATGCTTGTTGTGGATGTGTTTTTTTGTGTTGATTTTTAGTAAAATCTTAATTTATACTTAAGAGAGTTAAATATGAGCTAAAATTGAGAAATGTGAATTTTATTTTCTTTCATTCTGCTAATATTCAAAGTTTTCTTGATTAAAGAAATGAATATTTTAATAAAAAATATTTTTTTATTAAATGTTTTTATCAATCTAAAGCAAAATGCTTTATGTTGTACGTAACATTCAAAAGAATTGAAATTTTATATTATAGGAATCTCTTTTAAAGTCCTCCACATTTTAGCTAAGTTTTACATACCAAATAGATTTCCCTGTTCCCCCCCTTATTGTATAAAATTGCACACATTTTGTAAATAAAGGTGCTAAAATCTGTTATTTCATTTGAGCAGGCTCTGTTAAAATATTAAATAGCAAACTGTTGTTTTCAATTCTGTTCTTCTTACAATAATTTAATAAGACGTATTTGAAGATTAAATTATTTAATATTTATAAAAACATGCATAGAATAACAATTAAAATTAAACCAACTTTTTTTTCTTTAGTTTTGGTTCATCTTGTGCTGAGCTATCATCATCATCATCATCATCATCCTCACTGTCTTCATCTTGACTAGAACTAGACCCAACTTGCTGCTGTTCTTTGGACTGTAATTTTAAAATCCATGCCTCTTTTGGGGTTATGGTTTTAACTGAAACCACAGATTTACAAGTTTTCCTTGTTTCTGGAATTAGAAAACAATCCTTTTTCAATACAAGCTGTTCATATTTCTGCTAATATTAGTTTTATGAAGGCTTAAGTTTATTCAATTCAGTTAATTCAATTGCCTTTTGATTTTTCATATTGAAAAAATAACAAAACAAGCAATTTCCAAAAATAGGCTGAATAAAACTATTTCATTAGTACTAAATTTTTCATAAATAATTCCAATCTTAATTGATTTTTACAATTTTTTTTATTTTGGCTAGATCATCAGCATTCTTTTAACCAATACTGTCCAAGCATTTTCTTAGTTAATCTTTTAAAATATCGAAGATTGTTTGTGGTTTCATATTTTCACAATTTTTCAAGAACAATTTTCTATTTTCCAATGATATGGTTCTAAATATAAACCTCCCTTATGCAACGAATACAGAAAATAGATTCAATGATCATTTTTCAATTAACACAGATAAGAACATACTATCAGGTCAAGATATGTAAATAATATAAACATCTTAAATTATCCACTCCAATACCTACCTGCATGCTTTAAAACAGCTCTGCAGTTGATGCTAATGGCACTTTTTGCTTGAAAGTGATTCAGACCAAATAATCTCGCTCTAAATAATGTTAAGGAAATGTTTTTATAAAACCAACATTTTAAATAACCACTGTCATTCAGGATTTATAGTCTCAATTTGACAAAAAAAAGCTAATGAAATCATTTGTGGTATAAGATCAGCACTGTTGGTGTTATTGATGTATAGTTGCAATAAATAAAAGGATACAAATTCATCACATCCATTGGACTTCGCAAGTCTATAGGCTATACACAAAAATAAAAAGAGAAATATTAACGTCATTGACCTCCATCAAAATTTGTTTTTAACACACTCTAAAAAAGTTATAACATTTAAATTTAAAGCATACCTTCTTTTCTATTTTACAGTAAATAGTTGTAAATGTACATTGAATGTACATTGAAAAAGAGTGAAAATAAATATAAAATTACCTTCTCAGCACTGCTACTTATAATTATATTCTGCAGAATAATTAAATGTATCAATCATTATGAACATTAAAGTACACTTGAGATGTTCATGCTAATTAATTTTAACAGTTTTGAGGAACCAAACAAATTATTATCTTACACTGAAAGTATGAAAAACAAGATTTTAATACAAATACTAATAACACACAAAAAATGTTTGATATTCTTTCAATTAAAATAGCATTGAATTTTTATTAACCCATGAATTGAAAAAGCTTTGAACTTGAACAACTATGACAGGGAAAAATACAGAACTTACTATAGAACTAGAAAGTATGATACTCTTATATTTCTTATTTCCATTAGTAAACAATTGCTCAAAATAACACTAAATACAGAACTTACTACAGACCTAGAAAATATGATATTCTTATATTTCTTATTTCCATTAGTAAACAATAGCTCTAAATAACTATCTGCCTGGTTTGTTTTACCTTTCCCCCAGCAGCATTGATCAACGACATGGCATTTGCTATAATGTATCTTTTAGCTTGATTATTAATAAGTGCTGGACTATAGACTATCTCAAAAAAAATTCCTCTGCTTGCTGCCTATGAAACACAAAAGTGCAGGTTTTATTATGTCGAAATATTTAATAATGTTAATATATAACAAGTAGGATTTAATGGAGCATTTAGTAAATACGTTTTAGAAAAAGTATTTAAAAAAAAAAGTCTTAATTTACAAGATGAAATAAAAATAAACACACCAAATTAATAAGTTGCCTTCTAAGTGAGAAACCAAGACTTTCTGTAAAGTTCAGGCTGATAAGGTCAATATCTAAAGTGCTGCATGCAAGCTGGAAAGTCTTTTCATTTGTTGGTTGAACTGCTATAATATCATAGGACTGAATATCTGGAGAACCCTAAAAATGCAACATAGATTTAATATTTTAACAAGGTTTGATCTTTTTTTAAAAAACAGTTTATAATGAAAATATTAATGTTAAGCATATTAAAATCTAAAACCATTACTTACCAATCTGTGGGTGTTTGAAGCATCTTTTATAACAGCAGTTATACGAGAAAGCTGTTCAAACTTTTTTCCTTTTAACTAAAACAATAAAATAGAGCTGTAAGCAACAACTAACCGAAAAAAAAACCAAATGAGTAACATTTGTGTCAAACTTTGTTTATAAGGTTAAATTTAGAGGTGAAATAATGTTAAACTTTTAATAAATGGTAAGTTTTAGACAGTAGCTAAATAAAACTATTACTAAAAAAAAACTTAAACAGCAAGGGGACTTTTCAAGATATTATACAAATGCAAGTTATCTTACCGTTAGTGATTTTAAACTTTCTTCATTCAGTAGAATATCAGATGGTTGAGAAACAGCAAACTAAAAATAATCAAAACATCACCCAATAAGTTAGAATTTTTATCAACATAAAAAACAAAACAATAATCAAAGGGTAAAAAATGCACCTTTTCGTTATGTTTTTTCCCTTTTCCGCCTTCTAAGCTAGAAATAAACTTGTTAACTGCTATTCGTTCAAATCCCACTAAAAATTTAAAAAAGAAAATTAAAAACATTTGAAAACACACAAACATATATATATATATATATATATATATATATATATATATATATATATATATATATATATATATATATATATATATATATATATATATATATATATATGAAACAAAAATAAAAAAGTTTGTTTTGAATTAAAAATAAGTGCTAAATGCAGCAGAAAATTTAACCTATAAATTTTTGTATATTTACGATTTTTAAAAATTGTGAAATTTTTAATTGATGAAGTATTGATAGTAATAAAACATCAATTTAATCATCAATTTGTTGTAATCCATCCAGTTGTTAAAAATTCACAAGAAGCCTATTGATGTGTAATTTTAAACTTGCATGTCAGAAAAATGTTTAGGATCTTGAGAGGATGAGTGGTAACTTCTTAAAATGTTCACCACCCCCTTTTTATCCACCCCTTGAGATGGTTACATAACTCGCTCTGGGAATTACTGCTTTAAGTTCAAACATTAAACAATTAAAATAAAACAATGCTAAAATACAACGTTTAAAAGAAAACTAAAGGAAGAGTGTAGTACAAGTCTACAAGTACAATAGTTGGGTACAGTACAAAGAAAACTCTAAAACGATAGATTACTAACTTCTAACACTATTATTTGGCAAAAAAATTTTTGTAAAATTAGTTAGAAATTCAAGGGAAACCACTCTAATTTACAGATGGCAGCTTTTTATACAGCAAATCTTGCTAGCATAGTTAAAGTTTAAAGTTAATTTTTGGCCTACTTGACTTTTACTTTGCAGACTTAAGTTGGGTAAAACTCCATTTTAGCATATTTTATTCTCTGGTAGTCGTTTACCTCCAGTTAAGCGTATTTTATTATAATAACCGAAACACACCAAAACATTAGGGAAACACGATTTATTTATTTGTATTGTATTTTTGTTTTCACAAATGAATAAAAAGGAATATTTAAAAAACACAACTTCTTTATTTGTATTGTATTTTTTTTAAAGGCATTTGTCTCATGGTGAAACTGATACACTGTTAATTATTCTGTATGATATTTTTACTTTCTCGTATATACGAAGTATAGAGAAAGTCTTGTAATCGTGAAAAAAAAAATCGAGATTTTTACAAATCTCGACGTTTTACACCTCACTGATACGGAAAAACATAATTTTGCAATCTTGTCCGTATGTCTGTATGTGTGTGTGTCTGTCTGTCTGTAAACACGATTACTTGAGTACCATTACAGCTAGGTTGATGAAATTTCAAATATAAGTATTTTATCAAAATCGTAGATCCGTATCAACTTTTGAGCAATTTCCGATAACCGGAAGTGGTAATTTTTCTACTTTGAATTTTTCAAAAGCCTATAACTTGAGTACTATTTCAGATAGATAAATGAAATTTCACATTTAAATAAAAGATCTAATTCTCTACCTTCTGTCAAATTTTGAGTAATTTCCATTGACCGGAAGTACTAATTTACGGTATTTCCGATTTCTCAAAAAACGCATGTAAATTTATAAAGTACTAATAATATTGCGCACTATTATGCTCATTTTTTTTTTGTGTTCGCTTGGTGCGCAATTCTTTTTTCTATGAGATTCTATTCTATTTTTAAAAGTTTAAGTGGAGATCACTCCCGTTTTATTGTATTTATGCTATAAATGTACAAACTCTGTGTTTTTTAATTTGACAGTTTTGCCAAAACTGAAAAAAATATTTTACTATAGAGTTGTATGTTATTTAAATTCATAGTAAATCTACCATCCTTCCCAATATTTTGATATAGATCTATGTATCAAGTATGATTTTTTGTATGAGTAAATTTCTGACTTTTAAAAAAAATAATGATGTGGGGTTGTCCATAAATGACGTCACACTCGTAAGGGAGAGGGGGGTCCGCAATTTTGTGACGGTAAGGGACAGAGGGGAGGGGGGAGGTAAAAATCATTTTTAAAAAGCGTGACGTTATTTATGGATGACCCCTGTAATAAATTTGTAAATTTGTATTATTTAGCTGTTCGTTTTACTATTTAAATTCATGCATCACGATTGCATTTTTTTTTACAATATTAGTTATATTAGTGTATTTCTGTACAGCCTTAAAAATGCAAAATAACGTATGAAATTTAGTGTCTAACACTATTTTTTAAAATTGCAACGTGAGTTGTCACACTTTCTCTAACACTCCAAGCCATCCCTCACTAAATTCCACCACCCCCCGCCCCACTTTCGGCAGCATTATTAGGGGTCATCCATAAATGACGTCACGCTTTTATGACGATTTTAACCTCCCCCTCCCCTCCGTCACAAAAACCCAGACCCCCCCTAAAATAACGTCACACCTCATCCTACAACACCCCTCAAAATTGCAGTTGAATTTTTTTTAAAAACATCGATGTTTCTAAAATCTTGTCTGAACTCTGTCAAAATAGAGTATTTTAATCAACTCCTATTACAATTTATTAAAACAGTTTTCTAACATTGCTTTTTTATAATGCAAAAGTGTGACGTCTCACCATCTGAACTCCCCCATCCCCCTCATCACACACCGTCACAAAATTACGGACCCCCCTCCCCCCCCCTACGAGTGTGACATAATTTATGGACAACCCCTTATGCCTTTTAGTGGCTTTTAGTTTAGGCTTTTAATACTTTTATATTTTATTCTGTTTAGTTGAAATTGGAACACTTATTTGTACAAAGTGTGCATCTCTATTTTTGTAACCAACAAACAAAGCCGCGGGCGATTTTACGTACCCAAAACGATAGATTACCAAGATTTTCAAGTTGTTGTAGAATGGATGTAGATTCTAGATCTAGATCTAGATTCTAGAATCTAGATCTACACGTAGTACTACTTTACCAAACAAGAAATAATACATTTTACACAATAAAAACAATCAGAAATAAATAAGCTGCTTCTCCTTTTACTCTATTAAATGCACACGGATACTAACACTCAATTGCAATTTCGATCATGTCAAGGAGTGTTGTACTGGAACTCCAAACAAGATTCATGTCACTAAACACGGGCGGCGCCATTTTTGTTTACAAAGATCTTGTTTATTGGCGTTTCCAAGAGTCTGCTGTTCGACGCATTTAACGCGGTCTTAGTCCACCTGCCGACTGACAGGAGACAGGGTAGATGGAAGAATAGCTATAGATCTAGGTCTATAATTTAAACGTCTCATGTTTCGACTGTGGTGTTGTATGATGAAACTAACACGAGGATAAAATAAACAAATATATTTAGAGCCCATACAAACGTATTTAGTATTTATTTAGGCTATCAAAGCTTTAAAAAAAATTAGCTTTTAAAGACATCACGCTCATTTACAATTATATATTGGCTCACTTTATTCCCCCCCCCCCTGCATTCGGCACAGTTATAATTTAAAAAAGGCACTCTCCTAGTCGCCCCCCCCCCCGACCGAAATGGAATTTATATAGAAAATATAGATAATTTTATTCCCCCTCCCCCACCCCCCAAGTGCAACCCCCCCCCCCCCGTCACTTCCCACACAAACCAATAGCAATTTTTCTTACTTTCAAACAAATAGATGTATTCTCAATCGATAGAATCGAAGATAGGCTCAACGACAGTGTCGTTGTGACAAAACGCATGGTGTGATTGACAAAGCTAAAATTAAAGGTGGTTTAAAAGTAGGCCAAATAAATATAGAACTAAATCATATATTATAACTGGATCTAGTATCTATTAAAAATTAAGTGGATTTTAAGCAGTAGGCTCTATAATGACACAATTATGGTCCTAAGTTTAGTTTGATGACATTTCCTTAAAATAACTTGTTTTATACACTATATTTTATAGTATAGTAGTAGGCCTAAGCCTATAGAGTATAAAGTCAAGATCAATTTATTTTGCAAATAATAATAAAAGCATTTTTTTTAACACTTAGGGCCTAAGAATCTAGAAATTCTAGTTGTGGTTTTATTAATTAACACAAATGTAGATTCTATTAGATTAGATTTGAAAAAAAATCTTAACCTAGGTTAAGGAATGGGGGCTATGGTCATTTTACACTGCTGCTACAAATTACAAACTCTCGTTGATTCCTGCGAGATTCTACTCTTGTGACGTCATACATTTTCTGCCCTGAGAATAAGGAAGACAGATAAGGGTGGAAACCGATTTTGTTTTTTTTCTTCTGTGTGGGGCCATTGCTCTTCCATACCTTTGTCTCTATGTAAATAATGTCCGATATATTAGATCCAGGGTTTCAAGAAACAAATATGGAAACATGTAGTCTACCAGACGATACAGACAAGAAGGTGATTTTCTTTTACATTTTTTGTAAACTGACCAGCCAAACAACACCAATGAGTTCAATGATTCTTTCGGATTTCTGAGCCTTTTCCCTTTCTTTTGCTTTTGTCTAAAATCTAATATAACTCAACGTTTGTAGATCTACTTTCGTAAATCTAAAATCTAGATATAGATGGAGCCGCTTGACTAGCTAGACCCTAAAAATAAATCAAATGCTATGGTTTGTAACAGCATAAGTAAAAAAGAGGTTAACCCAGTTTGAGTTAGTCAGTTACTAGATCTAGATTCTAGATCTAGATCATCTAATCTAGTTACTAGATCTAGATCTTGTATAAAATACTTTAAAAACTAGATTCTAGTAGTTAGACCCTAGATCTAGAATATTGTAAAGTTAATTACTGTCTACTACTAGATCTAGCTACTGTAATGTCTAAAGTCTAAACTCTGCTACTCTGAAGTCTAAAAAAATGCTTGAGTGTCAATGTCAGTTGACAAAGGAACTATGATTGATATGTCATATTATGTGAATTTTCCTTTAGAAAATAAAAGGTTAATATTAGGCTAGAAGCTAGGCCTAAACAAAATTGAATCTAGGCCAGGCAGCCGAGAAGAAATTATTAATTTTTCATAATTTTCTCAATATCTCCTCCTCTCATATGTAGTCTATAATTCTGCTTATGCCTTGACCAACTTGTCAGGTAAAACTAGTAAAACCTTTACTAGATCTAAAGAATTTCAGTCAGTCTATTAAAAGAAAATTAACATTAGGATGGGTCTCTCTTCTGTGTACAAACCGTGTGACTTAAAAAAATGGCAACTGACCCATTGAGTTATTTTTTTTTTGGCTGGTAGTTTTGACACAGAAAGAAGTTATTATGATGAGCAGATCTACTGACTCATGACTGTTAAATGCTATGTTTCTATATTAAAACCTTCATATCCACATCCGCTAATTAGATATTACCTCTGCTGTTAGTAAACTTATTTAAGTTATTGAATCTAGATTATGCATATCCTGTATCAAAACTGTGTTAAGTATCATCCTTTTATTTTCTATGAACAGGTTCTTTTTTTTGCAAAAACAGTTTTGTCTATTTTTAAATACCTCAGGAAAATTATGATTAAAGTTAAAATAAAATACTTTTAGTTGAGAAAGGCACAGTATTCAAAAAGCTGTAGACCTAATTGGCAACATACAACAACCTGATAGAAGTGGTGTACTGATTGTCACATCCAAAGTTATTTAATTCAATTTTGTTGTGATTGGTGATTTTATGTTAGGTTATACAGAAGACCATTTAAGCTAGGATTATACAATTTTCTGACAACCTTAAAAGCTACATGTTAAATCTTAACCTGAAATATTTCCAAAGTTAGCATTTTAAATGATTTTATAATTCAAAATCTTTTAGTAATAATTTCCTAGGTTATTTTAACTGAATCTGCATTATATGTCTCAAATATAAACACATATTGAGTATGATCATTTTTTTAAAAATTACATTACAACCCTTTTAACTTGTCACTGCATGATTTTTTCAGTATTATGTTTATAATTGTTTTCCTAGATTGAGACAACACAACTTATGCCGTCCGCCATCAATAAAGAGCTAATGGAATCAGATGAATTTATTAGAGACAGAGATTTGTGCACGAAATATTTTGAAAATTGGTGTGAGGGGCAGCAAGTTGTTTTTGTTGAACATTTACTATCTCGCATGTGCCACTATCAACATGGTCAAATCAATGCCTTTCTTAAGCCTATGTTGCAGAGAGATTTTATTTCAGCACTGCCAGGTACGTCAAATGTAGGAAAATTAGAATTTTTACAATACTAATAATTAGGCCCTATTAATTATGAAATTTAAAAAAAAATTGTTTTTACTTTCTTTTTTTTTATTCTAGGGCTTAACTGGTGACATGTCTCTTTTGTTAAAAGTAAAGCTGTATTGTTAATTTGATTTCAGTTTTTTAATGTAGTTGAGTCTTAATATAATTGCTAAATTAATTTCTTCCCATAATTCTTTTACATCAATTATAATTGATTAAAACACTTAATTCTTAATTTATTCTTATTTTTAATATGTTCACAAATGCAGCTAAAGGACTTGATCACATTGCTGAGAATATATTAGCCTATCTCGACGCCAAATCACTTTGCGCTGCCGAGTTGGTGTGCAGAGAATGGTACAGAGTCATTTCAGAGGGCAATTTATGGAAAAAACTAATAGAACGGAAAGTACGGACAGACAGTCTTTGGAAAGGTCTCTCTGAAAGACGGTTATGGTATGCACAGTTATCAGTCACAAGAAAAACTAATTACAATAATCATTTACCTATGTAGGAGGTTTCTCAAATTGAAATTCATTTTTAAAATGTCATTCAGATTTTTTAACAATTACTTTTAGGGACCAATACCTTTTTAAACAGCGGCATGGAGAAGCCCCAAAAGATCACAAGTTTTACAGATCTCTTTATCCTCAGATAATTAAAGATATAGATGTAAGTCTTGATTTTTTAAATGCAATCAGTGTTTGTTATTATTGAGGTTTTTTTAAATTTTCTTTGTAGGTTATGTGAGAATGTATGAACATTTATGCTATAATTAATCATGTGAATACTGTAATGAAAAAAATGAACTATTTTACTTTATGAAAATGGCAACATTTAAAAAAAAAATTTTAACGTGTACATTTCAGCAGTGATTTTAAAAACAAATATATCTTTTTTATATAGAGAATAGAGGATAATTGGCGAACTGGGCGTCATCAGTTACAAAAAATTCATTGTCTCAGTGAAACCAGCAAGGGTGTGTACTGCCTTCAATATGATGATAACAAAATTATCAGTGGTTTGAGAGACAATACAATCAAGGTGAATTTATTGTAATATTTATAAAACTCTATTACCTTTGTTGAAATAGTGTTTTTTAGATAAACTCAAGCATTATTGTAATTGATATGATCTAATAATTTTTTAAAACTGAATGTTAGTAATGTCTTAGCTTTATGTCTTAATAATACTTATTAATATTTTTAAAATTAATCAAAAGTGTATGAACAATTATTTTCAGATATGGAATAGAAACACATTAGAATGTATTCAAGTTCTCACGGGCCACACTGGCTCTGTATTATGCCTCCAATATGATGAAAATATTATCATCTCAGGATCTAGTGATTCAACAGTCAGGTAACTATTTACTAAAAAAATGTTCAGACCTAATAGGGGGCTATAACCCTAGACAATTATGTTCCCTCAACCTATTTAATTTCCATTTTAATAGTTTAAACAAGTCATAGCATTTGACCTGTCACTTTAATAAGGGGTAGAATTTTTTTTTTATTATTTACATTTTTTTATGTAATTGTTGCCAGAATGGCTTCCACAAGGCCTGCTAATATTTTAGTTCTTAGGCTAAGGTCTATTTGTCCCTTCCCAAATCACAAGATGTGGGGCACTAGTCTTTAAAATATACATTTTTAAAAATTCACAATAAAACATTAATCAACAGCAAACATATTTTTTAAAAACACATTTTATGAAATGTAAATGAAGTTTTTATTGCATTTGGTTTGACACGAATTAATTAATTCACAGCAACGCAGACCATAAACACTTGTCATCATAATGGCAGAACTACTATTATTATTAGCAATTAGCATCTCTAGAAATACCCACACCATATCAAAATATTTAGAACCTGAATTGGACTGACAGGGTACACAGCTAGCCCAGTTTGTCTGATTGTCATTGAAGTTAGATGCAGACATTGACTAGAACAATTATATTTACATTTTACAAGTATCTTTTTGTTAAGAACTCTTTGAGGTCTGGGTACACAGCCAAATAATATCAGGGGATATGGGAATTGATCATAAAATGATATCCTTGGCTGAGAGAGTCGAGAGCAAAGAGTCAATTGGGGCTATAAGGCTTAATTTATTTAATATTTGTTAACATTTGTGGCCTACTTGGAATATAGTTTTTAAAAGCTTTTTACCTACATTTTGACAGCTACATCTTACTAAGAAAATAATTACGATTTTTTAAAGTTAAATTACTGTAAAATAAACATGGTTAACTGTTTCATTTTCAGAGTTTGGGATGTACATACAGGTGAAATGATGAACACACTGATTCATCATTGTGAAGCTGTGCTGCATCTCAGATTTTGTGATGGAATCATGGTGACCTGTTCTAAAGTAAGACTTCACATTACATCCTAAAACATTTGACTTCATTCCTATTGGAGTAGTCAAATGCTTCTTAAAAATAACCATCACATGTTTAGACAGTGTTTATTATTTCATGAATTAACATGTCATTATTTTTTTATAGGACCGATCAATTGCTGTCTGGGATATGCAATCACCTACAGAAATTAACCTCAGAAGAGTGTTGGTTGGTCACAGAGCAGCTGTAAATGTTGTTGACTTTGATGAGAAATACATAGTTTCTGCTTCAGGAGACAGAACAATAAAGGTGAACAATTTATTTTTACATTTCTTACCTGCTAATCATTATGGGGGATATTTCATTTTCGTCTTTGCTTCATAGAATATGGACCGTATATTTTATTTAAAAACCTGCACATTGTGTTAATAAAATAATCATAATTGACTACGACACGTAGCGTATATTTTAAGTAATAGTTTACATACAGAAATTGAAGGAAAAAAATCTACTTATTTTTTTTAGAAAAGAAAAACAACTTGTGGGTGACAAATACATGTCGGTTTGGAAAATTAAAAAAAAAATGTTTCATTGCCATTTGATAGATGCAAATGTGTATGTTTCTACTTAAAATAAAAGATTAAATTAATATCAGAAAAAAATAATTTTTTTCATAAAATATGTTTTGCACTATTGTAATAGTTCACATGCAGCCAATAAATGCCCTTCACAATATTAATAAATTTGTCGTAAAACTACAAGAAGTACACTTAGCAATATAATGACCTAGATATATGATTAAAAACTACCACAGGCCAGTGGACCTACCACTAATAGCGTCATTTCAGTCTTTAAATAGTTAAAATAAAGGTGTTTGCATTTTCTCTTACTGTCGTACCTAATTTTTATTGTTAAAATGGTTGTTTAAATGGTGATTTAGCTATTTTAATTCCTCAGGAAGCATATTTACTGTTTGGATTATAAGTTTAAACAAGTTTTAACATAAGTTCTATAAATAATTTTAACTGTTTAACATACTGGTTTTACAAATTTCCAAAAAAATGGGTGGTTTCTTCATTTAAGGCAAAAATGTGTTTTCATACCTTTTACAAGGATATTTAAAGTATTTATTAAAATTGTTTTAATTGTTAATGCTGAGCAGCCTTTTCAAATTATTTTTCTCATCTTAGGTTTGGAATACTTCAACTTGTGAATTTGTGCGCACTTTAAATGGACACAAACGTGGCATTGCTTGTTTGCAATATAGGGAAAGGCTGGTGGTCAGTGGCAGCTCAGACAACACTATTAGGTTAGGGTCCTCCAAATACATGTATTTACAAAGTTAATGCTAACCTACAGGATTATAATCATTTAATTTTTCAAGCTGTCAATAATTACTTTCTAGAATTTGAATAATATTATACCATAAGATTTATACCATAAGAATTGGCTTTTCAGATTATGGGACATAGAATGTGGGGCATGCCTGCGAGTACTTGAAGGTCATGAAGAATTAGTCAGATGCATTCGCTTTGATAGCAAGAGAATTGTTAGTGGAGCTTATGATGGGTAGGTAACCATTAGTTACTTACAAGTGCATCATAAAAATGTTGATTCAGTAATTAAACTCATTTATCTTTGTGCATAGAAAGATATTGATTTAAATCCTGAATATGGATACCAAATAAAGCAATATTGCAGCTCTGTCTATATTTCTTTTTATTGTCACGCTTGTTTATTTAAATTTCCTTAAGATAAGTAATATATCTTTGCTTTACCTCCTCCGACCTGTTTTTATTTCTTTTAACCTGGTAAAGTCTGATACAGCGAAACTATGTAAGGCAAAAAATTATTTCATGATTATGGTTGATGACACAAAACTCTCTGTTTTTAGAAAAATAAAAGTATGGGATCTACAGGCTGCTTTAGATCCAAGAGCCCCAGCTGCGACTTTATGCCTCAGGACACTTGTAGTAAGTATTTGCTATTTTTAAAAAAACATTAAAGTTGTTTTTATCTACGCATCTGTTTAGTTCATTAATATAATACCTTACCTGTGGATAAATGTATGACATTATTTTTACTTTACTAAAGAGGCATTAAAATATGAAATTTTATATTTCTAATTTGAAAAAAAAAACAACACATTAGTAATGTCACAGAATAGCCCCAACATCACTTTAAAAAAGCTTTCATTGTTTTATTTTAGGAACATTCTGGAAGAGTGTTTCGCCTGCAGTTTGATGAATTTCAGATTGTAAGTAGTTCCCATGACGACACAATTCTCATCTGGGATTTCTTAAATGTTCCAGTGCCTGAAGGTCAAAAGTCACCACCAAGAAGTTATACATATGTCACAAAATAACGCACTACTCTTACCCAATTGCAATTACTGAAATCAATTATTATTCATATTTCTTCAGCCATATTTGATTTAATTACAAATATCATGGCAGGATGGCAGTATTTTTACTGAAAGAACAGTACAAGAGATAAAACAAACCAAAAAAAATACTAAGTTTATGATGATGTTGCTGTGATCATATCTCTGGCATGTCCCAGATGTACCTGATTTCCTCTGGATTATTATGTAATGTCTGCACAAGTTCGGGCTATGGGGAGTAGTACAGCTATTGTGGCCACCTTTTTTCCATTAATTTATGCTTTTGCTGCTGTTAGTTTTTCTACTGTTATAGCTCATTTGTTTTTTTAATTTCAGACTCATAAAATTGACAAAAAAAAAACCTGAATGTTCTTAATGAAATTTTAGTTGCCAAGATTAAAATCATATTTTCCCCATTTACTACACCAACATCACCAATGTGTACATGCTGATGTGAGAATTTTTCACTAATTTTAAAGTAAATGAATATCATGATCCAGTTTATCAATCTGAATTGGTAGATGTATTAATTCTCTCATTACAGCTTACTGGTTTCTTTACTAAATATATAAAAAAAAAAACACTACCTTTTCATTTAGTACTAGTAAAATCATACATTTTTTTTTAACTAAAGTACTTGTAGTAAGAAAATGTTTGCTGTCATAACAATTGTAAATATCTTCTGCACCAAACCAAGGAAAGAGCTACCTAGATAGCCCATTTGTTTATTACAGCCAGAAAGAATTTTGTTATTCTTTATGTAGTTGTTATTATTTAAATAGGAGACTGAAAGGACTTATTTAGCTACTTTGTACTGACCACAGAGACTAAATTGTTAAGCTGTTTTGTGTGTACATTGATGTGATTTTAAAAATAGCATGAATCTCGCTTAATGTTGCCTAGTTTTTAGTATCTGCTTGCTGTATTTGTTAAAAAAAGCTGGTATGAATGTGGTTAATTTGTTACTTTTGTATAGTATATTGAAATTCCTGATGGCTTTAGACACAAAACATCTAAGTCCAAATTTTTTAGTAAGCACCATTATTCAGATTCTTAAATTAGTACAAATATTTTTATATTAAAGTCAGTAGATGTGAGGGTGTATTTTTCAGTACAATTAACAATTTTAGACATAGATGATTTGTGCCATAGCCATTCATGTTTTACCTGTCAACTTCTAAATGAATGTGGTTTACAGTATATTTTTGAGTTAGCTTTAAATGCAAGGGTGTCAGATCCCTATTATGAATGGTTTTATTATGTAAGTGTTGACCCCTGCAACTTGTGTAGCTTTTTTAAAAATTGAAATTGATTTTTAAAATGCCCTTTTAAACATGCCTTAGAATTGAATGTTGGATTCATCAAGATCTATCTCATCAGACTGCATTCCAAACTTTCAATATTATTTGTGTGATGACTTATGTCAGCCATGCTATTTTTTTTCAACCCCTTGAATCCAATTTATAGAAGCTAGATTGATAAATACTTCATGTAATCCTGCAATGTTAGGAATAGGAAAGCCTTAACAGAAAACATTTATACAGGAACAAAGTTGATTTTGTGAAATGGCAAAATGTTAGTATCTGTAATATATCATACATTTGTTTTTAAATTATACAATTATTATTGGAACTAATGTATTATAGATTTTAATTAAATCCAAGTACTGTATGTCAAAACAATAAAATATCTGCCTCCTAGTTCCTCTGACACCTCTCTGTTTAAGAAAATGAACATGGCTGCAGGAATATTTGGCTATGTTAATATAAATATGTATTGCTAAAAATATTATTTGCCCCATTGCAGTTTCATCTATCATTATCATTTGTAAAATAAACCACTAATTTACTAAGATTTGATGGTATGATTGTTTGTGATTTACTGCATCCTTAAGTTGTTTTGATGGTATTTTTATGTTGGCTATTAAATTTCTTAATATTATTTATGTGTGTCTTTGATTTTAACATGGTTATACACTCATTAATTTAATAAGAACTATTATCAGTAATACAAATAATTTTCTAAACTACAGATAGACATTACCCAAGCTCTGTACCCACATCGTTACTAGTTATCATTGTAATGGTGTAAATTTATTTTGTCTTCAGTTTTTATCAAGTTTTGTAAAAGCTGATTCGGCTGTGTAAACTAAATTAATATTACACTAGCATACATGTCTTGCGTTGCCGCAATCTCTGAAGAAAGAAAATTCAAGGACACTGTTGAGGATAACATTCAACAAACATTGTCATTTTAATTAAAACTCATTCATTTCAATATGAATAACATTAAATGGTGGGTGCATTTTTGTTTTTCCTTCTTGTACACTAACAAATCAGGTTTTCCATGGTGTGAGTTTACCAAATACAATTTGTTCAGATGTACCCAATGTCAGCACTGTAGATCTGGGATCTAAGTTAGAGCTCAGGTTCGTCCACACTACGATCTAGGTTTTGCTGCAGTTGCAACTGGGTGAATTACATCCATAGTCTTCCTCTTAGTAAATGGCTTCTGTTTAAGGTATTCAGGGAGATGTTCTTGGTAGCCATGGGGTCTGAGCCTGTTCTTAAAAGCATGCATTCTGCTCACCTGCCTATCGTCCATAAAATATGTTGTCATTCAAGCATTAAAACATTGGTTCTTAAAGTAAAAACCAACAATTACACACTAAAATGAAATTTACTATTAGTTCATAAGTGAAAGTTTGGGGGCCCCTAAAAATCTAGGGCCTTAGGCCCACCTTCAAATGCATGGTCCTGTTTTGGTCTATTCCAACTTGGTGCTGAACAATCTCAGACAAAATATGGTATTTCAAGTGGGCAGTGGGATATTTCTGATGTATGAGAAACACCAAAATATGCTAAACAGCTTTATTCGATCACTGCTACTAAAGTAGCAACCAAGTTGGAAGGTTTCAATTTCTGCAACAACTCTTTTTCCTTTATGCCTTTGAAAAACAATTTAATCGTTGATATCCATTGTATTTGTATCCTGTTTGTGTTTAATTTGTAATCTGCCGGGGGTGTATTTTTTTAAGCACTTTCCTATGGGGAGCTCTTGTTCATATTTCCATAGGGCCCATGTATCTCATATGCTGTTACCAAACTAAAAAGCAAAAGGTCAATTTATGGATTGGGCAGTTCAGCGTTTATAATTATGTCTATTTCTGTGAACGTGTGGTAGACCATTTTTTTATCACTCAACATCAAGCACTGCATTTCACCACACTCTGAAATTTAGTGATCGCATCAATTAATTTCAGTATTTTTAAGTTTAAAAACTGGTGATGACATTGTGTCAATCTGATGTGCTTGGTGTGAAAAAAGTAGTTATAAGCAAATCATGTCGTCCATACTGCATACATAAGTCATGGCATCCTGGGCATATTCATGCATTTGCCTAGGGCTTCTTATGACTGTCAAGAGCAGTATCCTCATTTGACTCATTGATAAATGAAAAAATTATTATCTGCACGGCTAAGCAATATTTTAAATATGCACTTTAATTTTAATAAATTTGTGTCTGGATATACTCTTCCAGCTTTTTCAGGTTAAACTGTAGAGTAGACATTTAATCTCTGTTTTGATGTACATGTTGACAATGAATTGGCTGCAATTTAGCTTTTTTTGTGATTTTTCTTCCCTGCTCTATTCCATTATTCTGTATGCATAGAAACTCATTGCAGACATTGGTTGTGCCTGTAGTTGGGTTGGTTTGTTGGATCTGAAAGTGATAAAAGATCATATAGCTAAGAGTTTTTACTACTCTCTGTAGGGTGTTATTTCTTCTCTGTAATTCAATTAAATTACAATATCACGCTTCTCAAAACCATTGCCAACCATGACGATGGGTGCATTATAAATTATACTGCCCTTTGTGTTCACCACAGGGTATTTTATCAGCACAGATCACCACTTTGCATTAGTTGTTGGGCATATTTTCCAGTGGCATTTTAAACAGCTTGATGTAAGCATTGGCGTAGAAGCTCCTGTAAATCTAGATTTATTTTCTCATGCATGTTTGGAAAAATGGAACACTGGCTTTTAGCCTCTGATATTGTGTTGCCTATAAAAAGACAAGATTCATAGAAATTTGTGTAAATATTCACTTGGTGGAAGAAGAGATCCAATTTTGTGTCACATTTGGACTCAGACTTCAAATATTGGAATAAATCCTTGTTATCTGACCTAATCTGTTGTTCCAAAAGACATCTGAATACATGAGTTATATCAGTAACCCACTGGTAACCATAGTGTTGGGCCCTCTTTAAAACAAATGTAGGCGCTGCAGTGCTCATGGGGATGCTCCTGCTTACACTAAGTTACACGACCACCAACTCTAGTGCGGACTGACCACTGATTCAAGTAGTATCTCAAACTTCCCATGCAGGACGACCAATGAACTAACCCCATACACTAAGACAGCTGCTGGAGAGCACTGGACACAGCCGTTCCAACATTTACACTTTTAAATTGCAAACTTTCCCTGATGTGTACTAAACTACCTCTCAAGGTTTCATGGTGATTGAATAAATAGTGTAGAAATGCATACACATTTTTTTAATAAAAAACGTTTTAATAACAAGCTTTTATGTAATAATGCACTAAAAAGGAGAAAATAAATTATACACAATTATTTAAATAACTATAAAGAAAAGCGTGGGTCACTTTAGTATCTATTGGATACCTTTACTAATACTTAGGAAGAGACCTACGCTTTTCTTTATAGTTATTTAAATAGTAGTGTATAATTTTTCTCCTTTTTAGTGCATTATTACATAAAAGCTTGTTATTAAAATGTTTTTTATGAATTTTTTTTAGTACTTTACATGTTTTTATTTACAATAAAGTTACATGACTAAAAACCATTGTGCGCTTATTGAACGTGATGACGCGCTATTGAACATGATGAAGCCCTTTTGCCAAGATGACTCATGTGGATTGAACTGCCTACAAATTCTGTCAAAATTTTAATTAATTCATAAAAAATTAATTAGGCATCCAATTAAGTCAAATTTAATGTCACAATGCATTGTCTTCATGTCATGACCCACGTTCCAACTATGAACCGTATCTGTCAGTTAAAAGTGTCCAAAATTTTGCTTGGGCGTTTTGACCGAGACAGACTGACGAGGAAGTGAGTTAAATAAAAGCTTGTAAAAACACAGGCATACATTCATTTTTAATATTAGAGATTAGTGAAAAGCAGTGTTAGTACACAAATTATTTACCCTATTTTAATGAAATTCTTACAAAAATCCAATTCATTTGTTAGGTTTAATACATTTTCTTCTTGGCATCTTACTGTAATGTAATCATAACAAAACAGATATGTACATAATTATATTTATAAAGCTGAATCAAGCAAAATTTCATGCTCAAACCTTACATGGTACACCTTAGCTTCTAGACATTTTATTTTAATAAGTATTATCAAATCTCACCACTAGGATATAATTCCTTTATTGCATCTAAAAGCAAATCCCTTTTGTCTTCTAAGCTCAAATTTGTACTTTGTAAAAGAAAATAATCTTTAATTTCTACAGGGGATTCAATATTGCCTGAAAGCTCTATCAACATATTTTTTCTTTTAATTTGAGCATCGTAATATTCAACTCCACCTTTAGCAACATCTATACTAATTTTGGCTGCTAACCTATCACACTTTGTCTCTACATTACTATTATAATAGCTGGATGCTTTCAAAAAACTTTTTGAAACCAGTGGTACAACTAATACAGAAGAAAACAGCAATGCCCTTCTGAACCTGAGCAAACCTGCTAGTGTAGCTGCTAAAGGGTAACAACTCATAGCCATAAAACCACACCACACTGAGTTGATGAACACTTGATATGTATTAACATGACACATCTCTCTTGCCAATGCAAATTTTTTGGCATCTCGACTCAGTTTGAAAGTGTCAAAAAGTTGTGCTCCGTATTTTGAACTTAAGTCTATATTATACTTGTGGAGGATATGAGGGTTCTGTTGAGCATTTTTAATAGATTCACTTGAGAAGAAAACAGGAGTCCCAATAACAGCACCCCATTTACTTGTCATAGTCCCCCTTGAAGTAAATTCCATTTGGGAACTTGGAATTATTTCACATAGATCTTTTTTTATGAAGTTATTTGGTTTCCAATTAAAATCTCTTTTTATCTGTTGAATAAATAAATAAATAATATATATATTTTATTTATTATATATATATATATATATATATATATATATATATATTATTTCACATAGATCTTTTTTTATGAAGTTATTTGGTTTCCAATTAAAATCTCTTTTTATCTGTTGAATAAATAAATAAATAATATATATATTTTATTTATTATATATATATATATATATATATATATATATATATATATATATATATATATATATATATATATATATATATATATATATATATATATATATATATATATATATATATATATATATATATATATATATATATATATATATATATAACATTGTGAGAAACAGGTAAAATATTTTTTTTTAATTAATTAGTTAATTACTAAATAATAACTTTTAGTTGTAGGAGTTTACCTCTTCTGCCAAAATAAATATCTCTTGGTCAAAATTATCTTTGTTATCGATTTTAATGAGATCTTTATAACTCTCAATGCCCCATACATGTGGATACATGGTGGCAGTTGTAAGGCCAAGACTAGCAAAAGCAAATCCATGAGGTAAGTACTCGACAAACATTTTAAAAAAGCTCATTTTTAAATCTGAAATAAAAAAAATTAATTTAAAAAAAAAATCAAACAGAGAAAAAAACTTGTAAAAAAATAACTTGATTGAGACAACAGCTAACTAAGCCTGCCCATTTTGCCAGCTGTGTATTTGAATGGGAAGAAAGCTAGCAGCCAGCACAATTTTGCTGAACGGCAGTGAACAGTCAATCATGTCACAACAACATTCTTTATAAACTAACCCACCGTATCAGTTATATCATCGTAGCCAATTAAAAACAAAAGCATTTTTTCACAAATCATTTTCTAGGCAACTGTTTAATTTTGATAATTAAAATTGGTATCAAATTAAAGGTAAATAAATGTAGTTTTTAATTGTTTAAGTCATCTTGAACAATAATGTACTTTAAAATCTTAGGCGACACCCAATACATAATCATGTGCAAAGAATAAAAACTGCATTTTATGATGAGTATGGTATAGTGAGTCATGACTAGTCATGAGAAACTCCAATTAAGTACCTAAGGAGTAGTATGGAGACTTATTGATCCTAATTGGTGACATGAATGTGAAAATAGTTAATGACAATAAAGAAAGAGAGAGAAAAAGAGAGAGAGAGAGAGAGAGAGAGAGAGAGAGAGAGAGAGTAATGGGCAAACATTTGAAATATGGACTCAGCAACGTGAATGAGAATGGAGAAATATGCACTGACTTCTACTGCACACTGCGTGACTACATGATACATTATATGCCAGTGAGTACAGAGTATGAACATTAGTACACATAGTACATACATTACATTGACATACAATGAACTATCATACAATATACAATTTTTATACATGACTCAACTGAAGTCTTTATGTGAGATTACTACCTCTAGCTTATTGTAGACTCTAGTTAGAATATTATAAATGTTTAGTTTAGATCAGTGGTTCCCAAACTTTTTCAAGTGGCGACCCCCTTTTATAAAAAGTAAGCAACACGCTACCCCATTGAATTAAAAAGGTCGTAATTAGCTAGGAAATTAATAAGCACTAAAATATGATTTTTTTAGTAGACTTTCAATATGAATTATTCTTGGTAACTGTTTTAATATGATGGGTGAAATTGCATGCAATTTACTAGCCTCAACATACTCGGTTGAGCTTTTGTTGCAAACCTAATGTCATTCTCAGCATTTAATTTATTTATTTTTTTTCTTTTAAATTGGAGAAGTATTGAAAATCTATTCTCGCAAAGATATGTAGACACAAAAGGTACTAAAACTCAAAAGGCAATCCATTTCACGCTTGGTTATGAATGGTGCATACTACACTAAAAATAATTGAGCATTTTTTCATTTAACATGATACGTGACGCGGAATCATTCAGCAAATTTAAGAATTCTTCTTGTAATTCATCGGGAAAGCTGGCAACATCAAAGTAAGCAGAGACAGTGCAGATTATTCTTCTTTCAGCACAGGGAAAATAACGTTTTCAAGAGATTCAAGATGCCCAGAATCTTCTTTCAAATTTCTATTTATCACACAATCAGATTCATCTACCACACTGCAGAGTTTCTCAAACATGGCAATATTTCCAATTTTTTTTTTATTCGACAATTTTGCAGCTTTGATAAAAATGCCAAGAGATTTTCATGAAAAGAGATAATATTAGTTCATTTTCAGGTTAAGCTTATGTTGATGTTCGAATATATCTGCTACGTATGCTACTCTCTCCAACCACTCTTTGTCGTTAAAGTATATCAAAAGGTCTTGTTTCCTTTGCACTTCAAAGAACAACTTGTTTTCAACTTTCAATTAAAAAATATGATTCAAAACATTTCTTTTTGACAGCCAGCGTGATCTTTATTCAGGTCTTTGCACAGTTCTTAAAACAGACGGGTGTTTAGGGCTTCAGATTTTAAAATAATTTACGACTTTTATTAGCAGAAGAGTAAGCGAGGGCATACCGGTGAATCATGCAGTGGATTCCCCTTCATTAGGGAGCTAACTCTTTTACTTTTTTCTGAAAGCCTGATTTTGACCGAAACATGACGCACCATCTGTACAAACCCCACAGCCGTTTTCTCATTTTAATCATCCATGATATCTTCACAAAATAGCAACTCTTCTTTGCTATCATCTGAATGGATATTTTTCACAATGACATGCAACTGCAAACACAAACTCACGTCTGTTGATTCATCAACTTGAAAATCAAACAAAGTTGAAAGTTTGATTTCATTCAAAATTTGTTTTTTAACATCTGCTATATGCTGCTGCATAGCATTATTAGACAGATATTACTTCACTGGATTCCCAAGAATGAATTTCACCATCTTCAACATGCGGGGTTTGATGAGATTTTCTCCTATTGTGTGTGTTTTAATTTGCTTGGCAATTTCTAATGCGACTTCATATGATGCTTGCTCTAATGATCAGTCTAATGGAATGCTGGTTTCTTGGTGAAAACTTCTTGTTCAATCAAGTCTCTTATGTTTGCAACTAGCTTCATGCAGACAAGAGAACTGCATATCTTTTTTGGTGTTCCAAATGACTTATTTCAAAATGACCTTTTAGTTTTGAAGGTTTCATAAACTCAAGAGACTGAGAACAACTTTGCTCAGTACACATTGTTTATTCTCTATTCCATTTAAGATATTTTTCTAAATAATAAAATAACAATATTAATTAAGGATACATCTATTCGGACCCGGGTCCTAATAGCCTCGGCCGCTATTGGGACCCGGGTCCTAATAGCCTCGGCCGCTATTGGGACCAGCCAATAGAATTGTTAAGATTTAGTTATACGAAAATTCTTTTAAGATGCAGAATATATCTTTTCTGTTGTGATTTTTTTCCTTGTAATTCTAAATGATAGAAGCAATACGTAACATTTGAACTCACAATGACCCCAAATCCGTTTTTCCCTCTTGCTGGGTTGGGGGGGGGGGGGGACTACGGCGACGACGAATCTCGACAACCTCATAGCCATGGTCTTGCTATGACGTATGCTATACGCCTACACTGTTCACATCTAAACCAATCTGAACTCAGTGACCCTGGCTAGACCGTATCGGTATTTTTCTTGCGCTGACCAGAAAACGCGAGCGGGCGATCAATGGTGCAACGATGTTTTTATAGGGCCTAATTGGCGTGTTTAAAAACATAAATCTAGAAATAAAAATATAATCTATTTAAAAAAAAAACAATTACAAAAAGACACTTTTGCAAACAACTCGATGGAATGTTAGACTTAGATAAATACACTTTATTTCACGCAAAAACGAGAGTATTGATAGGTTCCGATCCAGTAACTGATCGAGATGCGGGAGGTACTGCGTTCTCCACTCGACCACGACGTCTTACGACAATTACTATATATTTAATGATTTTGTATATACAGCTAAACAGAGCCGGCGTTAGGGGGTGGCGAACGGGGCGGTCGCCATAGGCCCCGCGCTTGAAGGGGCCCCGCGCTTCAGCAATGTCATTGTTATCTGAATTAGTTCGTAAACTTAAAAACATGGTTGCTGAATTCAATTGGGAAAAACTAAATGGTCGAATGCCGAAGTTGTTGATTGTTATAACTGAGACCACGGTTGATGTTAGTGAGTTATCACCCACTGAACTGGGACAGGCCGTAATTCTATACAAAAAACAGTGTCACACACCTCCCCTTTGTGTAGGGTACGGTCGCCTGGCATTTGACCTGAGCTGACTGGAGATGGCGGTCGAGAATTAGCCCACGACGTAAAGAGATACCCTATTGTATGCGGACCCATGAAGACGTCCTTTTAGTGAGCAGACGGGATGTCTGTAGTAGACTGTTAGTGACCTGATGAACTCTAGTCCTGACTTTCTTGTTGTAGATGTCGTATAATGTCGTATATGTACAGTGTTTCTTCCAGACTTTTTTCTCCGGGGGGGGGGGGGGGGGCACTTGAAATTTTCGGGGGGAGGGGGGCTGTACACTTTCTTCGGGGGGGGGGGGGGGGGGGGAGAGGGGGGGCGGACACTGTTAAAAGTATATATTTTCTATATAAATTATATAAATTTCATTTCGTTTTCGAAGAGATGCCTAGAAGAAACTCTATATGTAGGCCTACTTGTCTTGGTATAACAAAATTAACATTCAGTTGCGTGCAGAGGGGTGGGAGGAGGGCGACGAGGGGGGGGGCGCCTTAGGATCTATATCAGGCGGCATTAACAGAGTGATTTATTATTATTTTTTGGAAGAAAGTTAAAACTGTTGTTATGTTGTGTCACCTTATGGATTCACCCATTCAATAATTAAGACAATAATGATTTTGGTTTTAAAATATTCTATGAATTCTAAAAAAAATTTGAAGTCTATACTGTTTTGATACAACAGGCCGAGTTCGCTGTGTTGTAAACTTTATTTTCCTAATTATTCGGCACGTGATTAAATTTTCTTAAGTGATTTGGTATGAATTACATAACTGTCAAAAGTGATTTAATATCGTAGCAAAAAAAAAAAAACTACGAACATTGGATTAATACATGGGAGAGATAAAAATCTGTTATTATAGTGGAAAGTTTGACATTAGCCTATAAACTCCAAAACATTTGTGTTATTGTGTGTACATCACATTATATAGGTCTTTATATATATATATATATATATATATATATATATATATATATATATATATATATATATATATATATATATATATATATATATATATATATATAATGGAAAGGCCCCGCGCGGATGGTTGGCCCTAGGCCCCGCGTATTCCTAACGCCGGCTCTGCAGCTAAATATAGGGTATTTAGTAATAGCAACACAAGAACTAACGGTAGATAATCCGCATAACTAATTACAATAAAAGACAACAAAATACGAGCAAATCCACAAGAAAAATCAAATAAACATAAAAGGTATAAATTTCATACAGGTTGTACAAGTGCTTAACGAACTTAATGCCGGGTCCCAATAGCGGCCGAGGCTATTAGGACCCGGGTCCCAATAGCCACTTCCATTAATTAAATATTTATGTCAATGTATCATAATGTATGTGTTTTTGTTTTTCCTTGGCTAGGGTTTGTAGTTTAGTTAAATAGTTTGTACTACTACAGTTACAGTAGTAGAATCTAGATCAAGTACTACTAGACTAGTACTAGACTAGATCTACTCACTAGTGATTAATTAATAATTAGTAGTTAAGTAAGTATTAGTCTACCAGTTGTCGAGTTGAGTTGGCTACCCCCTAGAAAACGCTTCACGACCCCCCCCCCCCCCTTACCCCCAGTTTGGGAACCCATAGTTTAGATAAGTACACTAGTCTATCTACTATCTAGATCTAGTATGTATATCTACTAGATCTAGTATTACTAAGTATTAGTTTAGTAGATCCTAGTGTGTATTGGAGAGTTTTTGTGTACCCTTCACTGCCTTCAGCCTTCAGCTTCTGAAAACTAAAGGTAATATTATAGTCGCAAGCAGTTTAAAATCGTCTTTAAAAACACGCATTTCAACTTCATGTTGGCACGTGCAAGTGCATTTAACAATTTTTCACTCAAAATGCACTGAACTACTGAGTAAAAGTGATACAACTGTTACATGCATAGACATAATACATATAACTAAAACAATTGATAAAAAGAAAAGATATTTAAAAATCATTACACGCAGTGTTTCTTCCAGACTTTTTTCTCCGGGGGGGGGGGGGGGGGGCACTTCTTGAAATTTTCGGGGGGGGGGGGGGCGGTAGACTTTCTTGGGGGGGGAGGCTAGCACTGTTAAAAGTATATACTTTCTATATACATTATATAAATTTCATTTCGTTCGGGGGGGGGCGGTAGAATTTTTTCGCACCCCCCCCCCCCGAAGAGATGCCTGGAAGAAACTCTGATTACACGTAAAACGGTGCACCTCTAAAACGAACTGGGACAAATCGGCACCGTCAAAACGGCCCCGTTAATATGACCCCGTCAAATCGACCCCCGACAAAACGACCCCGTCAAAATAGCCCCGTCAAAAGGGCCCCGTCAAATTGGCTCCTGTCATACTGACGGGGTCATATTAACGGGACCGTTTTGAAGGGGCCGATTTGTCCCGTGCCGTTTTGGAGGTGCACCCTCTTTAAGTGAATCAAATCCGTGCGTCTTCCGGCACCCCAACAGGGTGCTATTTGGCGCCCATGGCCTTCCCGTGTTCGATATGGTGCCTACGTTCGTTTAAATGAGTGCAAAAGACTATGAATAAGCTAAAACAGGCGGTTCCACCGACGCCCCAGCATTGTGCAATTCGCCCCCCCCCCCCCCCGGGATAAACTGTGATTACTTTGCGTTTAAGTTTGCGTTTGTGTTTTCTTTGTGTTTTAGTTTGGATTTGGTTTGTTTTCGTTTGCTTTTTTGTTTGCGTTTGTGTTTGTGTTTTCTTTGTGTTTGTGTTTGCGTTTCTGTATAGTTTGCATGTTTACGTCACACACACACCTTGTCGAGATCGTCACTTTGTACTTAAATACTTTTTAACTCTAATTAACCATTCATTAAACTGGCAAAAAGTATAATTATTCTATATATTTTGCAATTTCTTGTCTTGGTGTTACCCCTATAAATGATGTCACCCGGTGCGGTCCGCACCCCCGTCCCCACTTCACAACGCCTCTGATATCACTATCAACAATATGTCACGGCCGCTAGTTTTATCATCCGCAATGACAAAAATCCGATCGGAAAACATTTGAATCGGGTGTGTCCTGACCCTCCGCCGAACGCCTGAAACTGACTCACCGAATCCCTGCAGCTGGATCCAACCCAGGTTAAGAACCACTGCTTACAATAATATGGCTTTGTAAGCAACATGCAAGCAGCAGCGTAAACAAGCTTGAAAAAAATACTGTGAGCGATATTAACAAAGTGCGCCAGAGAGAGAGAGATAACTTGTATCCGTATCTTTCTATATCGTGGAACTCTTGACATCACGACACACGTTACGAATCGTGCCGACACCACCTCTTCAGGCGCGCCAGAGTTTCTTCCAGGCATCTCTTCGCCCCCCCCCCCCGAACGAAATGAAAATTATATTGAAAATATATACTTTTAACAGTGTCCGCCCCGAAGAAAGTCTACCGGCCCCCCCCCCCCCCCTCCTGAAAATTTCAAGTGCCCCCCCCCCCGGAGAAAAAAGTCTGGAAGAAACACTGAGGCGCGCATTGATCGTGTATATACGTACTGTGGCGAACATACTTTTTATTTCTATTTCGTGGCCTAGTTGTCAACTTGTGACTTCGTGTTGGTACAACATCTAATTTACTTCTAAATATTTGGTTTGAGGCTGTGGACGTACAACCACGGATTTCGAAGGATCTTTCGTAGAAACTTCGCAGTCTAACAGCAGACGCTGTGTATTCTGCAAGCGAAGTAAATCAAATCTCTTGGTTCTGAGACTATGTGATCTAATGAGTAGAGATAAAAAAATATATTCTAAAATGCTTTATATTAAAACAGTCAAATAAAAAGTTGATTATTTGAGACTCTTGGGGGATTAGACATAATTTTAAACCTCCAGTAGTGCACGAAAGGGGGAGGGGAAGCAATGAGAGCAAGTAAAAGCTTTGTAAATGTAATCGACATAGACCTAAACGCGCCGACGCCATTTACTATGTTGATAATTTTCGCTCTCCAAGGTCCCTCCCCCCCCCCCCCCACAAAATATATGTTCTTCTTAGGGGTCATCCATAAATAACCAAATGTTGTCACGCTTTTTTTTACGAGCTTTACCTCCCCCCTCCCCTTCGTCACACATCGTCACAAAAAGCCAGACCCCCCCCCCCGGAAAATGACGTCACACCTCAGCCTATACCCCCCCCCCCCCCAAAAAAAAATAATTGCGGTTTAATTTTTCTTAAAATACGATATTTTTCCTAAATCTTGTCTGAACTCTGTCAACATAGTTTTTTTTTTTTTAAAATCGATTTCTATTACAATTTATTCAAACAGTTTTCTAAAACGCGATATAACGGCTAAAATAGTTTTCTAACATTGTTTTAAAGCAAAAGTGTGACGTCACACCATCTGAACCGCCCCCCCCCCCTCCCCCTCATCACACAAAGTCACAAAAGTACGGATCCCCCCTCCCCCCTACGAGTGTGACGTCATTTATGGAAGACCCTTTAGCTCCACCAATGTAGCCTAGGCCTACTAGATCTAGATTACAATATAGAATTTAGATATAATTGAATGACGGAAATAATCTACAAAAATTATGAAGATCTGCGCTGATTCTAGATAAAGATCCAGATCTTTAATTTAAAACTCAATTTCTAATCGTACCGCGCGTCGATCATATTCTTGAAGGAAACAAAATCTCATGAATGGAAGTAGAATCTAGATCTAGAATCTATATCTAGAGTCTAGTTCAAGAAGTCTAGTACTGTTAGTCTACTACTAGATTCTAGAGATGGATGAAAACAGAAAAGCCTCATATTCTAGACATTCTAGAGTCTAGAGTCTACTACTACTAGATCTACTAGCTACTATTCAATTTATTCAATTACGGTAACAATTGTAGGCACGGAGGCCTTTTTTCACATTGGCCGTTTTAAAATAAACAAAAACAATGTAGTTGAATGTAGTCCTAGTAATAACTGTAATTAGTAATTAGTATAATTAATTATTAATTAAATACTATTACTATAGGTGTATAACATAAGTTAACAACAGCATTTAAAAAAAAAAAAAAGCAATAGGCCAATAGGCCTAGCATAGCAGCATTAGAATTATGAATTAATCTATCGTTTTAGGTACGTAAAATCGCCTGCGACTAGTAATGTGAAAAACAGGTGACTCCTTAAGGCTTAAACGGCTTATATTTTAATAATTATTTCACATTTTGAGGAGGAGTTTTAAAAAATACAAAAATGTTTCCTTGTTTCATTTATCTATGTTTTTAAACAACTGAGTTAAAACTTTTCAGTAATAAATGAAGACTAGCGATGTTTCCTACAGATGCAACCATGCTCATTTACTATAGCAGCCATATTGTTTATTTTTTTTTTAAATTGTAAACTTATAGCTCAAGATTCAGGGGAAGCCACTCTAACTTACAGATGGCCGCTTTTTATATAGCAAATCCTGCTCGCAAACACTGCTGTTTAAAGTTAATTTCTTGCTTATATTCAAATATTGATATATTTAGCCATTGATTTAGGTTTATTGTTCAGTCTATCTAGAATATTTGACACAAACATTTCACAATAAATACTAAATACTTCTATTAAAGCCTTGACAGTGAGATAACTTTTTTTATACATTACTAGCCGCGGCCGATTTTACATACCTAAAGCGATAGATTACCAATCTATGGTTTTAGTTTTAACTAAAATGATAGAGTAGAACTAGAACTAGAGTAGAGATTACCACTAAAACTTTTAGGTAGGCCTACGTAAAATCGGCAGATACTATTAATGTGAAAAACACGTGCCTCCTTAAATTTTAATAATGATTTCACATTTTTATGAGGATTTGTGCTTTGAAATTTACAAAAATGTTTCAGTTTCATTTATGTAAAATATGTAGGCCCCTACCTGTTTTTATTAAGTTTTTAAACAATTGAATTAAAACTTTTCAGTAATAAATGAAGACAGAAGACTAGTGATGTTTTCATCAGATGCAATCATGCTCATTTACTATAGCAGTCATCTTATTTAATTTTTTCTTTGGTAAACTTATAGCGGGAGATTTAGGGCGGTCACTCTATTTTACAAATGGTTGCTGTTTATGTAGCAAATCTTGCTCGCAAACACTGCTGTTTAAAGTTAATTTCTGGCCTATATTGAATATTGATATATTTAGCCATTGGTTTTGGTTTATTATTCAGTTATCTATTATTATTATTAATTATAATATTTGACACAAATATATCACAATATAAATACTTCTATTAAAGCCTTGACAATGAGGTAAATTTTTTGTACATTACTAGCCGCGGGCGATTTTACGTACCTAAAGCAATAGATTACCGTTTTAGTATTGAACGTTCATCCTGAAAGTATTGATTTAATATTTTTATTTATTTTTAGAATCATTATTTACAATTTACAATAGTTACAAAACAAGTGAAATACAATAAATGATAATCGATATTGAATTGAATTATTTGGATGATTTTAGATACTGATGTCCGATAATAGACTCTTCCATAAAATAGGTGTGTTGGGTTGTTAGTAGTATTGTAATCTCGACTGATTATAATAATAATATGGTTAGAAATTAGGGTTAGGCATATGGTAAAAGTAGGGTTAGGGTTAGGGACTGGGTTAGCATTGAGGCATTGACATTAGCCAGCCATGTGTGTATTTAGTTAACTACCAGTAACCTTACACCCCTTTTTTAAAGATTCCATTATCGGACACCAGTATAAAAATTCTCCCAAATATTCATATAGATTAGTATAGAATAGATTGCGAAATATCCCATATTAATTCATATTAATTATCAATAATTGATTACCCAATCATTTATTTAATTTTGAGTAGTGAGGCCAGTAGCAAGAGAACTAAGTCACAAGTCATTCAGACTTCAGAAGAGAAGTAGACTAATGGTAAAAATTTAGAGAAAACCCTTGAGATTTCACTGTATATGCCATCAACCAATCAAACACGCACTTTCTAAGCGTTTGGTTGGCGGCTGACGTCATGCGACGCGTTGTTAGAGCTAAAAAGAGCCGAAAAGGGATTCAACTGGTCGATTCTAACTATCATCCGTTAAGCCTAACTAACTAGTCATTACTAGTCTAACTAACTAGCACTAGTAGTGGGCCTAACTATTATAATATACTAATTCTACATTTCTAATCTAAACTGTTGTAAACTCGGGAGTATTGTAGAGTCACAACTACTTTAAACTACTTTTTAGTTTAGGCCTAACTGAACTCACAGTTACTCAGTGAGTTCAATCTAGTCCATTTGGCCTATTATGATTATACTAGGCATGCTGCCCAGCTTTGCTTAGGCTTTCGAAAACATTGAGAATTTGAATGCTTAATTAATTCGCCCGAGGGTCGTTATGACCTCAGGAGTTATGAAGAGGTTCCTCTGTGGACATTTTTTTTTCGATTTATAGCTCATATAAGGCGCCGGTCAGTCGAGGTCAGTTTTGACCCCATCATCGTAGACTTTTCGGCCAACCGGCCCCCGTGTTCTGTCGCCCCAAGGCAAGATTCTGCCAAATTTGAAGCGCCTGCGGCGCCGGGAAGTGCCCTATCGGGCACCCGACAACTTTGCTTTATATATTGTAGAGATTAGCAAATGGCATAGATAAACAAAGATTTCAATAAAGTAATTAAGGCCTGAAATGTATTATTTGAATAGATGAATCTAGAATATCTAGATCTAGAATCCAAATAAATAAAAGAAATTTTATGAGTTTAGGCCGGAAAAATTGTATTGTATACATTTCATAGTGTACGTAGATCTAAATCAAATTTGAATGAAATAGTTCATTTCTTTTTATTCTAAACACGGCAGATGACGTCATTAGTTAATGTATAAGCAATAGTGACATCACAGTTTTATGCGTTCTTTTTCACATCTATTAATGCTTTTCCGGTTGCATAAATAATACTGTTTCTCTACATTCGAATACGCCTTTAATTTTTATTTTTCTTCTTTAAATAAAATTGTGGTTATACATTTAAAACATCTAACATATTATTTTCAACAAAAGTCCGTATAAAGTTCTCCATATATCGCTGCCGTTTCTGACGTGATGTCCGGCGAAAATATTTTGCGGACAGACAGAGAGAGAGAGAGAGAGAGAGAGAAGTGCGCACATGGGGAATTATATATTAGGATTCAATTATAACAAAACAACTGATGTTCAACATCACAATAGATTAGGCCCCTAATCATTGAAATATATAGACCCTTCTAGCATTCTAGGTGTATGATAATAGTATGGTCATTCTAAATTATATAATAAAAGTAACAGTATTGTAATAATTTTGGTAAGAAATTGAAATTAAATTTAGTTTGGCCAATTAAAGGACTTGGTATTACACTAATTACAGTATTAGGATTTGGGGGAGTGTATTTATTGGGGTACAAATAACATTAACTGATTTCAGACAATAGACTATCAAAAGGACGCAAGTTAAGTTGTTAATATATCTAGTATTATAATCTCAGATTTATTTTTATGATCAGAAATTAGGGATAGGGCTTAAGTAGGGCTTGGGATGTTTTTTTTTTTACTATACTGGTGCCCGATAATGGCACCGCTGGTAGTTAACTTAATGCACATATAATTTTCTAATATCAATGCTAACCCTAACGCCAACACAAGTCTTACCAAATGCCTTACCATAAAACTAGGCTTGAGATTACAATATAACTTGTAAGCTAACACACCTATTTTTGGAAGAGTCTATTATCAGACATTGGTATACTCTATTATCCGGACTTGGGCATCAGGTTAGCATGTACAATGTCGTTACTATTTTTTACTCTAATACTATCGATTCTTTCTTTTTTTTCTCAGAAAATGTTGATTCAACATCTGTAATTTACTAGATGTCACCTAACAATGGAATTACAGACTAGATTGAATTCCAACTTAAGTGAACCAAATAGGAATAACATTTTGCAATGCCAGTTTCAAGCAGAGATGAAAAGTAATTTGATCCAAACTTCATTAAATTCTAATTGTGTAATTCTGCCTGATAACCAAAGATTAGGTGCAGTTCATCAGGATTTGGCTGTCGGCGATCCTCTTAGAATGTCAGCTAAAAGTGTTAACCAACCAACCTCAAGGCCAATAGTTATAGGAAATTTAGCAGGAGCTGGTTTATTGACTTCTCTCAACAAACTTGAACAAGGCAAGTCTTTAGGGTTATCTCAGGAGTCTTCTTTGATAAACCGCCCAATAATCAATTTTATTCCTGTTATTCTGCAAAAGCCAACCCCACTTGCACCAAAAGAATTTTCAAATACTGCTGAGCAAACAAATATATTTGTCCAGAAAGTGGAGAAACATCCGGGGAATACATTTCCAGGAGAAAAGTCTGACTCAGAACATATAAATATTTTTAAACCATCACTATCTTCATCAGATACATTGATCATTAACTCACCAGCAGAAAGCAACAGCGGCCCAGCTAATATGCCAACTTACAGCTCAGCCTATTCATATCCTAACAGTTTAGTAATCAACAGCAAGTCAGCAGTAAATGAAAGCTCTTTTAGTTTGATCAGAGACTTATCAGATAAATCCATTTCTCTTGAAAGTATTCCAACAGTAACATTATTTAAATCTGATGGTATAGAGCTTCAGGAAGTCAGCAATGATGTAATAGGTCAGCAGGTAGTGGAACTCGAGTCAGCAAACTCTCCAACATTACACAGAATAACAATAGTGGGTAATAACCAAATTCCAACCTCTATTTTACAGTTGATAAAACAAGAAAAAGAGAACAGTAATTCTTACTCTAGTTCAAATAGTGATGTTCAAGGCAGCAGTAAAGGGAGAAAACTACCTGAAGAAACCTCTCAGCAGGTAGACAACTCTGACACAGAAACTGATAATGATGACACGGTCTTTGAATCTTGTCCCCAATCCAAAACCAAATTACAAAAAGCTGACACTCTCATTTTAAGAACTGAAGAAAGTAATACAGTGTCAAAGTCCTCCTCTCTTACTACTGCTGCAACAATTATCTTACCAACAGAACCAGAACTCAGGCATTCTAACACAGAAGATAAAATATCTGAAGGCTTCAGCTTCAGTTCTTTGTCCATAGGCAGTGCTATCAGCATGGATACTGCTTTAGAAAGTTTGCCTTTGACCTTTGATAACAACACCAGCAAGTCATCAAGAGATTCAAAATTAACAATTGGAGTAAGTGAACCTATGAATAGATCATTATATCTGATGACTGGTGATGGCCAGTTAACCGCAGTTAGGCTGATTACGTCAGATCTTTGTGATATCTCACTGTTAAATCAAATAGGGTTGATGAGCAACTGTTTTGTCAACTCACCATCCCATTATCCTGATTCAGGATCACCTGCTGAGGGGAATGTTAAAATTGTTGAAGTCAAAGAGACACAGACAGAACTAGCATTTGGTGCAAACAACATTTTGTTTAAATCTCTAGACCAAGGTTTTAGTAATGACAGTTTGTATAACATCGAGGCTGTTTCAAGCTCTAAATTACCAGATCAGATGGATAATTCCTCCTCTTCTCTTACAATGATTTCAGAAAGTTATATCCCTAAGTCCAATACACATCCCACTATAGACATTCTACAAGAAGCTGTTATCCCTCAGTGCATATCAATTACTGGCTCTTTACAACCCCACAGCCAAGATTTAAAGTATGGCTCCATGCCATCACATACCCCTGAGCCTCATTTACCAGACCCTTCTTCATTCAACATATCTGCTGATAGTCGCAAATTCAAGTGCATGCAGTGTGAGGAAATTTTCAGCAATAAAGGAGAGTTAGACAAACATGGAAAATCACATGTCCAGTTTTTTAAGTGTGATTTATGCAATGCTAAATTTAACAGACTGGGCAACTTTACAAGACACAGAAAAATTCATAATCTGCAACCTGGGGTAAGTTGTCTTCTATTGTATTATTTCTGAGTCTTCTTTTTATGATATTAGGTTATATTATATATGTTTAATATAACATCATTCATTTTATGAGTGCATTTTTCTCCATTGATCTCATTTTGAACAGAATCCAAACCTTTTTAAATGTAATGACTGTGGTCGTGAGTTCTTACAGCGCTGTGATTTGAAACGCCATTTACTAATTCATACCAAACAAGAACCATATCGTTGTGAAAAATGTGGTAAAGGTAGGTAGGGTTAAAGTTTAAAGCTGACTGGGGATTTGCTTTATCTCTTTGCTTAGAATGATAGCTTGCATTGTAAATGTTATCACATTCATAAAAAGTACACAATTAAGAGCTTAGAGGAATTGACAGTTGGGCTCATCTTGTTAAAGTAACTTGGATTTGTAACATTCTAAAATTGAACTTGTATCTTTTTTTGGGCTTTTCTGCAACGAAAACTACTTAAACAGTCACAACTGGTAAATATAATAAATTCTGCAAAGGTTTTAAAAAATGAACTGATATTAAGGAAGACCAAAATCGTTTATGATCTAAGCTTTAATTAAAAACAATAGGAATTTAAAAAGTCTTCACCATGCAGGGTTTCAACAAAAGTCATAAAATATTCTTTAACTTACTCTGCTTTTAAAAAAAGTTTAGTGTGGTTATACTTGTTGAGTTTAATGCTAACTAACAGAAAATTTCTTTTAAATTTTTGCCAGGCTACATACGACACAGTGATTTGGTGGTCCATTTAAGATTTCATAATAAAGACAAAGCTTTTAAATGCACAATGTGTGATAAAAAATTCTTTCAGTCAGGTGAGTTTTTGTGTGTGCTCTAAACAGACATTAATAGAAGTTTTTAATTTTAAAACATTTGGCTTAGCTTTAGTCTAGAAGTTATTTGATTATGCCTAAATTTGTGTTTTAGGGGATCTTGGTAGACATGTCAGAAAAGCTCATAAACCAAACAGCCAACTGACCTGTGGTCATTGTGAACGCAAGTACGCCTGTGAAACAACACTTTTACGTCATATGAAAGCCAAGCATAAAGACATTATAATGCAAACAATTAATCAAAGGCTCAAAGAAACTGAGTAAGATATTTATATTTTGTGTTTTAATATCTTTTTACTTTCTCAGCTTATGTTTGTGGTTTCTAAACTTTAGGTATTGACCAGTTTTAGGCAAAAAAAAAAGGGAAAAAAAACTGCAATAAATCTAACTACATACTTGCTAAAATATAAGATCATTTCATGTAATAAAATTATCTTGATATGTGATTTTAAATGTTTATTAGTGCATTGACTATCCAATCATCAAGCATGTTTATCGTATAGCTGTACGAGAGAAGAACAATGATGCGATACAGTTAAGACGAGCCCAGCATGATTATCGTGAAAGTGAACGACTAAGGGACAGTGAACGAAAAGAAAAACGAAGAAATGATTATTTCTTTCGCGCTAGAGAAAATTATATCTCCTCTTTAAGAGCGATTGATTCAGTTTGTAGTAAAAATAAATTACAAGACCGATGTTCACCGCCAGATAAGGTTTGTTGTTCTTGTGAGGGAGTATTTTTCAATCATTCTGTTCTGAAACATCATGACACTTTCACTAACAAATTTAGCTATGAAGAATGCAGTACTAAAATATTTAATTACCCTTCAAAATACATATGCCGAACTTGTTACAATCACGCAAGGAAAGGAAACATTCCGAAAATGGCAACAAGTAATGGCCTGAAGACTGCTGTTCATGGCAAAGAAAAAATTGGAAATGACTGCTCTGGCAAGTGTCAACGTGTGTCTAAGGAAAACAAAGGTGACACATGGAATGAAAGTTAAGAATGCCCTTGATAAACATTTTCTAGATGAAGGATACAAATCCTTAAACAAGTAAGATCATCTCCATCATACTGGGAAACTAGGAAAAATGAATTGATGGCAACAGTTTGACAACATGGTAGGCCAACATTCTTCTTAACAATCTCTGCAGGAGAAACAAAGTGGCTGGAATTAATTAAGTCTCTATCTGCGCTACAGGGATTACATTTAACATTGGATAAAGCAACAGCCCTCAATGACTACCAGAAGACTGATCTTATTAAAAATGACCCAGTTAAATACGCGAGGTATTTTAACTATAAGATGTCTAAACTAATGTCGTTGCTGAAAGAAGGATCCATTTTCGATAAAAAACACTGTCAAAGATTTCTATGAAAGAATCAAATTTCAAGTGAGAGGATTTCCACACGAACACATCTTCTTGTTACTTACAGGTACACCAGTGTTTGATTCAACTAATGTTAATTCCATTAAGGAATGTGTAGGATTTATTGACGAGCTTATTACCTGCGAGTACAAAGGAAAAAGGAATAAAAGCAAGTGTCGATTCAACTGGAGCCACTAGCTGAGGATGGAACTGATGACTCATTCAAAGAACGATTGACAGCACTACGAAAGCTAATGGTATATTATTCGAAGAGCAGAGATGACATACCATTTGAAGAGATTCTTAAGACTTTGAATATGTCTGAAGAGATCTACATTTCTGTCCTCAGGAGCTCACTAAAAAGGCCGCAAGTGTATCTACGAAGAAAGAGCACAGAAGTTAATATCAATGGGTAAAACAAAGATATATTGCATCTTTTCAAGTCCAATATGGACCTACAGTTTGTTTTAGAAGAGTATGGTCTTGCTCCTATATTATAAAATATGAGTAAACATGATAGTGGGCTATCAAAAATATTACGGGATGCAGCGTCTGATGCCAACAAAGGAAATAAAAGCGTAAAGGAGAAATTTAGATCGACTGCAAACGTTTTCCTAAATAGCAACCTGATGTCCGCCTAAGAAGCAGCATATCATGCTTTGTCAATACCTTTGTCGAAATGTAGCAGCAAAACTGTTTACATAAACACCAGTCCTAGGCAGGAAAGAGCCAGGATGCTGAAAACAAACGCACAACTCCAAAGTTTGAATGAAGACTCAACAGAAGTCTATGAAAGACTTGTTTAAAAAATATAGTGAGCGACCGCAACAGTTAGGAGATGTTTGCGTGGCAATATTTGCATCTGAGTATGTACCGATGAGGAGGGAAGCAGAATTGGATGAAGACAAAATATACTTGAAGGAATCAAAGGAGTACAGGCGTAAGAAGAAAACAGCCGTGATAAGGTACAGGCAGTACTTCAGCAGGACAAATCAAATTACTTCCGAGAGCAATTACTGCTCTTTCTGCCTTGGCGTAATGAGTTAAAAGATATAGAACAAGTCAATTGTAAGGAGCTGTACAAAGACAGTGTGGTAAAGATAGAGGATAATAGGAAAATGTTTTCAGCAATCGCAGACGAAATTTTAGATGATGCTTTGGAAAATGCCAAACAACAGGTTGCAGATATAGAGGAAAAAGAAGCCTACGACTTAATGAAAGAAAAACTTTCACAAGAACATAATGTGGACATTCTGCAGCAAGGAGGACAGGAAACTCCAGTTAATAAGAATCAAAATCTATACAGTGTTCCGAATAGAGTGCCACATGAAGACATATGTTGCTTGTTTTCCCGTCTGAACGAGGGACAGAAGGACTTTGTCTTCCACATCCTCAATTCCTTCAAATTGAGAAAAACTCCCTTCTATATCTTCCTGAGTGGCAGGGGTTGGAAAAAGTACAGTCATTAGATGCCTTTATCAATCCATTACAAAATATTTTGACTCACAGCCAGGTGCTTCGGGAGACTCCATCTATGTTCTATTGTGTGCACCATCTGGGAAAGCTGCATTCCTCATCGAAGGTGTTACCCTGCATACTGCTTTTGCATTACCCATATCTCAATTTGGTGGTTCAATGCCTCAGTTATCATCAGAAGTTGCCAATACAATTCGGGAAAAATTATTCAACATCAGACTACTTATCATAGATGAAATTTCCAGTCGAGTTGACTCTCGTTTGCGCCAAATAATGGGAGACAACAAACCCTTAGGAGGGATATCAGTTTTGCTTGTCGGAGATTTGAACCAGCTACCACCAGTTATGAATTCCCTAATTTATAAGGTGGACAAAAGCAACGAATTTTGGGAATTAATAGATTGAAATCCCCTATGGGACCTATTTACCTTCTATGAATTGAAACAAATAATGCACCAAAAGAATAAAAAATGGATTTTATTGAAGCGCTGAATTACAAGTGGTAACATGTTGAACTGTTTAAGTCTAGGCAAGTGTTGGCGTCAGTAGTCTAAAAAAAGCGCAATCAGATTGTACGGCGAAAATAATGTGTCGATCTTTGTAACCAGGAAAAAATTAAAAGTCACCCGGGACCACATTACGTTTCCACTGCTTAAAATACCATTTTAGGAAAACTCTCAGAGACATCAAAGGAGAGTATACTGCAGGAACTAAAGAGAAAAAAATTGAGTGAAGTAAATGGCCTACCACACATCATCATTTTAAAGCTAGGAATAAAATATGCAGTAACAACCAACATTGATGTAGAAGATGTCTCGTAAACGGAGCATGCGGAGTCCTTAGGCTTATATCATTCGATAATGACGACAGCCAAGTACCAAAGATACTCTGGTTAGACTTCTCCACAAACAACGTTGGTAATAAGGCAAAGATGGCTCACAAACGGCTCATCGATAACAATAACCCTGACTCATATTTTGTTCCCATAAGGAAGGTTTGTGTTCCACTGAATATTTCAAATAAACTTCAGTACCCGACATTAAGAACTCAATTCCCCGTGGTACCAGCAGAAGCAATTACCATCCACAAGAGCCAAGGACAGACATATGAACAGGTGGCGTTGGATTTCAACGAAATAAAAAGGATAACTAGGCCTTTGCTGTAAGCAGAGTTTCAAGCATCACAGGACTGTACATTGTTGGAAACTTTAGGATCCCAAAACAATCGACGCATGAGGACCCAAGCCTGCAAGAGCTCTACAGACTAATGACAGCTAAGTCTTTAAATTTGCCACTCCGTATATTAAAGACTCAACAGGATTCAAAGTAGCATATCAGAATGTGTGCTCTTTAACGAATATAAACATACGTCTGCTTTACCAATGGAAATCCCAAACACCGATTTGAATACACAAATAGATGTCAAATTTTCAACAACTTCAGTCATTGCAGGAGTGTATGAAATGTACTTCTCTTACCATAAGCCTGTATATTTTATATTCAATGACAATAAACTTTCTTACCAAGATTAAATAACGGAGACTATCACCATGGTCGCTCCTCCAAAAACAGTAAGGCGAATTAAAAATGAACTAAAACCACCATTCAACACACCTTCTGATAAATACGTTATTAACACCTGCTAGGACCTTAAATCAAGCGAAATGTGTGCACCATCAGCTTCTAAACTAAACATATTTCTGTCTGCAAATAGTGTTCAAGCTCCGACATGCGTATCAAACTTTCAAGGTCTGTATATTCAGGTACAAACTATTCTCAACTATTTTGATAGCACGAGACGTAGCACATCTGAGACTGATCTCCATAGTGCAAGTGCTGATATTAAAAATGAAAAATTGAAAAACTTATTAAGTGTAATAAGTCCTTGCAAGGTACATATCCAGCGAGAAATCATTCGCCTAAGAACTCACGCTAGAGCAGAATATGACCCATCACTGGCAGCAGATGAAGTTAAGGGATACTACAGGAAAGAAATATGCCACAGTTTTTTATCTCATTTCTTGGCATGCGAAACACGAGCCGACGGTAAATGTTTCTATAACGCGTTGTCTCTCTGCATGTTTCAATCGGAAGCACAGGCACAGAACATTCGCTTGCTCATAGCATCATACCTGCTGCTTAATCTGACAGTACATGAAAAGCTTATCCAGATGACTCACGGAGAATTCCCTCAAAGGTTGGATCATCTTTATGTGTGCTTCAAGAACTACATCTGGGCCGGCGACGTCCAAGCGTATGCTGCTTCCTTAGTTTTTGACTGATCCATTATTCGGATAGGTGGTCTTGACCAACAGTTCCACCAGTTCTCTGAAATACAGCACTTATCTTCTAAAGAGTTATTACAGTGGCTCTCTCAAGCCACCTGGAGAAGCTTAGAAGTGGTGGAAACATATTCATCAAAAAGAAACGGGCGAGAGCCCTTATACATTCTTCATAAGGTGAATCACTTCATGGCCATGCTACCACAAACTGACTCAGTCGCAGACCTTCAGTTCCTTCACCCAGCGGTTGTCAATCTCAACAACATTCCCATTGAAGAATATAGAATATGTGAAACGGATTATGAATTTTCTTCATAACATCTCACTGAGTCAAAACAACTTGTTTTCAATTGTGTATGTATCTCTTTGTGTGTGTGTGTGTTTGTTTGTCTGCTTGCCTGTGATTATTTTATATCATACTGATTAAAGCAGCATGTTTTAAGAACTTTTTGTCTACATGTGTATTCTTTAAAACAAAAACATCGGATTTGTCACAAAAGTTTATATTTCTTTATGGGCCTAGCCCAAAACATTATTGCTATATATGAATATACGAGAAAGATTAGGGGAGATCACTCCCGGTTTATTTTTAGATACAGTTGTTAGTGTTATGTGCTCAATAAATCTTTTAATATATTTTAATAACTAACATTTTTACTATCATATTGCACCTAAAAACCTATTACTATTAATGGTTTATTTTTAAAGACAGTATCATACAGTATGATATTGTTGTATTTGTTAGTATAATGCAGAAGAAGATATTTTAATTTGCATCACCATTCATAGAGATGGCATTTGATATTTATAATATAATTGGTACATTGTAGATAGAAAAACTGGATACAAAGTAGACCACTAGTATTAAAAACTAATATGCAATGGTTGATATCTTATACAATTTTTTTTTTACTAAAGTTATGAATGTATAATAAGTTCATAAAAGGGTTGTCCATAAATGACTATGCTATTAGAGCAAATTTTTATCCCCTATCTCTATCATCACAAAAAGGTCTTGACAAAACCTCAAGTGCCCTCCTTAAAGTCAAAATTTTAATATTTTTGTTTTAGAAATAAAAAGTATGCTACATCAAATTTTTAACAATTAAACTTGCCCTATAAAGATTAATGTTGCAAATATCACAATTTACTTCCCTTTATTCATGTATATTTTTTTTTTAAATGATGGGTGATTTTAATAGAAGGGACACTTTTTTTTATAACCTGAGGCAAAAAGGTTGGAAACCAAAAGTTTAGAATCAGCTGGCTTGTATGAATACATTAACATTTTGTATGAATACATTAACATTTTCTAAACTTTTTGTCTGGTTGCATTTTTTTCAATATAGGATAATAGTAAATGCTACAATTACTATTTTCATTATCTAATACCTTTTTTTAGGCTGTGTGATAAAAATCAGACCATAAACAGCACAGAGGTGTTTTTTACACTACCACAGACCAATTAAAGGCCAAGAAGAAAAATATAGAAGAAACATACAGTTAATTTATCCTTAAGTTATTGTTATAGATACCGTTAAAATAAAAAAGTTCATGATGATTTCATTTATTACAGTTGTATGTAATCTCGCATAACTTTATTTAATTATGTGATCAAAGCTCAAAATGTGTTTTATCTTTAATCTGTTTGAGCTGTACGTAACATAAAATAAATAATTATTATCATCGCAATAAGATTTGCTACGCATGAAGGATTCAATGTATTTTCTTCTCAAATTAATACGTGATAAAACTGGAATAGAATTTCATAATTGTAGTTACTGGTAGCCCTTTAAATTGTATTTATTATATTTTCCAAGGCGTGTGATATAACTTAATCATTTAATTAATTTAACTCTGCTTTGTTTTTTAAATACATGTGTGTCTATTTAAGTGTGTGTATATATACATATATGCCTACACTCAAGTGTGATATGCTTATGTTGCTTGTTATTGATTTTATTTTAAATTGATTTAACTATTTTAAAATACTGGTATGCCTGATATACATATGTTTTAAACTTTAAAACTAAATATTTTTGAATTTTGATTGTGCTATATTATTTAAATACAAATTTACGCAGTTCAACAGTATCCATTGGTTACAGAAGTGATGCCACACTTTTATTGTATAATGACCTTGAACCTGGTGAATCTAACCAGAATTGTTCATGGCCATGACAAGACAGCTGTCTTGTAGAAAAAAAAATTTCTTGTTTTTATCAAACAATAAAGGTGTTGTAACTTTTGCAAAGATAATGAAAAGATGATGTTCAAGTATACCACTGGTAAAATAAAGTATCATTGAATTAATCGTAGTCTCTTTTTCTTTTTTTTTCTCACTTTTTTTTTACAACCCAAGCTTTTAAGGTAAAACTTACATAGAGTTATATATATAGCCCATTTTCACGTTGATAACAATTTGATAAAGTGTTAAAATTTTCTGGCAACTATTACTTCCTCAGCCCTGTAGACTAAGTTACTAGATGACTGTCGTCCCCCCCCCCCCCCCCCCCCCCCGTCATTTAGAGGTACTTAAAGCGAGCTGGATATTGAGATGGGTTGGGGCATGGATTGAGAGTGATATTGTACATTTTTTGAATAAGAATATTTCTACTGGCATAGAATCTAAATTCTTGAATACTTTTCTTAAGTGGCCAAACTTTTTCTTCTTCATTCTCGATCTAATATTGGGAGGGTATATAACAGTTCATTTATGGAGATCAGAAATACACAGTAGGTTTTTTTTCCTTCATAAAAACCATCTTTTATTTCTTGGGATGTGTAGCCTTTTTAACTTGGCTCGAGTATTTTCTGAAGTCAGCCTGTCTGAGTTTCTTACAGGCATCCTTTGGTCTCCCCCCCCCCCCCTGAAAAAAGTCTACCCCCCCCCCCCGAAAAAAGTCTAACCCCCCCCCCCCCACCCCCCACCCCCCGCTCCTGAACGAAATGGAATTTATGTAGAAAACATATTTTTTTTAACATTCCCCCGGAAAATTTAGTCCACCCCCTCCCCCCGAAAATATCAATGCCCTACCCCCCTGGAGAAAAAAGTCTGGAAGAAACACTGCAGTCAGTGAATCTGTTGCTTACCACACCAACAGCTGTAACCCCCAACTCAGTCAGTGAGAGGAAGCTATGGATCATGTTTTTGGCATTTTCCTCAACTGTTTAGATTTTCTCCTTATTTTCTTAGTACTAATAGTACATTTAAAAAATTTGAAGCCGTTTCGCTCTTCTAAAAAATAGGGTCTATGTCAGTAATCTTTTGTAGTTTTGTTTGGAACAGGAGCTTACTTTACTTTTTAGGAGCTTTATAGCTTCGTCTAGCTCTTACATTCTTATTTTGGTCAGTATTCTATTATTGAAAGAAGAATATCTTTCAGTTATTAATTTTTGATAACCTCAAACCCTGTGGTCGCTACATTTTATTTGTCATACTTTGCTAAAGTTGGTATAGAATTCTTGTTTTCGGCATCGGGTGATCTATTTTCTCCTTAGGAAGGTGTTGGTCTTTGCTTTTTAATTGAAACGCGTTGCAATATTTCAGAGCTTGTAGTTATCTCTATGTATATTTAATCCTACATCTAGCAATGGGCTAGTTCTGTCAGTGGAGGGTGCTTCTATAATCTATTGCATTTGTTCACACAAAAGAACGCCTGCAAGGCAGCAGTTGTTTGAATTCCGAATCTTCTCTACACTATAGGTTGAAGGTTACAGTCTTCACCTGTTGAGCCTCATCTGCCCGGGTTTAGAGTTATAGCGCTCTATAATCTCAATAAACAGTCGTTTTCCATAATCAGTGGCATAGCGAGGTCGGGTGTCACCCGGTGCGGCACTTAATGGTGTCACCCCCAGAGGCGTAGCGACCCTTCCCGGGGACAAACTTTCAAATTTTCGATTTGCACCCCCCCTCGAACTTTCGATTCCCCCCTTCTAACTTCCGATTTGCACCCCCTCAAAATTTCGATTTCCACCCCCCCCCCCCCCTCAAGTTTTCTCTCTATATTTTGCTATTTTTTTTTTGCTTTGGTGTCACCCCCCTAAATGGTGTCACCCGGTGCGGTCCGCACCCCCCCCCCCTCGCTACGCCTCTGTCCATAATTTATTAGATGTATTTTGGTGGAATATTTTAACCACTGGATAACCCACCTCATCCTAGACCACAAACCAGTAGATCCACGACTGTGATTTCTACAGCCAACCTTATACCTAAAGGCCACTTCTCTACCTTCTTGATCGGTGGCCCTTTAGTCATAACACTAACCAGCGCATTGTCAGCAGTGTTCTTCATCTTCTTCTTCGTTCTTAATTTTAGTTTTGGAAGGGATCCCCTCCAGCACAATTAAGTATACGTGTCAACTGGTTATGCGCCATTGAGGCCAATGACTCCGATTTCAGCCTGCTTTTCTTTTTGAATTTGCTTCCATAGCTTTCGTCCAACCAAGCACAAATTACAAGGCAGCAGTTGTTTGATTTTGAAGTTGTCTATCCTAGAAGAGTGGCTGTCCCCAGCTAACGAGTTGTCTCTCCTAGAAGAGTGGCTGTCCCCAGCTAACGAGTTGTCTCTCCTAGAAGAGTGGCTGTCCCCAGCTAACGAGTTGTCTCTCCTAGAAGAGTGGCTGTCCCCAGCTAACGAGTTGTCTCTCCTAGAAGAGTGGCTGTCCCCAGCTAACGAGTTGTCTCTCCTAGAAGAGTGGCTGTCCCCAGCTAACGAGTTGTCTCTCCTAGAAGAGTGGCTGTCCCCAGCTAACGAGTTGTCTCTCCTAGAAGAGTGGCTGTCCCCAGCTAACGAGTTGTCTCTCCTAGAAGAGTGGCTGTCCCCAGCTAACGAGTTGTCTCTCCTAGAAGAGTGGCTGTCCCCAGCTAACGAGTTGTCTCTCCTAGAAGAGTGGCTGTCCCCAGCTAACGAGTTGTCTCTCCTAGAAGAGTGGCTGTCCCCAGCTAACGAGTTGTCTCTCCTAGAAGAGTGGCTGTCCCCAGCTAACGAGTTGTCTCTCCTAGAAGAGTGGCTGTCCCCAGCTAACGAGTTGTCTCTCCTAGAAGAGTGGCTGTCCCCAGCTAACGAGTTGTCTCTCCTAGAAGAGTGGCTGTCCCCAGCTAACGAGCCTCATCTGCCCGAGCCAGCAGTGTTGATTTCTCCGGGGAGGGGCGGACTAAATTTTCCGGAGGGGGGGGGGCGGACACTGTTGAAAGGGTGTGCCCTCTCCCTTCACCCCCCTCCCACGCACACACAAACACGAAGAGATGCCTGAAAGAAACACTGATACTCAGCTAACCGCTGATCTAGATGACAGGTTCAATACACTCACACTTGGGTCCTCTCGACTGGCCAGTGTTCATCATTGCAACAATTTCTTGCCTGTTCATGAACTTAAAACCTCTGGCTTGGATGAAGTGTGCTCGCTTTGTTGATACTCTAACTCTGAGTAATGGTAAACTGGACAAAGGCAGGCATAGTAAATACCAGGAATATATGTACATTAAAGTGAGTCGTGTGACTGATTCTGTGCTGCCTGTTCGCATCAACCTGCCTGGAACTAGCAATCGCTAGTCAACAGAGAGCCAATTTTTGGTCGGACGGTGGAGCATACGAATACTAACCCGAGTCTCGAGTTCGAATCCCGGTTTTGTGTCAGTTGAACGTCCCTGAGTCTACTCAGCTCTGGTGGGTACCTGACTCACGTTAGGGAGAGTAAATACGGCTTGGCATAGTGCTGACAACACTATCCATTCATCTGCCGAGGTCACAGAAACAGGTATATAGGCTACTTCACCTGTCCCATAGATCTTCAGGCAGAGGCGTAGCGAGGGGGGGGGCTGGGGGACATATGTCCCCGGGCGCCGACCTTGGGGGGGGGGGGGCGCCAAAATGGGTTGGAGAAACAAATTGAAAGTTTGAGGGGTGGTGCAAATCAAAAGTTCGAGGGGGGGGGGGAAGCAAATCGAACGAAAGTTTGAGGGGGGGGGGGGTGCAAATCTAAAGTTCGAGGGGGGGGGTGCAAATCGAAAGTTTGTCCCCGGGCGCACGGAATGGTCGCTACGCCTCTGCCGTCAGGCTAGATAGGGAACTTAATTTACTTCTATTAAAAAAGAGAAACAAGTGTTCAATTTATACTAGTTTAATTTGAAAAATTCCGACCCACAATTTCTGTCTACCAAAAGAATTATATTTTGTGAACAATATTTAACGCACGAATGTGCAACTTTAAAGGAATAAGTCTGTCGTTCTTTGTGGTAATATGCATTTTAAATAATTAAGAAAAAAATTACTTAGAGCAGATGAAATACTGTCTACAGAAAAAAGGATTCCACATATTTAAATAAAATGAGTATTTACAAAGGTGTAGGCCTAGATGTTTACAAAACGAAAAAAAATCTAATAAATGGTAAGAACACGATCGTGCACAAAGAAATTACGTTAAAAGAAATGCCTTATAAATACTATTCAAAAACAATTTTATTAATAGTAACATATTTAAGACGTGCATCCAGCTATATTTCCATTTGAGCGGAGGACTTTGAGAAGTTTCGATGCAGTGTGTAGAAAATCCAAAGAGATCTTGCCCTCACACGTCGTGCTAGATCTATCGCATGTCTTGAGCCAGGAGGTTTGTTTACAGTTTGTTTTTACACAGTCCGTCCCCGGGGAAACTGATCTCTGGATCTGACAAACTTTACTGCAGAGCTGTGAATGGGCATAGTTCACTTGACTTTGATTCAGAGTTTTCACGTCATTTAGTAGACCCATGACGTGAGTTAAGATTCTAACAGTAGAGTTCTAAATGAAAATAGAAATTAAACACGTTTTACAAAATTAGAAAAAAAAATAACGGCACTATTGTTTCATAAATAATTTTGAAGTTACTTAATTTAGTGAATAAGAAATGAATAATGGAAATTGTAAAATTATGTTTTCAAATTTACATTGTTAGTTAAACTGTAAAACCAATTTCGAGCTACATAACCTAAACGGAATTCACTTACACTGTCATTTGTATGATTCCTGTTGAGCTTGTCATATATGCTGTCAAAACCACAGCAGTTTTTCAGGCTGTTGAAACGAAAGAAATCCATCCCCGCCTGCACAGGACATTCAATGACACCAGGTTAAAAATAGCACAATGTATTATCGCTGGTAGTTACATTCAGTTTTTAAAAATAAGAGTCAATGAGTAGGATACAGATTTGTTAGACTCTATTTGTCCGTGTGTGTGTGTGTGTGTCGTGATTGAAAAATCTGGAGTTATATATATATATATATATATATATATATATATATATATATATATA